GCCTTGTAGAGCCAAAAAGGTCAGAGTTGGACTTGGGTAGGGCCAAAAAGGTCAGGGGTAAGGTCGGGTAGGGCCAAAAATGTTAGGGGTAGGGTCAGGTAAGGCCAAAAAGGTCAGGGGTAGGGTCAGGTAGGGCCAAGAAAGTCAGGGGTGGACTTGAGTAGGGCCAAAAAGGTCAGGGGTAGGGTCAGGTAGGGCCAAAAAGGTGTGGGGTAGGGTCGGGTAGGGCCAAGAAGGTCAGGGGTGGACTTGGGTAGGGCCAAAAAGGTGAAAGGTAGAGTTGGGTAGGGCCAGAAAGGTGAAGGGTAGGGTCAGGTAGGACCAAGAAGGTCAGGAGTTGGGTACTGCATGAAATATTTTTTAAATATTTTAGATCGCCCATAAAGGAATAGCCCTTGAAGAAATCGCCCAAAAAATCGCCCATAGGTGTGCGTTACGGTTTGTGTTTGTAGCACTCAGACCCAAGCTGAAGAAGAAGCGCGTAAACTTTTAAATAAATTAATGTGGTCTCCCTAATTATTGAGTTTCGCGTCAATTTGACTAATTTTAGTTTTTTATACTACATATTTAATTCGACTACATATTCTACGTTATAAGGTGTCTAGTTTTTATATGTACCTTATTTTCAATAAATGTAACATTTGTACGTCTGATAAGCTTATATTATATGTATGAATAGTACTACACATATCCTAATTTAATATTTAAATTGCCAGCACAGACCCTTTGTTTTCAAAAATATCTTATCATTGTTTTGGGCATACACACTAAGTAAATACCTATTATATATAAGGTCAGTGTTTTAGTCTTGAAAATATATTTTAGATTTTGAATGTTGACAATTTTTTTATTTTGTGAATATTATTACAATAGTCGGTTTAAGTTTAAGGTTTTATAGATATATTACAATTTTTTAAATTTCTTTAACTTTATGAAATAGCAAGATGTCTTTTATTAAACATACATGAAGGGAAACCCATTAGGCCGGGACCGGGCCCTTGAGGTGAGAAACTGGTCGCGACCACTTTTCAGGGACGGTTGTTTTTATTTTTTCTTAGGCCGACCCGGTTCTATCAAAAAATTCTATGCCCGGTCCGTTATAAAAAATAAAATTCTGCTTTGCATTTTTTTTACATAAATAGTTGACTGTGTTGCCCAAAAAAAGAGGAAAAAATAATAGGAATTACAAAAAAAATATTTTTTAAAAAGATTGGAAATTTTCTGAGCCCGGGCCTACTGTGCAAGACCGGCCCGTTTCTCACCCCCGCCCGGCGGGCCGATAGAGATAAACTTGAAAAGGAGCTGCGGCTAAGGATCCAGCTCAGCTCGACCGTTTTTTTTGTCTGTGTAGTTATTTAAATATTCTCTACATACGTAAAAAGTCTTTAATTTATTTTTATTAAAAAACAGTAAGTAGCACAAAAACACATAGTTCTGCTTTCTTATAATCGCTTTGATGAATTGTAGACACTGATATTGCTCACTTGCTGTTTTTTGTAAATTTTAATTCCAAAAATTAGCTTAGTTTTTTAAAATTCCGATAAAATTTTACTTTAGTAAGAAGCCGACTGTGACAAGGTCTGCCATAAAGTTAAACCGACCATGAAAAATACAAAAAAGAGCAAAAATTTTTTCACCACTAGTTATGATTAACTACTGCTGCGCTATATTTTATATTTGATTTCTGGTTTGATCTTTGTTGTTTCTATATGATTGTGTACTATATTTGAAAGTTTTCTTTCGGGAAATCATTTATTCTATACATAATCTATCTTTATGCTCATTTGCTCAGAACCGTTTTCTGTGGCTTCGAAGCCGTTCGAAACATAAATGCTAGATTTTTTGTAATGTTTCAAACGAATGTTAAATCTGTGTGACTCTGCGTGATTTATGTGCACATTTAAATTAGGCACATTTGTTTTGGCAAAATTTATTTATCGTAAGGGTGTTGAATTTTATGTTATATATCATTCATTGTTCAAAGGTCTTCGGAAAAGAAATGCTGTATGAATACGGTAGTGTTTTGGCAAAGTTTTGGTTTTTAGTCATAAAATAATTTACACTTGTTTATCTATGCGTATGTCACAGAGTTATTTCTATTTTAGTATTTTTTACGTGCAGTATTTTATACGTATATTACACATATGTTTGACATTAAGGCATTATAAAGATAATTTGGCTAGTCGGTAACACGACTTTCCCTGTACTGCATGTACAACTTATAAAGAAAAGTCTAGTTTCTATCATACAAATTAAAATTTTTTCACAAACTATGTAAATGTATTTAAATTGGGTTAATTTTGTTAGTTTGCAGTTTTATCATATTGGGCGTGGGCCAAACTGAATAAGAGAAAATGGTCCCAATTATAAACACATCATATAACTGCCACTATACTTATATTAACAATTTTAAAGCCGTTTTTTTAGAAGTGCATACTATGTGCACACGGGTATTTAAAAAAAAGTCGTGTTGATGATGACTGTAAAAAATGTTTAAATTTATTATTTTAACATACTAAAAAACACCAAAATTTAAATATTGTATTTACATTTTTATATTAGTGTGCTTTTTCGCACGGCTTTTTCCGTAAAAAATGTATAATTTGTTGTTTATAGCGTCTGAAATGCATTTAAGCTTTTGTAAAAAAATTTTATGGTGCATTATACTATGCAAAGGCCGTTGAAGATTTTACATGTTTGGACAATTCTTGAATAATGTTGTTACCAAAATTTAGACAAATAAATTCTTACACTTTAAACTAGCCTTTGCAAACGTCTTTGTTTTAAGTTGTTACAATATTTTTATGTTACAAGGTTTCTAGGCTAGTGACTTTGATTTTCCTCTCACGTTACCGAGTTGTCACTCACGTCTAATCGTTTACTTTTAGTGTAAATCTAAAGAACATAGCGTGTTCTGGCTTGTTTCGTGTAATTAGTTAGTTAATTCTCAATTTTTTGTATTTCATTTTTGGTTTTTAGGTATTAAAACAGAAATTTTTTAATAAGGATTAGTTGGAGTACACTTATGTTATTTTTAAAATAAAAGGTTTTTTAATATTATAGTTTAAAAAAACAGGAATTTTGACGCTTATTTTTGTTAGTTTTAATTTTTTCTTTACAGCAGTCGTATAAATAACAAATTTTGTTAGGTTTCCCACAAATTGTGCATAAATATGAGATTTAGCTGCTGTAATCTAGTATCGTTAACCATAGATATTTTGGTATAATGTAAATGTACATCTTTTCAATACCATAAGTTACTTTTCTAACAAAAAATACTATTTTTTATAGACAGTGAACTCCCGATATAACGAATTGCACGAGGATTAAAAAATCGTTCGCTGTAACAGGGTGTCGTTATATCCGGAGTTCTTTTATTTAATATCCAGTGCAAATTTTAGGGGATTCAAAAAACATTCGTTATAATGGGGGTTTCGTTGCAAGGAGTCTTATTAGCAAGGTTTTTGTACATAAAATACTTTCTTTTGAAAACTAAACTTCAACTTGGTCATAAAACCTCTATTAATGTCTTTTTTATAATACATTAATAATAATAATATTACCTTCAAGATCTTTTAACCTTCGTTTTATAAAAGTAGGTATGTGGCACACAGTATACTACTTTTTATTTTTTTGGGAGGAATGTTTATTTTTACATCATCTTTAATTTTAAAATTTGTTATCTTTCTTATTTAACAAGATTTATTTTTAGGTTTTAAAATGCACTTCTTCCTCCTCTCGCTAATAATGACTCTCGGCTTGCTGACGCCGCTACTTAGCGCTAGCATTTTTGATCATGTAGCTGAACAATATTACAATCACCCTCAGAACAAAGAAAAATATCATGGTTATTATCCGGGATACTACAATCTTCCTTATCCATCTTACTCTCCGCCAATGGTTGCCAGTTACTATCAAACCTATGTGGCACCACAAGTCTTTGGACAACGCAAATAATCAATTTTTGTATATAGCGTCGGACTTAATAAAATTAATTTGTTTTTGTGTTTCATTACCGTATTGCATACTGATATAACATCCACAAACGTGTGACGAAAACCCAAGCTGTGTAAAAAAATAAAATATTTTTTGTTTTTTAATATTTTTTGTTTAAGTAATAAAACAACATAGCAAATTAAAAATAATCAAATTAATGTATAAATACAGTAAAATTTTAAGTTTTTCTAGCTATTGAAATATTTCAAAAGTGAATTTAAAGCTAATTATTGGAATTCTCCGAAAATTCAGTTTGTTTGAGCATCATACAAATAATAAATATATACACAATGAGCCATATATGAACTTTATTACTTATTTACTTCGCTCTCTAAATTTTTTAAATGGGCTAAAATCGGTGATTTTGTAGCCGTTAAATCCAGGAGCAGCTCTTCGGCCACCACCGATGTACCGCACTTGCACAGTCGTGGTTTCTACTGTTAGCGAAGAATGCAAAACAGCGTATTCGCTTAAAATGGACACAACCAAAGATATGAGAAGCACAATAAAAAGCAATATTTTCATTCCTGAAATATTAACAAATTAAAGAAACGTTAGGAGGAACGAAACGCGACGGTTTTCTGCATAACTATTACCAATAAAAAACTAAATCTTTTAGCAAAAAATGATAAGTTTTTGAAACGTTTACCTGATTGTAAAATGTTGCTTTTTTTTAGCAATCTTTAATTCTATAAAATTGAACGTTTCTCAAAAAGGTTAGAAGAAGTCTGCAAGTTATCAATTTTTAACATAAAGCGCAGATCTCGACTTTTTTTAATCACTTTTACTTATAACCGGTATTAATCCAGAAAAACTTTAATCAAAAAATAAAAGATTTATTGCGTATCATCGTATTTACAGTTTGTTTTTTGTGCAAGCAATCGATAAGATTTACTCGTTTAAAATAAAAAAAAATAATTTTACAAATTCTATAAAGTAAGTAAATTTAATTTTAAGAGTTAACAATATATAATAATAATTACCAAAACATAAAAAATAATTGTTTAAAATTCGTCATCGTCGCAAGATTCATGTTCGTTTTCGAATGGCACAGCAACGTCCATTGTTCCGAAATTGTAAATTTTTGATTTCATTTCTTCGTGAATGTAATCTGTTGGTATTGGCTTAATTACCTTGCGTTTGCAATCCTAAAAAACTGTGAACCTTAATTGCTAATTTCTGCTTTTTTATTATTAACTCATATGACATACCCGACCTTGGTTGTTGCATCGATGATAAATGCGAAGTTCTGGTTCAATTTGTCCAATTTCATATGTGTAACCTTCTAGAATAAATTGCCCACTTGTTGAAGTGACTCCTTCGTCTAACAGGTCGTCAGAGTCTCCAGGCACTACAATGTAATACCTCGCTTATAATTGCAACCTTACTTCTATCAATTTCATATAATTTGACTTTAGCGTCAGCCAATGGTATTCCGTTACATTTAAGCTTTCCCTTTATTGTGACACCTTGCTTGGCAGCTTCAGCAACAATCAACGATAATATGAAGGGTAGAAAAATAAAATTCATTTTGCGTTAAATAAAATTAAAAATCAGTAATCGACACTGAAAAAAATTACTTTATAATACAGATTAAATTACAATGTATATTTAAACAAAAACGTTTTCAATTTCAAAATGTTTATAAAGTACACGACAGCTATTACTATTGTTTATTCGCAAACAGTTTTTGTGTATAAATATTTTTTGTTGAACTATTATATGTATATTGTATTTTACTTTATAGCAAATTTTAAGGAACGGCTCTTTGTATAATATTAATGATAAACATCTTACAGGATTTCAGAATGCTCCCAACATTAGGACTCTCACTAATGCTAGTAAACCTGGTTTTATGTAAAGAACAAGGAACAGCAGTCAGGGGTCAGCTAACATGTCGCGGAAGCACTACTCCAAATGTTGAAGTAAAATTATTTGATTTGGACACCTGTAAGAATTTCCTTTGATTTTTACATCTTTTGTGTAAAATTTCGCAAACATTCTTTATTTTAAATTTTATAAAGTATTTTATTTCTATTATGCTTTTAACTGTTTGGTTTTATACGTTTTTAATTTTCAGTAGATGCTGATGATTTAATGGCGGAAAGTTACACTGGCCCAACCGGAGTCTTTTACTTGAATGGAACTACATTTGAAGTTACCAGCATTGAACCAGAACTTAGAATATATCACAACTGCAACAACAATGGCAAGGTAATCTGTTTTAGATTTTTGATAGAATCTCAAATGCCCACTTGTAGCATAGAAACTTTTAATAGTCATTCTTAAAAAATTGTTTTTAAGCCTTGCAAAAGAAAGATCCGCCGACGTGTCCCTGACCAGTTCATTTATTCAGCTGGCACCGCTCACCAAGTTTACAACCTGGGAGCTCTTGAACTTAGTGGTACATTTGAAAACGAAGGTACTGCTTGTGAAAACGAAATCTAAATCTTATTACACATCTTATAAAAATCTTATTTTTTGTTTAATGCAATCGTGTTTATGCAGTTATTCATTCGTGTAATAAATTTTACTATCTTTTACAATACCAATTGGCGATCGTGCTGTATTAAATTAGAAAAAAAAGTATTCAAGAAATTATAAAAATCAATTTTTTCCTCACTAGGAAACCGCAAATAATGGAAATCGAGTTATAACTAGTGGTATATATATAAATGTAGAGCAAAAAATTCTAAGACTCATGGTGTAAATTTTTTTTGCCAACAATCTCTAGTTTTTGAGATATGGCAGGTCAAAGTTTGGTTTTTCAAATACTTTTGTCTCATGTTCGCTTTTTGAGCGAGAAGCACAGGTGCTTCAATGGTAGCGAGCGAGTGAGCCCGACTTGGACTCGAAAGCTCCGGGGTTCGGTTCCCGCCGGCTTCCAACGGCTGAAAGGCCTCAAAAATGTTTTTTATTTTTTTAATTTTAAAATTAATAATTACAGTCTTGAAACTAAACATAAGTAACTTTTTTAACATAAAAAAAAAGAATATAACAAAATTTAAACCAAAAAATTGATAAAAAAAGAAAATTTCAACAATATTTGTACATAACATTTTTATTATTTCACTTTCACCGTTATTGTGGACATTAATGTCATTGTCGGCTTATTGGTGGTCAAGGTGACGCCAGCTACTGATACCTCTAAAGCTACTAGAAGAGAAAAGCCCTTTTTCCAAATTCTGTACAGTAAGTTATTAATGTTGAGAGACTTTGATAATTGAATTTTGGGATGGTGGAGTACAAGAAATAGTGAAGTACAAAATATTAATGTCCACAATACGGTGAAAGTGAAATAATAAAAATGTTATGTACAAATATTGTTGAAATTTTCTTTTTTTATTAATTATTTTGCTTTAAATTTTGTTATATTTTTTTCTTATGTCAAAAAGGTTACTTATGTTGTTTTAAGACTGTAATTATTAATTTTAAAATTAAAAAAATAAAAAACATTTTTGAGGCCTTTCAGCCGTTGGAAGCCGGCGGGAACCGAACCCCGGAGCTTTCGAGTCCAAGTCGGGCTCACTCGCTCGCTACCATTGAAGCACTTGTGCTTCTCGCTCAAAAAGCGAACATGAGACAAAAAGTATTTGAAAAACCAAACTTTGACCTGCCATATCTCAAAAACTAGAGATTGTTGACAAAAAAAATTTACACCATGAGTCTTAGAATTTTTTGCTCTACATTTATATATATACCACTAGTTATAACTCGATTTCCATTATTTGCGGTTTCCTAGTTAGACATTAGTGGTTTTATTTATAAGTCTTATAAATCGAAAACAAATACTATTTCTTTTAACTTAAAAACGTAACAAAAGTCAGCTTATTCGTATAGCTACTTCTCTTAGAAACATCAACGGACAAACCTGCAAAAAGCACGTTGACAATATACAATAAAAATAAACAAAAGGAATTGCCTTTTTGACCGGTCTACAACAATTCTTTATCAATTGCAATTGTGTATACAGTCATTTATATAGTATAATGAAGTTATATACGGTGCTGGTTCTGCTGATTTTATTCAGAGCATATAATGCCGGAAAACAAGGAGTTGCAGTCAAAGGAGGATTACTCTGTAATGGAAAGCCATATCCTAATGCTAAGATTCAGATTTTTGACGTCGATCGATGTAAGTTTTCCAATTATCTAATAAGGAAGGGGCCCAACCTGCCCCACTATGAATCAGCTCAATTTTTTGTACAACCAATAGTACACATAAAAAATTTCAGCTCGCGTTTTTGAGTTTTATCATTTAAATATTTGAATTTTTCGACGATTTGGCAGTGTGTTTCAAGCACTTTTATATGTTTCCTGATAAACGAAGCTTACAAGTTTATAAAACTTTAGGCCCATTTAAAGGTTTTTTACTATTAGTTTGCTTCAAAAAAAATGACCGATTTTGGCGTACACATTTTTGCCGCCCCATAATTTTCTTGTTTTTTATTTTTTTTAAATTTATTTATGCTTTTAAAGTTCACAGTTAAAATCGGTCACTCTTTTTTGGAACAACCTAAGTAAGTATATCAAGGAGAAATGATTAAAATTAAAAAAATGACAAAGTTATAAGCTTGAAAAACAATACCAATTTGGTGAGAAGTTCAAGAGATATTTTTTATGTTCATTTTTTCGAAATTGACTGGAAAGCGCGATTTGGTACTTTTCCGAAGGTCTTACATTTGCAGGATCTCTTTATATAAATAGTTTGAAGTCAATCAGAGCGGGGCAGGTCGGACACCTTTCTTCTAAAATAATGGTAGTTGAAGAGCCGTTCTTATTAATAAGTACGTTTTTCAAAGCATAACAACAATAAAATTGTGTAGTACCAGGAGACTCTGATGAATTGTTGGATCAAAACATATCTGGCAGTATGGGACGATTTCTCTTAGATGGAACAACGAACGAAGTCACAAACATTGAACCAGAAATCCGAATTTATCACAAATGTAACTTTGATGGCGCTAAAGCAAGTTCTTCGTTTTCAGTATAATTTTTGTTGTCAAAATTAACGGCTTTTGTATCGCAAATTGACTATAAGTAGGGGTGAGAAAAGGGCCGGGCCCATTTTTTAGGCCAGGCCCGAGGCCTGCCCGGTCCGTTTTAAAAATTTAAAAATAAAAAAAAATAAACGGAAATTTGCTTTGCATGTTTTTTTCAGATTATTTATGGATCGTGGTACCCAATAAAACCAAAAAACATCAGCGGAAATTGAAATAAAAAAAAATTTTTGGGCTCCGGGCCCAGTTTCTAAGCCCGGCCCAATTTTAGCTCAAGGCCGGCCCGTTTCTCACCTCACTATAAAGAGGAATTGTTTCGACCGAACCGAATTCAAAACGCAATTGCACTATCAATGTTGTGATGCACATGGGAAAAATAAGTGATAGATAAAAAAGAAAATTTTACCGCCTTTCAGACTTGCCAAAAAAAATATGTCCGACCGATTCCAAGTGAATATATTTATGGCATTGAATCCGAGCGGCGTTTTTATGATTTTCGCCAAATTGAGCTGGCCGTTTTGACCAAACACGACAAAGGAGAGATTTGTGATTGATTTTAAGGATAAATTTAATTCCAAGACACCATATTTGTGAAAATTTTTTTCTTGTTTCCCAAATAAAATTTGTTTTTATGTTTTTTAATTAATGAATACCCAACCTGCCCCGCTCAGAATTAGCTCAAAATGTTGATGTAACTTATGTACCACTAATAGTACATATAGAAAATTTTAGCTCGCGCTTTTGATTTTAAGATTTAAATGTTTGATTTCCTCGCTAATTTCATATCCTGTTTCAAGCTCTTTTTTTAAATTACGCTTACAAATTTTAAAATGTAGGTTTATTTAAAAGATGTCTACTAGTATTACAAAGAAAAATAGTTAAAGTCAAAAAATGAAAGTACTTTGTAACTTTAAAACGAATGCCAATTTGGCGAGAAATTCAAAACGTAATATTTGACCTCTTATCCAAGAGTCAAAGCTTTCGGTAAATAAACGATGTACAATATTTATAGAAAATTCTTTCAAAAGCGGTTTATTTTTGATAAATCGAAACGATACAAAAACGCTTGAGCGGAGACTATAATTTTAAAAAACAGTATTTTAAACATATATATGCGATTATAAATATAAATGAATGTAACCGTAAAATTTTCATAGTAAATGACAAGAACGTCAATATATATGTACAGAAGGGTAAATAAACGATGTCCATGTAAAACATAAGTTTATAATCTTGACGAAATTGTACAAGAAGTTTAACCATGTTCAAAAGATGCATTTCTGCTGTGTTAGTGATAAAAAATACATACTCTAGCTACGCAGTTATTGACATAAAATTTTCCAAAACGATTGTTAAATAAATATCCAACTTTTGAGTTTGCAATTATTATAGACCAATAATGTAGTTTTGACAGTTAACAATAAAATATACAACGACGAAGAGAGCATTACCTGTAATATGTTTCAATATAACGATAGGATTAGATTTATGGAGAAATTGGAAAACGTTATAGTACTTTTAACTTAGTCTTCTGAAAGATACAAATACCTTTCACACTTAAAAGTAACACCGTTACTAAACTAAGTAAAGGTTTAATCTTTTTTGAAGTACCTCAATAGAAGTTTACAACACCTCCAACTTTATGAGAGTATTATGAAAATCGACGTTAACAAGACTGTCACGATAATAGTTATTCTATAACGAATAGTGAACGATTTAAGTCTAAACACAAACCAAAAGTAATATACTTAAGTTAAAAAAAGTGAAAGTAAAATATGAGACTATAAAACGAAAGTTTCAAGAATAACAATTACATTTACATGAATAACAAAGCGATGGAAAAAAAAAGCCACAACAAAATAATACAAAAAACTGGATAAAAAAGAAAGCTTTGTTCATTTTATCAGGGACGTCGTTTCGAGGAGGGGGGGTAGGGGGGGGGGGGGTTCCCCCCTCCACCAAAGCCGGTCCGAAAAGAATTCCACAGGTAAATACAGTACGCAAAAAAAAACAAAAAAACATTTTGAAAAATTAATCCACAGGAATTTTTTCGACCTCCCCCTTCCAAGAGAAAATCTGTAGCGACGTCCCTGCATTGTATGTTATGTTTATACTTAAAAGGTTTTGGTTTTGAAAAAAGAACGACTTAATTGCCATTATACAACGAGAATATCTTATCGTCCTCATAACAAAACACATTATCCTATTATTATAATAAATAAACCCGATTATAATCAATCGCGATTACATTAGCAATCCATGCTAAATCCATAGACTTCAATAAACTGAATTTGAAAGTCTTCTTTGATTCCGCCTGCCAACGGTTCATTGTTAAATGTCGCACACCTTTGTGAACGGCCATTAAAAAGATCCTGATCGAGATATAAACCATAATGGCCGCCTCCTGCTCCCATTGACAAAAAATCTTTAGAGGCGTTGATAAAGTATTGGTTGTCTCCTGTCCAAGTGTAACTTCTAAGTTCTCTAAAAAACAGTATTTAATTTCTTAATTCTATAATCACACAATTTAAGACAATCTCTTAGAAAATATTTTTACCTAAAACATAAAACTTTTACTAAGGAACGCACCTGGTATGTGGAAATTCTCCCGTAAACCTGAACAACAAAGACGAATCTCCAGTTCCGTAGTAATGATCTTGTGGAATTAAGGCTGACGATGCCACAGCTCCAAAAACATGGCCATCAACATCTCGAATCAATAGCAATACTGGCGACATTTCTTCTTTCCATTCTTGCATTCGCCTGAAATTTGTCAAATTGAAAATAAAAAACGTTAATAAGACCGTAAAAATACTCGCAAATATTTAAATATAATAAAGACAACTCATCCATTTTGTTTTCTTTTCCCTAAATAAAAACGTAGGCCGAAATCATACCTGTACAGCGTGGCCAATGAAAATCCGTGTTTCTCGCTGCTGTAAATATTAACCCACGGATATCCTTCAGCCCTTGGTGGTAAAATGTCCATGACTTGGTTGATCATGAACTCGTCTAGAATTTGCGAATCTGTAGAACCTTGAGGTAACGGCATTTCTCCCTCTTCCAAATCGTCGTCCAACGACAATCGACGGCACAACTCTCTAACTGTTACAATCTCCCATTCCCTATTGATGTTGTGATGAGGTCCAAATGGCTGGTTTGTCGGTTTCCCGCCTGAAAAAAAGCTTGAAAACATTTTTTTCGAAATACCCACCGAAAAGTAAAATTTTGTATTTGAACCGAAGCACGTAAATGTCCAAACAACTTATTTATTTACAGAAGTAACAAATCTAATTCGTCTATTTTTTGGTATATCATTTTTGATTCAAGCAGGGCCGGGCGGGGACTTTTGGTCTGGGGGAGGGGGTCCAAAAAATCGGCACAGGTACCTGTGCCGATTTTTTGCGGAATTTTTTTTTCGAAAATCCACAGGGGGACCACATTCAATTTTTTTTCAAAATTTTTTTTTCTGGGGGGGGAGTACCCCCCCGTCCCCCCGCCCCCCTCGCGCCCGGCCCTGGATTCAAGAAATAAATAATTTCAACCCCATAACGAATATCTTTCTCATCCCAGACGAAGTCTTAGAAATCCACAAAAAGGGTCCTCGAGTGGCTTTTTTTCCCGAGTACGCATTTAACGCTATTCTTCCCTCCACTTACACGTCAAATAATCTTCCACATCGCGGTCGAGCACAACGAACCCTCTGTCGTTTTCGAAGCTTCGCTTCTTTTTGCCTTTTTTCAACACATCGCCTCCTGCCTTTTCAAACTCCTTTTGTTGGTCGGCTTGAGCTTGTTGAACAGCTTCTTTCACATCCTGTCCGTATTTGTCAGGACTCCATTGTAGTAGAAAATGGTAGATGGCATCGACGCGTGCTCGTGGTACTGCAAACCAGAATTCACGTTTCCTGGTATTCCCAAACCCATTCACCCCCCTTTGATCGTAATCATTGCTAAGTTGTTGATGTAGGGCTTTTGCATCGCTTTCATCTTGAATTCGATGTTTTTTTTTGCGACGGCGGTCCAGACGTACTGTCAGGTAATATGGCGGGTCTGGTGGAGTGCCAATGGGTCCATTAGTTCCTTGAGCAGCGTTGGCGTCCTTAATAATTTGCTGAGGCGTTTCGATTGGCGAGAGGACTGGAGAAAATTCCAAATTGAGGAGGTCGTCCGTTAGGGCGCCTGCTGTTTGTTCTCGAACTTGTTTGGTTTTTTCTCGTAAAGATTCCAAAGTAGCGATAGATTTTTCTCGCTTCATTGCGGATGCCGTCATTTCGGGCTAAAAAATATGTTTCAAAATTAAAACTACTTAAAATTTTGTTTCGTATTTCAATAATAACAAAAAAAAATTTTTTTAATTTAAATTTATTTTAATTTTTTTTCGACTTTTCAAGTATATAACATTCCTACCATTTCACCATTAAAAAAATCGACAAGACTGTTCTGCCCATCGTGTAGTAATCCACTTCCAACTTTGACCAAATTTTGTGGCATTTCAGCGACAGCACTTGCGCCGGTTTTGATGCCAGTTTGAATTTGATCAGCTGCAGATTTCGTATGTGTCACAACGCCGTGAGCAACTTTTTGAGTTCCCGAAGCTACAGTTTGAGCTCCTGATTGTACTGTGCCTTTGATGCTGTTGGCTCTTGCACTGAAACTAAAGTATAAATTTAGGAATTCGTAAGAAATAGTAGAAATTATACCTTTTACCTAAAAATTATATTTTATACCAGTAGGACCAGATATAAAAAAGGGAAAAAACATTTGACGGTAAAAGAGACTTTTTCATACCTTACTATTTAGCTTTCCATATTAGGTGATTGCGAAATTATCCCGCCAATTTTTCAAAAATTTTTTTTAAAATCATGGACTGTTCTAGAACTTTCTGTTGTCAACCTATATAAAGAGATGTCCAAGGACTAAAAACTATTGCATGTTTAAGCTTTCTGTTGTTTACGGTAGTTCAAGAAATCAAGGTGAAACACGATCATGTTCGGGCAGTGTTGCTTCGCAACTTCCGTGAGAACGGCAACGCAACAAGAGCGACGAAGGAAATATGCAGTGCTGTAGGGCCTTCACTTGTCTCTTACGCCACCACAAAAGTTTGGCTCCACATGTTCAAAAACTGTGACTTTGACATGTCCGAAAAGTTCAATATGGTAGACCATCAGCGTTGAAGAAACCCCACCTTCTGAAGCTGATCGAAGAAGGCCCCAGACGAACTATTACTCATTTGACTGTAGAGGTTCAATGTGATCCTTCTTCCATATTAATTAGACTTCAGACCCTTGGAAGATCATGGAAATATGGCCAAGAGGTTCCACATGATTTCAGCAGCGACCAGCTGAAACGCTAAGTGGAAGTTGCACTTATTTGTTGATGTTCCCAAGGACCTTTGCGTGACTTAACAATTTGGTTACTGGGGACGAGGAGTGGGTACTGTATGTTAATCACACCAAGAAGAAACAATGGTTTGGACGTGGAGAAAAGGGTGGGTCAACTCCAAAACCTGGTCTTCACCAACTGGAGGAAGTGACCAGCGTTAGCTGGAACTCAACAAGTATTGTGTACTGGGAAATGGTACCACATAAAACTACGATCCCTGTGGATGTCTACTGTAGACAAATTAAATCTGTTGCCGCTGCATTTCATGGTAAAAAAGACCGGGTCTTCTTCATTCATGACAATGCTCGCGCCTATGTGATAATGTTGACCCAACACAAGCTGAAAAGTTTCGGCTGGACTGAGATGCCCCATGCGCTGTACTCCACTGATGTTGTGCCTTCAGATTATGATATGTTCCACTTTCTTCAAAACCATCTGAATGCAATACGCTTTGACAACCGAGACGACCTCAAGCGATGGTGGACTAACTTTTTCAATTCTAAAACTCCAGGTTTCTACAGAAGTTGAATTCAAATGCTGCCGAAGGGATGGCAACAGGTTGTTGATAATAATGACACATATATTTGTTAATTAGTTGTTGTTGTTTTTTTAATATTAAATTTTGGTAAAAACAAAAATTGGCGGGATAATTTCGCAATCACCTAATATAATATGAATCTGAAAGCCGGAATTCTTACTTCACATACGATCGATCCGCTTTACGAATGATTGAAATTGCTCAACGTTATAAATCTTGTTTTTAAAAATCGTATTTTTTATACAGCTATTTAGAAAATTTTGTATTATATTGTATAGCTATAAAAACTACACCATAAGATGAAATTAATGCGTTAATAAACATAAATTTTTTAAAATTAAATAATAATTTACTTACAATTCTTCGGTCAGCGCTTTAAACGTTCCGTTTAAACAAAATTTATTTTCGACGCGGACATTTTTAGTTTCCGTCGTAACCGTATACGATTTTTTCCAAACCATTTTATTTTACACTATAAAAGTAAGCAGTATTCTAGGGAAAAACACAAAAATTTTATGTACGCACGCCCGTCAGTTTATCAATTTAAAATACTTTCACTTCTTTCACTTAAATTTCAAAAAATTGTCCAAAAAATATGCAAAAAAAACAATGTTCCGTTACCGTTACATTACCCCCAAAACATTAACAAAAAGCAATTTTATAGCGTCTATACCAACTATCTATTGAAGAAAAATCAACCAGCTCCCCCACAGCGAAAGCAGAGCAAACACGACAAAGCTGACATAAACAGTTTGACAAATTGCATAATCTTCAAAAAAATGTAGAAAATTTTTTTCTATGCAAAAATTTTTGCAAGACACATATGTCCATTTGTTAATTTATCTGAAAAGTAAATTTTCTTACCCTGCTGGGCACTGACTGTAGTAAGGTAATAAATCATAAATATTCATAAAAACTATCTTTTCAAATTTAACAATACCAGTATAAAGTTTTATGGCACGTTAAACTTACAAAAAAATGATAAAACTTTTTAACAACTCCTTACTAAAACTGTTCTTGGTGCTGTTATATCAAATACTGTAACAACACCTGTTTAGCCATCTTTTAAGACAAACAAGTGTTGTTATGGTATCGTTTAATCACGTTTAATCCTTAAAATCAAAAATGAGAAATCAGTAAAAAGAAAAAAACGAATCAAAGAACGTAACTCAATCAGGAAAAAAACATAATGAGAAAAGCTACAAAACTTATAATAAAGGCTTTATATGACGAGCTTTACCCACCGGAAAACCACCTCATAAAACATAAATAGTGCTAACGCACATAGTTTAAATTAGAACCCCCAAAAACATATTCAAGCTTCTCATTGACTCATAAACACAGATAAAATATGCAAGAAGACAAGTAAAATTCTTCCAGAAATCTCTTAAAACCCGTTTCAAGCGCTCTTTAAGTTTAAACGTTCAAGTTGACAATAATATATACCATCGGCGCTAGGACAAATACGGTTTTTGGACACTCGCGGATTTTGGACATTTATGGCCAGTGTTTTGCCGGACCGGTCCGGTCCGGATTTTCAAAAATTGCAAAATTGAAAATAACTTTTTAGCTTATGGTTTGAAGTTTTAAAAAATAAATAACTTTTGTGAAGGTCCGTCTTTGGCTATCAATTTATTACCGAAATGGATCACCCGGACCGGCAAGACCGTTTGGGGGGGGGGGGGGGGGTCTCCCCCCCCCCCCCCCCCAAACGACGTCCCTGATCATACTACAAATAAAATAAAAAAAAAATATAAAAAAGAACTATAAAAAATCTGCAAATGTCCAAAAACCGCATTTGTCCTAGCGCCATACCATCTTATATTTATGCAATGATTTAGAGCACGCAAAAACGGATCATAAATGCTTATAAAAATAAGAAAAGCTAAATTTTACTTTTAAATGAAACGGTGATTTACTTATCTCTACCTAACTGCTTATTAAAAACCCACAAAAAAGTTAAAAACCATAAAAAATCGTACAAACTCTCAAAATACAAGAACAAAACCAATATAAAGCAAAAACTATATTATTTTCAAATTTATCCACAATCTCCGAGTTGTATGCGAAGTAATCTTTTTCGCTCTACCATGCGTTTTTCAAAGTCTGTTTTTCTACAAACCAGCTGGGTAATATGCCGTAACAAAAAAAGTTAGCGATTTCACCATTATTCTTTTTAAAATAAAACGCAATTTTAAAAAACTTTAATCAAAACAAAAAAAGAACTACAGTCTGTAAAATTGGTAAAAAAAAAACGGTGCTGTTAATTACAAGAAAACCGAGATATTCTCAAAAAACAAAACGGAAAACACCCCCTCCCTCCCCCCTAATTCAAGAGATTGTCTCTTTAGTTATTTTTGAAATAAACAATAAAAAGTGCGATTATATCACTATAAGAGATTAAAGAGAAAAAAGTACTCCGGTTTCTGAAGGCTTTAATAATAATTATATTTCTTTTAAAACTTTCACTTGTTGCAACCAGGGGCGTCGCTACGGTTTTTCTATAGAGGAGTGGAAGCAACATAAAGTAATTAACCCCCCCCCCCTTCCTGCAAACGCTTAGTCCTAATTTCCGTTTTTATATATTTTTAAGTTACACTGCTACGCAAAGGTTTGCGGCACCTCCCTCATATCACTTTGTACATAACAGATTTTCATAAATTTTTACATACAGTTTGTTGTGAAGACTTAATAAGTAAAAAATTGTTTTTCAGAAACAGTATAAGTTTGTTGATTTCAAATATTGTTATATTAGGTTAAAAATAAAATTTTTGGAAAATTTGGCTAAAGTCGCTTGTATAAAAAACTCAGATATGACGTGTCCCAAAACTTTTGCGCAGCAGTCTTCGTCAAAAAAATTAAGTTTCACTTTTGTGGGCGTAAAGTTTTGTTAAAACAATTAAAACTAAAAAAATTGTGATTTTAGATTAATTTTTCACATAAAAAATATATTTAAAATTTTTATTTATCAATTTATATCTTTTATATCAGTTTTAAATTTGTCTGATCATTTATATTCTATATAAGACATATTCCAATTTCTTTGAATTGTTTTTAGACTAAAAGAATATTTTTTCACCATTCATCATTGTCAAATTACCATGATATCTTCTTCATTCTAATAAATAGCACCAGTTATTCTTCACTTTTCATAATGATTAGATAACCCTACCCATAGAAATTAACTATTTTAAAAAACCAAAACCTGCCTTAAAGTCCTACTGAGTCTACCAAATGACCTTCTGGCCACATCTGGCGACATTTTTGTAAACGAAGCTCTAAACCGCGAATTTCTTTGTGGTCCCGCGGGTTCAGAAGACACGGAACTTAACGAAGTCGTAGCTTCCAATTCCGAATGACATCTAGTTCGACTATCATTCTTTCCCAAATTTGGCCTTTCTGGCACCGGACCGATCAGTTCTTCAAGAGGGGTTTTCTGTTCTGGGGTCAAATCGCTGACCGTGCGTCGTTTTACTTGCACCACTCCCAACTGTTTAGAGTAGTCTTGAGCAGGAGTTGTTGGGGTAGCTTTATCTTCTTCTTTTATACAAGGTAGTTGAGATTCGGATGAAGCGTTCGATGAAAGGGAATGTTGCTTTTGACTAGGACATGGATCGGGCGGATCTAGTAAATCCAAATTGCCATTTGATTCGTAACTTTCCGAAATTCCAGCAGTAAAAACTGAAAAAAAAACCACATTAACAGTCGTTTTTTACAGTCGCAACATAATCATAAAAAAAGCTTATTAACCCCTTAACCTTGAATTTTATAATTTAAAATATTAAATAAAAAGCAGTATGGTAAAAAAAAGTTAAAAAATAAACTTACCTGGCTTATAAGATTCATCAATGGAATTAGAGCTGGACCGGTCTAAACTTTGCGGTTTTTTGGGTTTCTGTTCAGATAAATGAGATGGGTCATAAATTCCGTCAACTTTTTTTTCTTCTCCCGTTAAGTCAGCAATGTGTCTAAACACCGAAACTGATACTACGTCTTCCATGCTAAAAATAAGACAATCACATATTCTTTACCGTGTCTTTAAAGTTGCCATCAAAATTCGTTATAAAAAAAGAAAAAATATCGATGTTTTAAAAAAATCTACAGAAATATTTTAATGTTTTCAAATAAATTTAAAAAAATCTCAAAAGCAGAAAGTTGTAAAACAAGCATCAATTGTTGCACTCACTTTGCTACCATTCCATATAGATCGCTACCCTTTTCTTTAACCAACGGATGGCTTAACTCTGGGTCAAACATCAAACAATTTGGAGTAACAAGCAATGTCCCAGTTACCGTACCGTCAGATTCAGTAACTTGTTTCACTTTGATTTTCAAAAACCTTTGTAGACATTCAGCGTCGGCCAAATCAAATTCCATAGATTTTTTCGTTTCCAACATCGGTTTACCATTATCACTTATATTATTGTTAGTCTTCATCTGATGGTCTACAAACTGAAGTGGAGCTGGAACACCTGGTCCTTTTCGAATTCCATCTAAAATTGATAAATTAAATTATAGTGCAAGTATTATTATTTTATGTTTTTTTCAATAAAACCATAATGGCATTTTACTATCGTAAAAAATTAAAAAACTAAACTAGGCTAGAGTGTATGGCACTTCGTACTTTTAATTAAGCTACATTATCTCCAACCCTTTGTAAATGCTACTAATCATCTTCAATTTTCTTACAATCCTAAATAACAAATGTTTTTATTGCCTCAGAACTCTCGTTTCAAAGCACAACTGCAATTTTTTGTCACTCACTCTTATTATTGAATTAGAAATAAAGAAAGCAAGCCGTTTGAGGATCAATTTTAATTCGGTAAAAACTTATTCACACAAAGTGAAAACAGAAACAGCAATCAATAAAAAAGAAAATCTAATAAATGACACAAAAAAACTCCTGTCGCATGTCATATTAAAATTAAAAAAAACAATTCAATTTTAAGAGATTTTGGCCGTGGTAAACAAAGCCATCCCATCATATTACGGCAAATAGTTTTTAGATTAAATTATAGAATTTTTACTCACGCTTGGGCCTAGCATGACTAGTGATGTAGATAAGAAAATGAAGCATTGTAACTAAATGATATCTAATTTTTCAGCACGACCGACGTGTTCTATCGTTACATAATTTTATTTGTCTATTGAAAAAAAGTTTAAAAATGTAGAAAAAAAAATTCCAAATATAAAAAGTAACAATTAAATTCGTGAACAGGTTAACTGACAATGAATAAATTCAAAACTTATGAAAACGCATATTTAAAACATTAAAAAAACAAATGTATTACAAAACACCATTGCCTGTGCTAACCAACCGCTTAAGTACAAAAATAGTAACAAAAACTTACCCCAAAATCCCAAGAGAACCGTCATAGCCATAATTACAATTCTGCAGAACAAATACACAAAAAAGAGAAACAGGACCACGCTCACTACACAACTTACACTATCAGCTGGAATTTCATAAAGCAGTATTTAAAGCGAGTTCGAGATAAAACAACAAATGATAAGATTAACAATTTAAAACAGTCATTTTAGTACAATGTATAAAATTAAACAAATATTTAAAACTTTTACAAATTTTTAAAATGCAAACGTATTAATTTCTAGTCTAAAATCTAGTTATTATTAACATGTCCTCCACGGTGTTAAAAATTTAAATAGTTTAAAAAATACGCTCAGATACTATTTTAAAACACCACTAAAACGTTAATTTATTACATATTATATTATTGTTTTTTGACAAATAAAAGAAAAAAGACGTAGCTAAACCAACAAAATAAACGGAAATGTACTCACCAATATCAGAAAATTACGCGTATATAATTTCATACCACACTAATCATGCATAAATTTAATTGCTAAACACCTAATCAAACTAAATCGTTTGTTAAATTCAAAATCTAAAGCCTGGGTTTAATAAGCAAAACTTCTAAAAAGTCAAAGCACTCGTTATCACCGACTTTTCCACATCAAAACAATTTTTTAACCAAAAGGATAGAAAACAAGTTGTTCAAACAAATAAAACCATATACAGCTCTATTTTTTAAAGTGAACAAACACCATATCTGATTTAAAAATTACTTAAAAATTCACATTTCCTTTTTCATATTATAAATATATACAATTAGTATTACACAAACCATCACACCATATAAAAAACCAAGCTCTGCACCACAGTGTTTTCCACATTAGTACAATTCAAAAACAAATTCAGCATAAATGAACAAATAGTAATGCATTTACCAGAACAGCACACAAAATTTATGCTAATACAATAATACCTTGATCCAGGGACGTCGCTACAGATTTCCTCTGGGGGAAGGGAAGGCCGAAGTTTTTTTTTCGTTTTTTCACGTACAGGTACCTACCTGTGGAATTTTTTTTCGGATCGGCTCTGGGGGAGGGGGGGTCCCCCCCTCCTCCCCCTTTCCCAAACGACGTCCCTGCATTGATCATTCAAGAAACCCCCATTCAACTACAGGTTTCATCATCAAAAGTCACCTTTATCATCATTATTTGCCGCACAAAAACGTAAATGATTAATTTAAGTTTATAATTTAACAATTTCAAAAAATAACGATTTTCAGGTTTATCTTTCTTACGTTCTTCTGTTTTTAATATAAACAGCGATAATTGTGGAAATTAAGCAAAAAACTATCAAATGAAATTTTATGCTATCTATAAACCGTATTAAGTAAGTATCAACAACAGGTATTTCAAATTCAGCAGTACGTTTTGTTACTAAGAAAAATCCATTTTAAAACGTGGTTAAAAAAATGTTTTACCGATAAATTTTCAGTCATTCATACTAAAAACGAAGCGATTCCACTGAGAATAAAAGCTTACATTCGCAAATGCATTCGATGGCATTTATTTCAATCTTTGGTATTTCCATTATCGACGAGTGTTTTAACGATCGTTTATCTTGAACTAAAATCAAACTAGCCCTTCAATTCACCGTTTATAACGTGAAAATCGCGTTTAATAAACCCACAAACACAGCCCCCTTTTCAAAATCTGCACTAACTTTAAAAAATTTTTTCACCAAATAACGACAACCTGTGGAAAGTTTTTACTTCGTATTTCGTATTTAATCTTGGTTTTCGTGTATAATCCACATATCGTAGCAACATTTTCCATAAGCAAAAACAATTGACATTAATTCCGCAGCTTCCAACAAAAGAAATAACGTGTAAAATGCTAAAGCAAGAGACAGCTTTTATGTTATAAAATTAGTCGCCAACATTATTAAAATAACAAAGGTGGAAACGGCTACTAACACAGGTCCGTAACACTCATTCAGCTAAAACTCCCGTTTTTACGTAGAGTTTGTACATTTTTTTTCAACCGAGAGTACGTCAGTCATTTCGAGAAAGAAATAACTAGAAAAAATATTTCTTTATAAAATCCGTACCCACATATGAATGCGTGAGAGCGACTTTTAGTAAATTAGCCTATTATTTTGGTGCCACAATAAACGACATATTTCCGTGATTAATTTCATATTCAATTTTTATAATTCGGCACATACACTCATATCATAATGCAATTTCAAAGGAAAACGTTAAAAACAGTACCACACGCAAAGAAACCTTTGATTTTATATAAAAAAAATAAACAATGTTTGTGAGATCGTATACGTTCGAACAAAAGTATTTTAGGTAATTACCAATATATTGGCCAATATTTGAACGAACGTAAAAAAGACATACGTCGCGGCTAATGCCAATAAGAATGTAACTTCATACTTGGAAGAACTCTAAACATTAAAAACACAATGAAGTAAAAATTACCTGAACAAGTTTCATTCATAGAAAACGACCGCGGGTGAGCCTTTACATCCATATTTTCAATTATTTGAGGATTTTGAATGCTCTGTGTTTCGGCCTGCGTAAATATGTCGTCCGACGTGACAGGAACCAAGATTTTTTGACCAGGGAAAACCTAAAAATAATTATTAAAATAGTTAAAATTATAATTTTAGGTAACGAGTATTATAAATGTCCAAACTATTCCTATGTTGAAAAAGAAACCGAAAAAATGCAGCAGCCAAACTATTTTATTATAACAAAACTAAAAAACAAAATTTTAAAAGAAATAAATTTGGTACAGTTTCAATAAAGAAAATTCTACCCAAAACCAAATTATTAAGCTTTATTACGCCTTGTAGTCTTCAAAATATTTGTTTCGTTTAATGTTCATTTTATGTCCCTTATGGTATATTAGCAAAAAAAGACTTTCAATTCGTGCGTGATCACCAAAAAAAAAACCAAAAAAGACCCATGATTTTTAGAAGTGGTGAGACGAAAAGAGAAAACACTGGACATTATTTTCTGATTAATATAAAAAATCAACTGTTTCTCAATTAAATTTGCTGCATATATGTATTCAAAAGACAAACCAAAATACTTCATAGCTTTTTTTCGCCCTTTTTCAGCCTATAAAACAAAATGTAGAACAGAATAATTAAACTTTTAAGAAAACTTAAATTCTTATTATCTGTTAAATTATTCTTTCTATATAAATCATAGAAAAACTCCCGTGTATACTGCAGTGTATACCATAATATCTCCTTCCTTATAACCATTTTTTAAAATATTTGTATTTTATTAGATTCAAAATCAAAAATCCCGTCTAAATAATGAACTAAAAATTTTTAATTAAGATTCAATTTTGACCATACAATCCAACAGATAATTTCTTCAGAAAAATAAATTATTCGGGAGAAGACAGATTATACGATGAAAAATTCCCAATAAGTTTAGAAGAAAAAATAAGACACAAAAGACTTTTTCTTCAAACTATAATTTTCAAATAAATTTTATAAATTGCTTTTCAAAATCAAAATATATAAATACCAAAAACATAACGTGATGTTATTCAAGAAATTTCAAAAGTTATCCGGCTACACAACTAACAAATTTTAAAACCACTTCCACTTTTCAAACACTAAAACAATATAAAACGCTTAAAGCCTAAAAAAATACTAAAAATTTGGCGCTTTCTATAAAAACAACAGCATTAAGAGCATCGATTTTTAGAATGTTTGTGGACGGAAGTCAGGCGACGCGGTTAAGGGCCGCTTAAGAAAGGTTTTTGTTGGCAAGAATGAGTGGAATATTGCCGTCAAAAAACTGTGCTAGGTTAAACGTTTAAAGTCTTTGATCCCAATTGAGTAACTTTGCATTTCCCATCGACGACATCAAAATCGTCTTTGTTGAAGGCAAATGCACTGTCAGGTTATATTTTCCGTTTCCAACTCTTCATTTTTTAAATCACGTAGGAAATACAAATTTTTGAAATTAAAAAAAAGTTTTACACAATGCCAATACTTTTAGCGATTATTGTTTTTCGCTGTGATACTCATACACCTATCCGGCGCTAGGACAAATGCGGTTTGGACATTTGCGGATTTTTATAGGGGTTTTTTTAATTTTTTAGTTAATTTAGTTGTATTATGATACTAAATGGTACTAAAGTTTAAATTGGTACCGTTTTAACATAACAGTACCATTTTGGGCTTTTAATACCATTTAGTACCAAAAAATATAAAACAGTACCAATTTAAACTTTAGTACCATACTACAAGTAAATTAACTAAAAAATTTAAAAAAAGCCTTTAAAAAATCCGCAAATGTCCAAAAACCTTGCAAGTTGAAAAATTAAAATTCTTCAAATTGCAACGGTTTTTAAATTTTCCTATTTAATTCTCAAAAAATTGTTATAAGCCTTACCGCATTTCTAAACCAAACATAATTAACGACCATTTTTATCGTGTTCATGCAAAAATAAAACAATAATATAGCGTAATCTTAGAATTAACTACCAAAACTGTACCAAAATAGGATTTATATGTTTGAACGTTTTGTAAACAACGTGTTTTGCTAGATTTGCATAAAATTACAGCACACTACAGGCTGATATTTTATATAAGATAAACAAAAATTTTTATGAAACTTTGTACTTATCGTTATTAATGTTGAGCATAAATGCATAAAAATATATTACCAAACAAAAATTATATTTCTCTCGTTTTCAAATCAAAATTAGAATTAAACCATTTATGTGGCAGCGCAGCGATGCTTATTTAACAAGGAAAGTACCCAACCTGACCCCCTTCAGAATCAGCTTAAAAACTTTATATGAATTTTTGTACCACTAGTAGTACCCAAAAAAATTTAGCTCGCGCTTTTGAGTTTTAAATTTAAAATATTCAGGCCCGGCCCAAATTTTTTTTCACGTGGAGTGGAAACGGGCCGGACTTTTTCGAGATTTCCAGACCCGGCTTAAATTTTTCTCAAGGACGGCCCATTCTTCATATCTACCCGAGATTGGCTGGAAAGCGCGATTTAATACTTTGCTAAATATCTTATATTTTCCTTTCTAAATAAAAAGTTTGAAGTTAATCAGAGCGGGGCATGTCGGGGACTTTCTTTGTAAGTTCAAATTTTTGTTTAAGTAAGTTTTTATATGTATAAAATATTACCATTCTCAACGCCATTCGATTAAGCTTGACCAATTCTCCAACAGTGCAGTCATGAGCTGCCGCAATCCCTTCCAGTGTGTCGGTCTCTCTGACCACATAGCTCATCTAAAAAACACAAAATTATAATTATAATGATGAGAAACTAAATCTAATTTTAATATTGTCAAAGATTAACTCACTTATAAAAATTTCTAAACACCGCTATGATTAGAATTTACGAAAGCTATTGAAAAACCAAACTATATTTATTAAAACTGCACATTAACGTTAACTAATGCATTAAAGAAGCATTTAAATAAATTTTACTTATATCTTACAAACATTTCAATATTGAAAAAGTTACCGTAAGCAATTCATCAAGACTTTTTGAATTGTACATACTACTAAAGTGTTTTGAGCAGCTAAACAAAAAGCACAGATCCCACACTTTAAACAACATATGAAACAGCCAGTGCGCAAAAACAACCGCAAATTATGAAATGTCATCATAATCCTCGATTAAGATTAGCTCTAGTTTGATTGAGTAACACAAAGAGTAGCTTTTTGAATAATATAAGAACGTTTGAAAAATCATTTTCATATCGAAAAGTATAAAGACTACAATTATACAAGTTTTTAAGTAGGTAGCTATGGTCTTTTGACATGATATGAACAATATGTTTTATTACAAAAGTTCATAGCTAAACAAAAAATCAAAAAAAAAACGAAAATTTAAGTCGATACACAATCATTTATAAAATACAATTGTGAGAGCCTTTTTTTCCAGCAAAGTGCCAGAATTAACAGCGTTAAGAAATTATTGTAAATACTTTAAGTTATTTTTCTTTCGTCTAAAGGTAAACAATGCACAAAAGAGCAGTCTCCGATTTTTACTTTTTGCTTTGTGGAGTGCTGTTTATCCGTCGTGCTATTTTCTCGCCGGCTTCCAATAAATCTCGGCGTCTTCTCGGCTTTTTGTGTGGAATAAAGTGCCGATGAAAACAAAGCGACTTTTAAAAAAAAATAAAAGTGAATGTATTTTTGTTACTATGAAATTTAATTTCATAAAAATCCGTCTTTATTTTGCTATGTGCAAAACAAGATTTTTTGTGGCTTATCCACTCTTGGGTCAGTAACTTTGGGAAAGTCTTTTCAAGATGAATTACTTTACAAATTTAACTTAAAAAAACTTATATTTAAAAAAAAATGATGTAAACTTTTCAAAAAAAAACATAAAGTTTTATAGAACATACAACCCAAATCTCCACCAATTTCACGGTTCTTTAAAATTTAACGCCTATACGGCTTTAACACGTAAAGTTTAACGTTCCAAATCGTTAGTAAACAAAAATCCACAGGGAAACAGTTCTGCCTTTAAACAAATATCTACTTTCTTCATAGACGCAGGTGCTATATGTTATGTTATAAGAAGAAAAAAAAACACTTACAGCTAAACATTTTTAAGCTTAATTGCAAGGCCGGACGGGGCTTTTGGTCTGAGGTCAAAAAATCGGCACAGGTGCCAATCTTTTGCAATTTTTTTTCCCAAAAAATCCAAAGGGAGCCACGTTCAAATTTTTTAAAATTTTTTTCTGAAGGATAGGGGGTACAAGCAAAATAACAGGTAAAGAAGAAACAGAAAACCTAAGAAACATAAACTAAAATTTTTTGATTTTTGTGGTGTTTGAAAAGGTCACTTTAAAAATAAATAATTTACAGTTTCATAAACTTATATACGTAAAAGCACAAGTTGACACTCATGTTTCCATGGCTAAACTTAAAAAGCAAGAATCCTTCAACATTAACCACCGTGCATAAACAGATAGAACATTTTTAACTGGTTTAAAAACAAATTTAAATTATACATAATTTACTTGCTCTGATAGCTTCTTACTATGATAGAAAAAGCTCCTCACTGTACAAATACCGGCAGTAAATAGTTTTGCACTCCCACACAATTCATTTTTGGCTTTAAAATTCGAAGAAAAAAAAAGAGCCGATGACACTCCGCAATTCCCCATTGAATTCTTCAAACTTGGTGCAATAAATCAATGTAAATTTATACCATCATAAAACTTTAATTTTGATGGGTCACAACACAATCTAATTAATATAAACTTTGGAACAATTTTTCCTCTTTCAGGAGTATTCCAGGCTCAAATTTCGTTCAATCTTTTTTATTGAAAGATCATGTAAATGTAAGATCTTATGCAAAATTCTAAGTTGCGGTTTGCGGCCAAACTTAAGAAAATAAAGATCAAAAAATTGCGTTTTGAAGTTCCCGCCAAATTGGCAGTTTTTTAAGCTTTTAACTTTATCACTTTCAGGTTTTTAACTCTTTTCCTTTAATATAAGGATGCTTCAAACAAACCTGCAATTTTAAATTTGAAAGCCTATCTTATTTGGAACATCAAAAAAGTGCTTGCAACACAATGCCAAATCTGCCAAATTGGCGGAAAATTTAAATATATTAATTCTAAAACTTAAAACCGCAAGCTAAAATTTTTTATATGTGCTACTAGTACTATTACAAAGAACCCGTATAAAAAATTTGAGCTAGTTTTGAAGGTTGCAGGTTGGGTACTTTCCTTGTCAGATCCAACCTCAGGATTTTTCTTTAAAATGGTTTTAGTCAAATAAAAGTACCCGAAAAAAATTTTGGTTGGCTCTAGAGGAGTACCCCCTAGAACTTTCCGCAAACGACGTCTCAGTACAAATTTAGTAAACTTTTACAAACAAATTCCTATATTAAAGGAATTTTTACAATAATTGCCCAATTTTATATAAAAAACGTTAAAACAGCTATGGATTTTTTTATCAACCATGATTATTCTAGCGTGAAGCCCAAAATCAAATAATCTAAAAATAAAGAAAACGTAATCTAAAGCTGTTGCGTGAAGCCGGCTTACAACGAAAAGGGTTTTCCTAATTTTGCACCGGATGTTCGGAAATTCAAAAGAACTGCCTTAGGATACGAGTTCAAAGCAAATATTGTAAAACGATGTGGTTCGTAAAAAACGTTATCCCCTTTTTTGCAAATTCTCAAATTAACAGAACTGTTTAAAAATGAACAGTTTGTTTCAAAAATTTATAAATATGGTGTTTCAACAAAACACTGTCTTTATAAATCATGTAACACCCTATAAATTTCAATCTTTCGTTTGAATAACATTTTTATGTTCTTACTTATACCAACTATAATTTGTTTCTATCAATATGCAGCACGCATATAATATATTATGAAGCAAGAAAAATGTCACAAAAGTAAAACACTCAATAATCCACATCTTTCCCCTTTCCATAAAAACTTTGGATTATCTCGTATTCTTTAGAAAAACACAGAATAAATAATGCCATTAACAAACGTAAATTAGTATCGTTATTCGGTTATAAGCCAAAAATAAAAACAATTGTTAAAAAAGAATAGTATTAATATTCGTTCCCTTTTCGTAAAACCGTACATTTTTAAAATCTTTTTAAAAAAATTAAAATTTCAATTAAGGTCCCAATTGCAAAAAACATGCACCAAAAACTAAAAATTCGCGTCCACACATTTCGCCCTAATTTATAACTCATGTACTTCTGGAATTACTTCCTGCTGTACGTCGACATTTTTTGCTCTTCTCTTCTCCCCCATAACTAAAGGAACAAAATTTAATTTTCTGTGACATCAACTTGATTATGATGGACTTTTATGCTGTGTGTTCCGAATATTTTTTATTACCCCTACGCCTTTGTCAAACAATTTCCGTGTCTCACAAATAAAAATTTCCGACGTACAAATGCAAGTTATTCTGTCTGTAGTTTAAATTAGAGTAAAATAGTTTTTTATTAATAGCTCGTGCTATTTTCGTAATAAAAAGTGTCGGTTTAGAACATTAGTGTCAAAACCAAAAGATTAAAGAAAAATAAACAAATAATCCAATTAAAAAGAACTCTCGTTTAAACAGACGTTAGTATATGTTAACCGTCCTCCATGTCTAAAGCTACATGAAAAATTTCCAGTGACATTGAAAATCTTTTTAAAAGTTTCTTGTAAGACTTTCTTTTCGACCATAAAAATCCCTTTGGTCGAATTTAATTTTTCAACACAGTAGGAAAAAGAAAGCTAAAAATTTTTTGGTATTAGCTTTTCAATTTCAATCTTCTATTTAAACAAAACTTGTCCAAAAATTATCAAATTTACCCAAAATTAAATTAAAATGTGTAAATCAACCCCGAATTTCGAAAACGCCCCTAAAATCCCATTTCCGTTCAAATCCGCCCTCGCCGCAATCACGTGCTCTAATCTACCCCGCATAAGACCATAAAAAATAGTAGTCAAAATTTTGCAAAAGAGAAAAGTTTTGTTCGGAACGCGTTCTTCTGAATCTTTCCGTTCTCTATGAAACGTTTTGCGTCCGTTGGGAAATCGGACGTAACGGCCAGAAATATGCCAGCACCCCGATAATCAAAATTGAGAAAAACACAAAACTATGCCACTTATAAAATTACTCTGTTCCCGTGCCAACAAAAACAATGAATTATTTTTTGATTTTTCAATTTATAACGTTCCAGAACATTGAAAGAAGACGCTCTTCCACCACAAGAATTAAAACCCGTAGTTGATAAAAGAAATTCAAATAAATTTCGAAAAAAATCGTCAAAATCCTTAACTGACCTTCCTCCATTGTGGGTAAAACATTCTACTAAGCTTTTTCTGGCTCTCCTTTGATTCACATTAAGCGCTCTAAAAATTGAAGACCAAATTGTTTATAACAAAAAAAACAAAGTATGTCAAAAGTATACCGATAACACGACCTTTTATAAGGAAAACAAAAAAAGACCTTACCTTCGACTAATAACGTTTTTAGTAAAACAAAAATATGATCTAACGTTAAATTGCATATCGTATAGGATGTTAATTAATAAGTGAGGTCACTTTAATAGTAAATCAACAATTTAATTACTATTTAAGTAATAATACGTTTAAATAAAGTACAATATTAAAAATAAATTTTAAGCAATAGACTATTTGACCATCTTTAAGGCTAAAAAAATAAATAAATTAAAATTTTTACATTTAACCCTTTATTACATTTCTAGCTCGTAAAATTATAAAACACTGATCTTCAAACATATAATCAACCTTTTCATAAAAAAATTTTTAAACGCCTTTATATAAATTATTCTCCGAAAATAAATAAAACAAAAATTACAAGAACTTCTTTAAAATTAAATTTCAGTTTCAACAAAAAAATTTCGTGACATGCTCTTTCGAGAAGATTACTTTTTGGGCAGATATCAGAAATCTACAATCTTTGTAAACTGCCCAAAAAGACCCGCAGTCAAAAATTTCAGATCAAAATTTATAAAAGATTTTCTTATCAGTCTTAACACTTTAAAAAGATGAACGAGTTGACGGTCGAAAGAAACAGTGTAACGTTTTTTTGGAAAACAGAGTAATAAATTTTTACCCATTTAAAGCATTGTAAGTAAAAAGATTGTCTTTTCAGACATTTAGAGTGGATTTTAACCATATAAGTAGTAAATATAAAAAAACGTTTTCATCCAACACCTGCTTTTTAAGATTCTCAAAAACCTTAAACACTCGTGAACCTAAAATTAAATTTCTTTTTTTAATTTATAAAGTTTAATGTTGCGCCTTCACGTCCCGTTTCTCGTCCATACCCAACCCTAATTTCAAAAAAAAATGACTACAGTTTTTCTCCTTATTGTACGCTGAAACGTTATCTTAAAATTGCTGTATCTTTAAACAGAACTCGGTAAACGTCTATCAAAACAGCTCACAAATTGAAAACTGACATATACGACTCACGATATTGTTAAATTTGTCACCTAGTTTCACTACTGCATTCCCTTACCCATATTTATTCCCTCTCTATTTTGACGCGTTCGTATTTCTGACTTTTTTCTCTCTTGCGCAAATCAAAATTAGGTTTACACTCAAGTCTCACTAACCTTAAGGCTTTTTGAAATATTGGCATTTTCCATTTATATTTTTTGTATAAACCTGCGTTTTTCTTTCTCACATTTGTCAGCTATTATAAAAAGCGGGATTTTTTCACAGTTTACTTTTTATTAAACAAAATCAACATGAAAAGTGCTATTTTTAAAAATATACTACTTATTATGGTTTTGATCGTTATAATAATTAGTTACATAATCATGAACACAAACACTTATCTCCATTGAAAGATTAAGTCTTGCCAATTATGGTTTAACCGAAAATGAATCTATTTGTAAAATCCAGAAAAAAAAATATAAATTGGAATCTCCAAACTCCACTCCCAATAGTAACATGCACAAAAAGAAGGTATATGTTAAGATTAGAACGGTGTTCTCCATTATAAACTGTTACAACCCAGAGAAACGGTTACCGCTGTTTTTTACAAACAACAATTGGTAAATTTGGATACCCACAAGATGCTGCCTCTTCCGATTACCAATTATTTAGATCAATGGCACACGGAAATGCCTACTTACATTGTAGAAAAAAACTTTAAAAACAGTCCTTCAATTTAGAAACGTGAGTCAATCAAATGAACAATAAAAACATGATCCAAAAAAGCCACAGTAAGATGCATTGGAAAATAAGCCACACGTCAAAAAATAAAACATCAATAGCATTCCTTTATTGAGATCGAATTTTAATAATTAGTTAAATTTCATTTTTCTGTTTCATTATATTGTTCGTAAAGCTGCTCAATGTGAGGCGGAAGCTCGTAAGATTCTTCTTTAAATTGTCTAGTTATTCTGTCTTCCTTGTCCATAGCATCCAAATCAAAAAATTCATTTACTTTCTCCAAAATCTAAAATAGAGAAATAGGGCGCTAGGACAAATGCGGTTTTTGGACATTTGCGGATTTTTTAAAGGTTTTTTTTATTTTCTAGTTAATTAAGTTGTAGTATGGTACTAAATTGTACTAAAGTTTAAATTGGTGCGGTTTTAACATAACGGTACCTTTTTGGGCTTTTAGTACCACTCAGTACCAAAAAATATAAAACAGTACCAATTTAAAATTTAGTACTATTTAGCCCTAAAACATTAAAACGGTACCAATTTACACTTTAGTACCATTTAATACCATAATACAACTAAATTAACTAAAAAATAAAAAAAACCCCTTTAAAAAATCCGCAAATGTCCAAAGTCCGCAAGTGTCCAAAAACCGAAGATCCGCAAGTGTCTAAAAACCGCAGATCCGCAAATGTCCAAAAACCGCATTTGTCCTAGCGCCAGAAATAGTGTTTCAGTGCGAATATCACATATATGTAAACTAAAACAAAATGTCCTTCTTTTAATTTTACAAACTATAAATAATAATTCCAGCGATTAAACAAGGTAAAATATACCCTAAAAATCAAATCTAATGTCTTTTAAAAACAAACCTCTTGACCATTTGGTCTAAAGTTATATTTAGGATTAAATACAATAACATCGTCTTTAATTTCTTTTTGCCGCTTCGCGTATAACTGGTAGTCTTCTTTGCTCACCAGTTCTTCAATCGATACGTTCTCCTCATCTTCGGCTACATAATGCATGGCATGAACAAGATTCAACAACTCCAAATGTTTCTTTACCCCTAAAATTTGATGGTATTAAGAAATGAACCATATAGTAATGTAAGTTTCGACAGCTTCAGAAAAATAACACAGCAAAAAATTAATACGTACTGATATATTAAATACGTTACATTTCGATGAATCAAATTTCTAAAACAAAAAAAACTAACAAAATAACATACCAAAAGGTTGAAACTGTGCCAACTTGTCAATCAGTCGTTTTTCCGACACTGGACACCACCATGGCTTGCCAAGAAACAATTTTTCCACATTGTTTAAGTCAAACTCACTATAAACACAAGTGCACCCTATTATCATAACAAACACAGTCTTAAAACGTTATTACCTGATTTAAAAATAATTAATTTTAACATGTATAAATAATAAAAAACTAAAAACCTTGTGAACTTTAAAGATTTATTATAAACAAGTAAACTTTCGACAAACTTACAATAAAACCAAAGATTGTTGTGACATAATTAATGTAAAAATAATATAGATACAAGCATTAGGTATTTTTATTAAAAAGGCATAAGAAATTTCTGAAACGCAAGGAAAATAATTTCGAAAACAAAAACAAGCTGTAACAAAATGCCAAGACAAAAATTTGTTTAGCGAAAAACGCGCGCTCCTAAAAAACCTTTAAAAAATTAAATAATTTTTAAAATAAGAATTCCATTTTTCCTTTTGTAGCGATCCAAAATCAAAAGTAGTCAATTAACAACGCTTTAAACATTGTCCAAACGTGATTCCATCCTTTTAGTCTTTTTAGATGTGCAAAAAAGTCTGACGGATGAAAATCGCATAGAATTAGAAAAATATCAGATTCCGGATTCGAAGGTTGGCCAAATTTTTACGGTTTCAACTGTTTAAATTGCTCTTCTTTAATTCTTGGAATACTTTGGCATCACTAGGGAAACTTATTTTTGACAGTAATAAGCTTTGACGGTTTAAAAATAAATTTACACAATTGGCCATATAAATTTTTCTTTGTTTTTATTAAGAGGACTAATGGTAGCAGCAAATCGGAAGTGGTTTCAGCTTATTTGGGAAAAATACTGCGACTTGTATGGATTGAAAGTAAGATAAAACTTTACATTAGTAAAATTTTAAAGCATCTTGATTCCTCACAATTTGGTCGTTTGGCGCTAGGACAAAAGTCTTTGGACACTTGCGGATTTTGGACATTTGCGGATTTTTTAAAGTGGTTTTTTATTTTCTAGTTAATTTAGTTCTAGTATGGTACTAAATGGTACTGAAGTATAAATTAATACTGTTTTAATACTTTGTGGTGCTAAATAGTGCTAAATTTTAAATTGGTACTGTTTTATATTTTTGGTACCAAATGGCACTAAAAGCCCAAAATGGTACTGTTATTAATTTAAACTTTAGTACCATTTAGTACCATACTAGAACTAAATTAATTAAAAAATAAAAAAAAGTCCTTTAAAAAATCCGCAAATGTCCAAAATCGGCAAGTGTGCAAAAACCGAAAACCCGCAAGTGTCTAAAAACCGCAGATCCGCAAATGTCCAAAAACCGCATTTGTCCTAGCGCCGGTCGTTTGTGTAAAAAGTTTTTGCAATAATAATACAATATTATTTATATAACCATTATTTGATAAATATTGCTATACTTTGTCAAACATACAATATCTTAGGCTATTATAATATACACAATGATGTTATGTTCTTTGGATGTTTCACTAATTATATTAAAGGAATACAATTTGGTATTTTTTGTTAGTATGGTTTTTCTAATTGTTGGTGTTCATCATTTTGGAAGGGTATTGGTGGCAGTTGAAATGAGGCCACAACCGGCAAACACTATAAAGCTTATCATGGCAAGTTTAAACTGTAAAATAAATTGGACTTTACGAGGATGCTACCCAATATTCCGCTATGATTGAGTTCAAACTTTATGCAAATATAAAAAATCATGTAAATCGCGATTTCCAATCAATTTAAAGAAAATCGAAATAAAAAATTACGTTTTGGGCTTTTTGCCAATTTGGCATTGTGTTTCAAGCTTATAACTTGTCGCATTAAGGATTTTGACCTTTAAATTCACCTACATTTTGAAATTTTAAAACCTATATTATCCAGAAAATCAAAAAAAATTAGTTTTAACGCAATGCGAAATTTGCAGAATTGGCGGTAAATTTGAATATTTAAATTTTAAAACTCAAAAGCGCGAGCTAAAAAGTTTTTTTTATGTAATACTGAAAGAATTAATATGAAGGTTTTGAGTTGATTTTAAGTGAGGCAGGCTGGCTACTTTCCTTCTAAATTATACTATAGAATTGTCGTTTAGAAATATACCTGAACAGAGAAATTTTCAGGTAGCGCTGTTTATTGTCTCCATCGCCATAGAGGTATTGTGTTTTATCACGATTGGCAGTTTATTGATACTGGGCGAACCACTGAAGAAAAACGTTACTAAACTGTTTGGAAAACCAGATGTTGACTTTAGTAAGTACGATTGACATGTAATAGCCAAGCTAAAGGTTAAAACTTTACTTTTTTTTCATAGCCAGTGTTTTGCCCGGACCGGTCCGGAGCGTTTTTCACCGGTCCGGTCCGGCGATTTTATGGGTCCGGTCCGCAAAAAAATTTTTTTTTAATTTTTAAAAAAAGCAAGGATCGCTAAAACTGCTTTCTTTTTGCTTAAAAACTCCTAAAAATATGTTTTATTTGCAATTTTTGAAACAGTTTTCTTAAAATAAAAAAAAATTTTCTTCCGGACCGGTCCGGAGCTTTTTCTTCGGTCCGGGTCCGCAGGTTTTTGGGTCCGGTCCGGTCCGCAAAAATTTCTGTTTCGGTCCGTCCGGTCCGGTCCGGACCGACCCCGTCCGCGGACGGCAAAACACTGTTCATAGCCATTTTTGTCCCTATGATAACAAGGATAGCGTTCTGCTTTATCTTTTAGATTCAGGTGGCCAATTTTTACTAATTTTTGGCAACTCTGTCACAACTACAATTTTTATGGGCTGAAGCAATTTATTTAGGTTATGCTTCAAATCTAATGCTTTTGTCGGCTATTTTAATTATGATGTCCGCTTACACGGTAAAAGCATGGATAAAAGAACATAAGAAACTTGTTGTGCGAATGCGCGAAACTCCTTCGTTTGTTGATTTATTTAGCGCTGGGAGCAGATTGTCGTCATTAGTACGACTTTCGTTTCCTCAGTGATCAGATTTTAAAAACTGTTGAAGTAACATATATACTTGTGAATTACTAATTCTATTGTATTTAAACGTTATAAAATAAACTTTAAGAATAATAATGCAAATTACATATGTATTTTATTAAAAAATATGAATGAAATTATGTATGCGTTATAACTTGTTAATACTGCATAGTACAATTTTGTTGAATTCAAGCTTAGGAAGGCAACAATAGAGGAAGAGTTTGTTGAGCAACCGGGGCTGAAATGTTAAATTTTATTATTATTTTTAGTGATATGTCTAGTAATCATGAATATATATATAAACGAGATAAGTGTAATCCTATTATAAGTTTGCCCAAATTTAAAATCACCTGTAGAAGCGGCACTATATTGTATTGCATAACTTACTAGAAGCCAAAGAAGCGAGGTTGGGGAAGGTGGATTGCAAATTAGCTGTAACGGCTGGAGGCTGCGATTGTGCAAGTTGAAGTGCTTGTTGGGCGGCGCCTTGTCCAATACCGAGTAACTATAATATGTCATAATAAATTTATAAAAACGGTAAGCTTAAATATGATGAATTTTTACCAAGTAGCTATAAAATGCCATAATGAAAGTTTTTTTATATATAATAAAAACATAATTAAACATTTTTTGTTTTTTATAATTTATAATAAAGAATCTTTTTTAAAATTTTAAAAACGATATTCTTACTTGTTGAAGGAATTGTTGTGTCTGTGGCGTCAACATGGGTTCAGTTTCAGCCAAAACAGTCTTGCCTTCCGCAATGGCTTGGTTTAACATGGCAGACAAGGTGGGGCTGTTCAATTGCAAAGTTTCAAGAAGTTGTTGAATAGAGGTGAAGCTAGGGAATTGCTGAATCATGGCTTGAACAACTTGAATATCTTTAGGAGTCAATTGTGTGAGCGGAGAAATTGCTGATGATGGCAAGAGAGCTTAATGTGTATAATATTTTTTATTAAAGTTATGTAACGCCGGAACTTTTTTAAAATATATTATTGACGTTAACATACATTGAAGTTGGGCGGGCAACAAAGACAACAAACTTTGTCCATTGGCCGGAGCAATAACGCACGCTAAAGCCAAAACTACAAATAGACCTTTGGAAAACATTGTCTTAATGAAATGACCCAAATAATGTACCTCCCAAATTTTTTTTAGCTTTATATATTTGTTACCAGAAGTAAAAGCTGTAAAAGCTAAACTTCTTTTAATAAAGACAAACGTCATCTGTTTATACGGTTCTTTGCAATTTGATTGGAAATTGTTGTATAGGTATAACCGATGAGCTGGACAAAAAAGGTGTGCAAATATTTTATGCAGAAATTTCGTTATAGGGACGTTTGTTATACAGGAGTTCCACTTTATATACAATATCAATTTTTCTATGTATACCTTTTGTCTGTTGGTTGAACAATAAGTATGATAATTGGGTTACTAATATTCATTGATTTTCAAAGTTTTTTATTACTGAAACTTAAAATAATGGGATGGAGATAAAAAATTCTGTAACCCACTGATGGGGCAACAAATTAAAAAGTTTGACCATGTTGTTACAACTGCACAAATTGAGTTCAACATCTATCTTACAACATTTCTTAACCAACTTTCATTCAAATGTATGAACAAACGACTTTTGATAAAGTTTGTTCAGTATTATAAAGCTAACATACCCAGTATAAAAAGAAGTTTTAAGTAAGAGAAGACATCATTTGGGTGTTTCAAACGGAAGAAAATGGTTTCTGGAAGACTAATCGTAGTGTTGGCTTTAGCTAGTGTCATTGCTCCAACTAATGGACAGAGCTTGTTGTCTTTATTGCCTCCTCAACTTCAATGTATGTTAATTTTAGTATAATATATACTTGGCACTACTTTTTATATCAGTAAGATAACATACTATAATAAAATTTTAAAATTATTCATTTTTCGCTCAAATGACCTAAGGAAAAAAATAAATCTAAATCTGAAAAAACCCTACTACACATCTCTTGAAAATATCAAGATCTTCAATGTAAAATAGTCACGGTAATAAAATTGTTTAGCTTTGTTGCCATCGTCGGCCCTTCCCCCGCTTGCTCAATTGACTCCCAAGGACATACAAGTTGTTCAAGCAATTGCTCAACAATTTCCAAGCTTCAGCTCCATCCAACAACTTCTTCAAACTTTAGAACTTAACAGCCCAGCTTTGGCCTCTTTGTTGGACCAAGCTATTGCTCAAGGAAAAACTCTATTAGCCGAAACTGAAGCCATGTTGACTCCGCAGACTCAACAATTCCTACAACAAGTAAGAATACCTTTAATTAAATCATTAAAAAACAAAAAATATGTGAAAAATCATCATATTTAATCTTACTGTTTTTATAATTTTATTACGACGTATTATAGTTACTCGGTATTGGACAAAGCGCCGCCCAACAAGGACTTCAACTTGCTCAATCGCAGCCTCCAGCCGTTACAGCTAATTTGCAATCCACCTTCCCCAACCTTGCTTCTTTGGCTTCTAGTAAGTAATATTCCTAAGTTTGCTATTTTAACAGACACGTCAACTTTTAAAAATGCTAGCTAACACTCTGAAAAATTAAAAATGAGACATTTCAGCCCCAGTTGCTCAACAAACCCTTCCGCTGTTGTTGCCTTCCTAAGATTGTCATCAACAATATTACACTATGCAGTATTACCAAGTTATAACGAATAAACATTTTCATCATATAATTATTACATTTGGTACTATAAAGGACTACAAATCGAAAACTGCGGTTATTGACATAGAACGCCAAAATTTTGTAAAAAGGTTTTGTGGCCCTTTAAAAAATATCATCACTATTGAATTTTTATTAATTTTACGAACAATTCATTTGAAGCGACGCAGCTTCGCCGTCAAATTCTGTTTGCTCTGACGGGGGCTGTGATATGTTTTCGACTTTTCGTCGATACAGTTTTTGCTGGCACTGACAGTCTTCGGTTTCGTCACTGAAAGACAGAAGACCGTGGTCGCATTGGTAAAAGGCTTGAAGTTCATTCTGTGATTTGCGCTCAATTTCACAACCGAGGTCTTTTAGGCACCTTTCACAGCCAATTAATTTTTGGCAAGGATTTGCTAGTAGGCGTATCCGACCTTGTTCACGTTGACGAGAACATCGAGGGCACTTTTCTACTTCAACATGGAAATGATCCATTTTGTGAATGGTGTGAAATACGTTTGCACTCTAAAAATATTCTTCTATAATTTTAATTTTACGAAAGAATATAAATGTGCTTTTAATGGGTTTTCAAAATCCTTTTTGTACCTGTTTAAAGCAAACTCGAAGTTTTGAAGCCAATATATCAGCGAATATCTTCTCTGTTACCATGTTTCTATGTTTTTCCAAACTGTTTAGTGATAAGCGAGCAGCCACTAACATACAAGACTCCTGTACAAATTTTTCAAATCTGTGTTTCAATGCCCAATTAAGCCAACACAATGCTGTCATCGGCGCTTTTCTTTCCACCTACAAAATTGTGTTAAAATTGTCCCATATTTTAAAAAGCAGTTTCAACATATGTGTAAATAAATAACTTGCATTTTCTCGAATGTACCGGGCACATCGTACTTCAAGACCTTTAGCCGTAAAACGCTTAGAAAGTCTCATACAGGTTTCTAGAACATCATCTAAAAACATAATTTTTAAAGATATAGACATGAACTTAAATTTTTAAAAGGCCAAAACCTGAATCTGAAAAATGAAAAAGTTTGACGGACCAGTCATATCCTTGAGTACCGGCCCAGGCACAGTGCATTCAATAAACCATTGAAATTGAACATATTGAGGTGGGTGTTTTAAACTTGACACAACGATTGTGTATTCGTTATTTGACAACTGTTTGACTCCATTTTGAGTAAGTGCACGGTTATTTAAAAATAAAGTTCGAAAAAATTCGCTAACATGAGCCAACTGATGCTTACATACTAGAAAACGTACATCCTGAAAGTAATATTCAAATGAAAAATAATTTATAAATACATTTTGATCCAAAAATAAGTAAGGCGTTGTGTTAAAAGGTACACGAAAAAAATTGTAACAAACAATTACATATTTGAAAAGAAGTTTAAGATGACAGGTGTCATTTTTGACGTTGTCTCTTCAATTAAAAGCACCTTTCGAGAAGTTTATACTTGATTTTTAGTGTTTTGAAGACCCTTAAGTTTAGAAGAAAAGTATAATAATTTTTTTGCAACACTCAAAAAGACACAAAACGGTGTGCAGACTTTGAAAGATATAAAATAATATTAAAAAGCTTACGTCAACAATAATAGACGCAGAACAGCCTTCTAATCGGCATTGGGAATGAAGATAATCAAAAGTTTGCTTGAACGAAATTGGAGCTTTTTGTTGGGTCTTCTTTTTGGGAGATTTGGAACGAGATCTGTGGGCTAAAACAAAATCACTATTGTACGAAAAATACCGTGCTTTGTTTTTTATATTATGTTTTGTCCCCCGGGGATAGGTCACCCAAAGGAATAGGTCACCCCTGAATAGGTCTCTGGTCCCCCCTAAAAATGGGTCACCTTACTTAAGGTTACAGTATACCTACTGCAAAAATAAAATTTGGTTAAAATGGTCATAAAGTGTAGGTTTCGGGTAAATTAGTTTAAAATTTCAAAACTTGTAAAAAACTAAAGAAAGAACTAATCAACTTTACATTTTTTAGTAACAATTTTTTATGCATCAAACGTACAGTAATTATCTTGTGGCACTTTTTGCGGAGATTCAGACCGAAATCGACCATCAGTAAGAGCGTATTCGGGTGCAACTAAATGGACCTTCGAATTTGAACGACCAAAGTCGTGAGAACTTTCGCGCGACCGAATGGTAGCAGTATTTAATGTGTTCATCGTATTCAGTGTATTTAAGGTATTCAACGTGTTATTATTGTTATTCATATTAACATACTAAAATTTAAATACTTTTTTTACATTATATTACAAAATTGATAAAATTTATCGCGAATACCAAAGACGATAATGTTGGCATAAAATTAAATTAACAATATGATATTTAATTCAATACATTATTTCTAAAAAATTAGACTTACCTCGGTTGAACTGCTTGATGGGTTGGGAGGCTGCAATAAAGTAGATCCAGGATGTGTAGCTGCTGATTGCCAGCCATTAATAACCGTTGGTTGATGATGTGTTGGTGCTGTACCTTGATGCCAATAGTTACCCGAATAGGGATGTTGAAAATTCTGAAATAAAAAAAAATAATTAAAACATAACAATATAAACCAATACTCAAAAGGTGTCTTTAAAACCGCCAAAAACAAACCAAAATAGCGCGTTTGGCAATTCATACCAATAAACCCAGTATTAGAAGCCGAGTGCTAGCAGACGAACGGCCCTATCATCAATCTCCTTCGTAATATATCCGACACTTCGGTCAGCTGTCTATAATAATTAATTAACGCTTACAGTGAGAGCCTGCAACTCCATGTCCTCATCAACGTACTGAGTTCGTATTAACGGTGGCAATCGTTGGGCAGGTGGCGGCGGGCGATTAAAATCTGCATTTCGAGTCCAGTGCTCAAACTCGTTGTCAGCCGCATAATTGTAGTTATATTTTGGTATCATGCGTTTCACAGGGCTCTTACTGCGCTGACGAGCAGTCACAAACTTTCTCAATAGCGACGTCATTACCTTTTGTAGGTCATAACTTATAAGATGTTTGCTAAATCATGGAAAAAACGAGTTATAATCATCTTTACTATTTTAAAAATTACAATGATCAAATTTTATCTTAAAAACCAAACATGCAAATTCAAATAGTTAGGTAATTTTTTAAATAATATTGTTATCTATATTAAATTAATGTTTATAGAACTTTGTGTCGCTAAAAACCTTAAAAGTCCGCATGTACTTACCGCAATCAACACACTTACTTAAAAACAGCATCTTCTTTGCCTTTCTTTAACAAAATGCGTAAATCAGTTAGCCCTTCAGAAAAAAATCGTTTTTATTTCAAGAAAAACTGAGAACGATACGTAGAGCGAAAACAATTATCTTTGCTATGTTTTTTGGTCCTCTTTTCTTGCTTTCACATAAATGCCGATTGGACCAAATGACGCCTCTTCTCTCAGCTATTGTCCTCACAACTGTCTTCATGCAGGAATTGTTTTGCTTATGATAACAAAGAAAGATGAGACTTGTTCCGTTTTTAATTTAACAATGACAAACAACTGGAACATCCTAAATCCAGAAAAGATTAATAGCGGCTAGGCTCAAATGCGATGAAATAAAAACAATTTTGGACATAAACAATATGGCCTCTGTACTTCAATTTTACACACAAAATTCGGCATGATAGACAAAAATGACTTTTTTTTGCATATTTACATTTTTAAGCTGTTATGTAATTCAAGAACAGGTTCCGACACCAAAAACATAAATTAACAACATAACGAGTACGTCAAAATGTATTATTTGTTATTCAAACGAAGATGAGTTTTCCCGCCAGACTTTGAGATCAGTCGAATATCAGAAATAACAATATGGTGACTTAAGGCTTTGCACATATCATAAACGGTTAAAGCTGCTACCGAAACTGCCGTCAAAGCTTCCATTTCCACTCCAGTTTCGCCATTACATTTACATTCAGATTCGATCAGTATATTATTCTATAAATTATCAGGAAATTCGTCCAGTGCAACCCGTATAAATTTTCTATAAGGAGAGAAACCCCCTAGATAGAAGGCCCTGACTTCCTCAATAAGAAACAAAACTTTTTTTAAAAAAATAATTAAAAGTATAAAACCTTACTTCAGAAAGTTGAAAATAAATTTTAACATTAGACAAGTTGAGCTGATGGCATAATGGAATCAAATTTGACGTTTTCTTTGCTGCCATAATACCAGCCAATCGTGCTGTAGCTATAATATCACCTTTTTCAATTTTGTTCTCTCTCACTTCAATCATTATTTCGTCCGTTACCTAAAATTTGAAATTTATTTTTTTTAAATTTAACAAATGTGTACCGTGATTATCAAAAACATCCTAAAAAAATTTAAAAAAGCTGACAGAGAAAGTACCCTGCCTGCCCCGTTCAGAATCCATTCAAAATTTTTATGTGAATTCCTTGTATCACCAATAATACCCATAAAAAATTTTAGCTTGCGCTTTTCAAAAATAGCAAAGTTATAAGATTAAAACACAACGCCAATTTGGCGGAAAATTCAAAACGCAATGTTTTGATCTCGATATAAAAAGTTTAAAGTCAATCAGAGCGGGACAGGCCGGATACTTTCCTTGTGAGTTTAAGTTTTATTCTTAACTTACAATTACACGTGCTGCCGCCCGAGCAACTCTTTGAATAATCTGTTTGTGTGATACATCAACCATTGAAGCTTTTCCATATTCGTCAATATGACTTAAAGTACTGTAATGTCGTACTAAACTTTTAAATGATTCTGAAAAAAAAAACTTTTTAATAAAGAAAATTTTTAAAAACCCTGTTTTGAATAAGTATATAATAACAAAATTGATAAAAAAATGTAATTAAAAGTTTGGCAATACCACAAAAAACCGAATAACCAATGCAATTACGAGTAGTAAAATAAAATTAAAAACACACGATAACCAATACCGCTTAACCGCCGATTTTGATCATTGGGCGATTGGGTAGCTTGGCCAAAAGATCCATTCCAGCGTGAGCCGCTTTCTTTTTGAATACAGTACTTCCAATTATGTCCAAAAGTTCTTGGTCCGATGCTCCTTTTCTCATGTGATCCCTCAGATTCGTTTCCGTGTTTCCATGAAGACATACCTAAACCAAAAATATACCACTATTGTACATCTTGCCTTTAGATTACCATCGGCCGTAATACGGAGACGATTACAGGTACTACAGAATGGTGTTGACATTGAGGTAATAAAGCCAAATTGGCCCTCATATCCGTTTACTTTGAAAGCCTAAAAAATAATTTTAATAATACAAAATGTTATAGTAATTAATACAACATTTTTTTAAAAATATTTATGTTTTATACTTTTCTTTTTGTTACAACATCAATAAAAAATTTCACCTTGCTGGTATCATTTGCTTTGTCTTTCAACCGAATTACTTGATCATAACGGCCAGCTATGTTGACCATCATCTCTTTGAACGACACCATCTTTTTGGAATCAAACTTATTACCACCAAACGGCATATACTCAATGAAGCGAATATCAAGGCTCTTAAAAAATAGTTTTAAGATTAAACAATACTTTCCTTAATTACTTTCTGTATAGAAGACATACCTTATGCCTAGTCAACTCCACAAAATCCAAAACTTCCATGTCATTGACACCCCGTGTAACAACACAATTCAACTTCACTCTTTCAAATAAAGGCAGAGCTTCATCAATGCACCCCATAACTTTATTGAATCCATTCCTTCGGGTAATTATCATGTACTTATTTTCGTCCAAAGTGTCCAAACTCAAATTTAACCGGTTTAAGCCAGCATCTACTAGCTTTTTCAACTTTCGTTTTAAAACAATGCCATTTGAAGTAATTCCAATCTCATTTATCATTTTTGTATCTCGTATTTCTCGAATTATTTCTTCTAGATCAGCCCGAATTGTCGGTTCTCCTCCAGTCAACCGGACTTTGTCAACACCATTTTGAGCAAAAAGTCTGACTAATTTAATTATTTCATGTTTTGTCAACAGTTTATTCGATGGTGTAAGATCTACTCCTTCTTCTGGCATACAATACGTACCTAAAAACAGAGTTTGTAGTTAAAAAATTAAAAATGTATAAAACATTTGCTACATCTTAACAAACCTTTTTTAAACTAACCCACACATATTAACCTGTTGGAAAAAGTTGTATAACAAAACTTACATCTCAAATTGCATTTTTCAGTCAGCGAAATCCTCAGATAGCTGTGATATCGGCCGAACTTATCCACTAATGGGTGATCCTGCCGATTGAGGACTTTTGCAGTTAGATAATTTGAGAACAAGCTTGAAGAACGCCGCATTGCCAAATGAAAATAAAAAGAAAAGACAGAACCTTTTATAAACAGCTTTTTATCTGATTAGAAATGATCTTTAGACAAAACTATTGCAAAATATATTATGCGAGCAAAGACAATAGTTAAGAAATTACGTTTTGAATTTCCCATTAAATTGGCATTGTGTTTTAAGCTTGTAACTTCGTTTTTTTCTATTAATAATATTTTTTTTGAATTTATGATAAAGAACGTTTTAAATGGTAATACATTTTTAAATTGTAATCTAAATTAAATGGAACATCAAAAAAGTGGTTGCAACACAAGCCAAATTTTCCACCTTGGTGAGGAATTAAATTACTTAATATTAAGAGTCAAAAACACAATCATATATTTTTATGGGCACTATTGATGTTACAAAGAATTCATTTAAAAATTTACTATTAGGTCGAATTCTGAGCGGAGCAGGTTACTTTCCCTGTCAATAGTGATATTTCGTCACATTTCGTGGCGTTTCGTTCGCATGTCAGCAAAAAAATAATTTTTGAGTTAAAAATAGCTTGGAACCCATTAGAATTATAGTTTGCCATTCTCTTCATTCTACAATGAGTAACGACAACATGGAGGTTGATGAAGGAGTTAAGAAGAGATTTGAGGTAAATCATAAGGTTATCCATTCAATTAAGGGGTTCCTACTATTTATGAAGAACAGTTTTTAAACTTGTTTTATTCATTGACGTTTTGAAATTCTGTATGTATGAAATAGCTTATAACGTGAGGCTTTTTATTCTGATGTTTTTACAGTTTTGTCTTAATAATGGTGTTTTAGGTAAAAAAATGGAATGCCGTTGCTTTGTGGTCGTGGGACATGGTCGTGGACACTTGTGCCATTTGCCGCAATCACATTATGGACCAGTGTATTGAATGCCAAGCCAATCAAGTGAGTTCTTTGCTGTTTATTTTTATTTTACTTTAGGTTTGTATATAAGCTGCTGTCGGGGCAGCACGTAATCGTAAAGAATATTTTCGTCTGATATATTTTCAACGGTTTTCTTATAGTTTAGTTCACAAGATATTCAATTTATTTTTTAATTACAAATTCATATTAAAAAGTAGGCATAATAAGGTGTCCAAGGATTGTTGGTTTGTAAGAGAATAAAATTGAAAAATTGTCAAATGTGTCAGACGTTCCTATAGGTTTTCCTTTCTTTTGTTATAGTGATCTTTTGACGTTTTCTTAAATTCAGGCAGCCAGTAACAACCAAGAATGTACAGTGGCCTGGGGAGTGTGTAACCATGCCTTCCATTTTCATTGTATTTCTCGATGGTTAAAGACGCGTCAAGTGTGTCCTCTGGACAACAGAGAATGGGAATTCCAACGATACGGGCACTAATAATTTAAATTGTAACATGTATATCTTCTAAAAAATACTCATATTTTATTTTCTGGAGGTAAAATTAATTAATTCGTTAACATTGTGAAGTTTATTTGAGCGTTAAAATCCATGAAGTTGTTCTACCTTCTGTCCAGCTGCTGTTACATCTGTTACACGGAGAGAGATGGCTGCTCCATAGTCGTTTGGAATCTAAGAATATTTGTATTGTGTATTTTACACTTTTAAAGAAAGGTTTATATTTTTTAAATTTTGTATTTAAAATTGTATTTCACCTAATTGTTTTGTTTAAAAATATAGAAATACAAATCGGCGAAAAATAAAATGTTTGCAAAAATTATACCTTTTTTGCGTCCACATCGATTTCGGATTCTCTTCGTTGCAAATGCACCGTTTGTAGATCCACATCGTCAGGTAGCCGATATTGTCGATTTAAAATTCGTAGTGGCCGATTTGGGTTAACCGGGTTTTCTTTTTCCCCGTATATTTGAATATCATATCCGTATACGTTAACCTGAAAAGATAATACAATTTAATATAGAAAATGACGAAAGTTTGTGGTCTCAGACTTACATTTAACTAGCATAGATTGTATAATTTTATGTTTTTGCAGTTACTTGCTTTAATAATATAACTTACATCAATTTCCTCTTTTTCGAACATTTCAAACATATCCAAGTTGATTTTGACTCGGAAAAAGTTATCGTTGTTCACAACCTTTGCAAACTGACAGTTACTGTCTTTGCTACTGCAATGGATAAATAATTGATACTCAAATAATAACAAACGAACAATGATGTCGAAAAACTTACACTGAACATTTTTTAATTTATTAAACGCTCTAGATAAATCCCTTGCTAAATAAGTCTTACTTTGGAGTCTCCCATGCCGTGCTCGAAACTCTCCTGATCCTCAAAACTTCCGTAGGCTTTTTAAACGCGTTTTCATCAAACGTGTATCGTCTGTAGGTTCGTTTTCTCAACTGTGACGGATGTATTGCGACAACGGAGTTGAACCCATTCCACGGTCGTGTATAAGGTAATGCTCTGGTCGACTTATTTACCCCGGAGTAGGAACTTGATCCATATGACGGTGTTGATGCTGAGAACAGGGACCGAAATGACGGACGATAACAGGGAACCTGAGGAGAATAATCTGGCTGAAACAGACGGCTCATAAGGTTGTACTGTTTATTATACAACGTGGGCGGGATAGATCCGATGATTTGACTGCAGAATTAAAAAATTTTTTAGTATTGCTAAAAGTTACAGAATTATTTTAAAATATTGAAAATATTTTGAGTTGTTTTTGGTATCAGAAACTCAACAAAAATAGTAGAACAATAAACAAAGAGGACGTTCAATATTGTTTGTAACCGAATACTCGAAACGTTTTTGACGTTCTTTAAAGAACTTTTCCAGGACACACGTGCCCTCCACTTAGGCAGGTGATCTAGATATTCTTCATGGAATTAGAGTTTGATAGCAGCTGTCAATTTCGTAAAATAAAAAGGAACAACCGGCCGCAATGATAATATAATTTATTTGTTATTTTGGGAACTAACGAACTTGGTCATAAGAAGTGACTCTCAACGTGATTTAAGTAGTATAAACAAATAGGTACTAGTTGATTACTATACCCTTAATTAACTTTAATATATTTCTTCAAATAAAATAACAAAACGTTTATAAACATTAAAATAAAACACAAAAATATTTATTGTACGTTTTGACACAAGACCGCTTTATCTCCGACCATTCGGTTTCTGATTTTTTGAACTTTTCATGTACTTTATTGAGTTTCTGTTCATTTCGGTGGTCAAGTAAACTGAACCAGCATCTTCAGCCGAGTCAGAGGTAGAACGACTAGATCTGTTTTTCGGACCTAAAAGTTTTAATGAACAAAATATATTTAAAACTATCAAAATGAAAGAAATTATTCATTTTAAAAGTCATAGGGCAAAAGTATATTGTACTAAAAACCTATTATTTGTTAAGTGTGCACAGGGGCGTCGCTACGGATTTTTTTCTGTACCATAGAAAATGTTAGCCCTACCAGTGCATTCCCTTGACCTTTTTGGCCGCACTTTTGACTTTTTTTAGCCCCATCCAAGTCTACCCCTGACCTTTTCGGACCTACCCAAGTCCACCCGCGACCTTTCAAGCCCATCCAAGTTCACCCCTGACCTTCCAAGCCCGTCCAAGTCCACCCCTGACCTTTTCGGCTCTACCCAAGTACACCCCTGACCTTTCTCGCCTCATCCAAGTCCACTCCTGACCTTTTCGGCCCTACCCAACCCTACCGATTTTTACCCTACTTTACCATACCCTTTGCTACCTACTATATCGTACCCGTCCTAACTGATATAAAATACCATACCATACCGTACCAAACCTTACCATGCAGTACCATACCGTACCATACCCTAGCCTACCTCCTATGCTATGCTATACCATATCATATTATATATTCTCTATTATTCTCTACCGTTGTAGTATGGTACTAAATGGTAATAAAGTTTAAATTGGCACTGTCTTAATATTTCTGAATGTTAAATAGTACTAAATTTTTAATCGGTACTGTTTTTATATTTTTGGTACTAAATAGTACTAAAAGCCCAAAAAGGTACTGTTATGTTAAAACCGTACCAATTCAAACTTTAGTACAATTTAGTACTATAATACAACTAAACTAACTAAAAAATTTAAAAAAAAACCTTTAAAAAATCCGCAAATGTCCAAAATCCGCAAGTGTCCAAAAACCGAAGATCCGCAAGTGTCTAAAAACCGCAGATCCGCAAATGTCGAAAAACCGCATTTGTCCTAGTGCCATTTCTAAAGGTCTTAAAACTGAGGGTTTAATTAACGTAAAATTTAGATTTTTTTATTGCAATTGTGCACATCGTACAAAAAACACTTTATTCTATGTAGTTTTAAAGCAGATAATGGTTTTATGAAGGTTTATCGAATGTGGAGTTTAGATTCAGAAATGTGTGATAAGGAAAGCGTATATAACATATATTGGTGTTTTCAAGCACTGTTATCGCGTAAGTCACAACATTTTTCAAATTATCTTTTTATACTTTTAAAATTTGATATTTGGTAGTGAAAGTTTGTAATGTGAATGTTTTGTTACAATACTTTATTTTGGTGTGCTGTATTTTACGTGACGTATTAAAAGTCAAATTGTAGTGCGTTGAAACAACAGGACGTACGTTTTTTATTTTTACTGAAGTTATAAGATTACAACTTATTGGAAAGTATAAAACAATCTTACGGGTACATTATATGGAGGGTCATAAACATATTTGTCAAAGCTCGATTTATATGTAATGGATTCGAACGCTGCTTCTGAAACATGTTGATTAATAAAAAAAGTTAAAGTTAGGTTTATGACATTGTTTATATTATTCTTGAGTAAATATTAAACAAGTGTGATTTTAGATTTTGTGTTTTCGTAATTACGATGGTGTTAAGACGTACTGAAACTCTTACAGTAGACGTGTCATTGTTAGGAGAAAAACTACATTTCAAAACTTCTGGAAGATACGCTAAAAATCGGTTCTTAAAGGCACGAATTTTAAGTAATACACTAGCTGCTTATGTAATAAGAAATTAGAAGACAATTTTTTAAAATCTGTTAAATGCAGTTTAAACTTTTTTCTTTTAATACAAAAAAAAATAACTTTTAGGCAGCTTTATCTGAATCTTTGGCTACATGGGATCGAAATGACGCAAAGAAAGTTGGTTTAACAACTCCTTATCTCTTGAATCTGTATGAAAAATGGGGCCATGGTGGTTTTGGACTTGTACTAACTGGCAATGTGATGGTAGAACATAGACATCTGGAAACAGCTGGCAACCACGTCATTAGTCAAGAAAGCTGGAGTGATGAAAAAGTTAAATCATTTAAGTAAGCAAATTTTTTAATGAAAGTTAACTTGACATTTTCATTTTATTTTTTTTTGGGTCTAAATTGTAATATAAAACTCATACAAAAAATAACAAAAATTTTGGCAATTTTAGTCAGCTAGCCATTAACATTAAACAAGATGGAACTCTGGCCATAGCTCAGATTGGCCACGCTGGACGCCAAACTCCAAATTCAGTAAATCGAACACCATTCTCAGCATCTAATGTTCAACTCGACGGTATCAAACGAGGTGGAAATACTTATGGACGTCCAATTGCATTAACACTGACTCAAGTTCAGACAGAAGTTATTGATCGTTTTGTTTTCACGGCTGAAAAGTTATATGAAGCTGGTTTTGATGGAGTCCAGCTACATTCAGCTCACGGATATTTATTAGCTCAATTTATATCACCAACTACTAATTTAAGAACTGATCGGTACGGTGGAAATGCAGAAAAAAGAGCTCAGATTCTGGTCGATATTTACGATGCAATACGGTATATTTTTGTCTACAGATTCAAGATTGCGGTCAACACCTTAAGAGTTCCTTAAATTTAAAATGTAATTACAAGTTTCAGAGCCAAGATACCAGCTTCAACAGGATTTGTGATTGGGATAAAATTGAACTCTGTTGAATTTCAAAATCATGGTTTGGGGATCGATGACGCTATTACTACAGCTAAGATTGTTGACGTATGTTTATATTCTAATCTTGCTTGTACAGTTTTAAAAGGAATTTTGAGACGTTTTTTTACTTTCAGGCAACCGGCTTTGACTTTATTGAATTTTCCGGTGGGAACTATGAAAGTTGGCAGATGGATGTAAGCGAATCGACAAAAAAAAGAGAAGGCTTTTTCGTTCAATTTACTGAAGCTATCAAACCACATCTTAAAAATACGGTAGTATACGTTACCGGTGGCTTCAGAACGGCCCCAAAAATGATTCAAGCCATAAAAGAGAAATCTACGGATGGAATTGGCCTTGGCCGACCAATTTCAGCCGAACCCGATCTACCCGCGAAAATATTGACCGGTAGAGTAATGTCAGCCTCTTATAATCCCGTAGATACGGATTTTTGGTACGGTTACTGCGTTTGTGTGGGTCAAATGGCACAAGCTAGTGTATTGCCGTTTTCTAAATGCTGTAATGACCCGAGTTATGGTATTATGGACAATAGTGATCCCAGAGAATTAGACGAGTTTTTAAAAGAATATGAAAAGTTTCACAAAGAAGAATCTAGAAGATTATTAGAGGAAAATGAACCTACTAAGGGCGTGTACTTTTATAAACCAAGATTTTTGAATTATTTGCCGTCTAAACTGTGAAGGGAATACTTAGATATCAATTAAAATAGGAAACATTTTTTGCTTTTGAATTTCAATTAAATTTAGTTTTATGAGTTAATAAATCTATCATATAAAAAAGGTGTGTTTTGAAATAATTCGTGTAAAATTTTTTAGACTGCTCGCGCTTGTTTCGGGCGCAGCCTGAGAGCTAAAATAAATCTTTTTTACAGTTTTGGAAACGAAAGTATTTTCTTTTTTATAATATTTGTAAAACAAATAAAATATATACATATATCATATTTTCCTGGTATGTTTTAATTATCTTTTGATAAATATGTACTTTCTTTCAAAACTTCTTCTTAGCCTACGTTTTTAGATGCTAGACGATATTCTTCGTGAGTTCGCTCAAATTACAATTGAAGATTTTGTTGAAAACCTTCCAGTAAGATCAAGTAGACTGTCAAAACAAGAGAAGGCTCAAAAACATTATGAAAAAGTAAAGCAATCCAGATTGATGAAACGGGGTGAAGAGCGAAAACGTCAACGACCTGCTAGAAAACGACGACAAAAAATGGAGAAGACAGTTTTGGAAGGGGGATTACAAGTATGTTGATTTTTTTTTGTTCTTAGCTTTAGGAAAGTAATACGGAATTTTGAATTGTTTTGAAGTGTTATTTTTGATATCGAATATGGAAAAAGTTTTATTATTTGATTTTTAGTTTTTGGGCCCAAAATCTGTCTTTTTATCTTTTAATTTAGATAGCCATTGATTTCTCTTTTGTAAACTTAATGAATCGAAAAGAAAGTTCTCATTTGATACGGCAAATTGGCCGAATTTGGGGTCTTCAAAAGCAATATCATGGGCTTGATATCCGACTGTTTGGCCTCACTTCTGAGTTTTCTTGTCAATGTGAGAAACTCCTTAGTGGTTTTTCTGATTTTAAGTGGAAGACTTACCAGGAAACAGTGCAAGTTGTTAATGGTGACAGTGAAGAAATGTTTGTTTACTTGTCTCCAGATGCCAATGCTGAACCATTGAATTTTTTGGATAGTAATGTCACTTATGTAATTGGTGGTATTGTTGACGAGACTGGTGTTGGAAACAGGACATCGTTAAAAGCGGGTAAATAATGGAATAAAAAAATTATGGTTTGTTTAAAAAGATATATTATTTAATTTAACAAAAAGTTTTTGAAATTTTGCGTCTTTTAAAGTTTTTATTATCAGAACAATCAAAAAATTAGTAAATATTTCAGAAAGAACGGGACATAAATTTTATCGGTTACCAATATCAGAATATTCTCATCGAACCAAAGAACCTGGATCATGGACATTTAATCAGATGTTAGCTTTAAACCAAGTAGTTGAAGCTTTATGTTTATATAAATGGACAAAAGACTGGAAAGTAGCTTTTAAAGGTGTTGTTCCTTGTCGTACGGGGTTTATTTTTGAATAAACATGTTGTTAATATTACCTTTTTTGGTTGTTTTGTTGGATGTTTGTTGCACTTAATTTAATATATATATTTTATATGATAATTAGTTTAAAAACAGTGCTCAGATTATTTATAGTTTATTTATTAATTTCTTGTCATTATATACAGACAATGTGACATTAAACTAAATGTTCAACAATTTTAGTTAACAACCGCCAGATTTCTGGTTGGGAGAGCAACCATTATTTCCACCCATACCCGAGGAGCCCATTGACGGCGATTGCGTTGGCCTTTTATTTCCGCCCATTCCATTCATTGGAGAATTCATCGACGGACTCATTTGATTCATCGATGATCCCATGCTCATTTTATTGTTCGTGGCTGAGCCCATTGGTCCATTTATTGGAGGACTCATTTGAGGTCCCATTTGGTTCATTGAGGGTCCCATCGACGGACCGCTTGATGATTTACCGGCGGAGCTGGTGTCCAATTTTATGATGACGTTAGGTGGTGATTGTTGGGGTTTCTTGCATGATGTCATTTTGCAAATGTAGGCAGGGGTAGGGATTGGTACGGGTACGGCTAATGGTAGAGGTGGAGAGAAGGCGATTGGAGGTGGGGGTGGAGGTCCTGAGAAGTAGGGATGCAGTGGATGAGAGTAAGCCGGAGGTGGTGGCGGTGGATATGGGGCGGGGTGGTAAGCAGGTGGAGATGGGTTAAAAGTTGGTGGTGGTGGTGGGTGATAGGATGGTGGTGGTGGAGCGTGGTACGCAGGTGGTGGAGCAGGGTAAGTGGCCGGTGGTGGTGGAGCGTGGTACACCGGTGGTGGGGCGGGGTATGCGGCCGGTGGTGGTGCAGGGGGATGATAGGTTGGAGGAGAAGCATGGTAAGCTGGCGTGGCATATCCAGATGGTGGTGCAGGGTATGCGGCTGGTGGGAAAGCACTTGCAGCGTAAGCTGGCGGTGGAGGTGCGGGTTGATAGGCAGGAACTAGAGCAGCCGGTGCTGCGGCTACAGGATGAGCAGCAGCGGCGTAGACTGCTGGAGCTACAGCCGGTGGTGAAAATGAAGCTAGATACGGCGTTCTAGCATCGTACGCTACACTTGTTACAGCTGGTGTGGAACCGTATGAGTAGCCCGCCAGAACATAACGGCCGTATTGTGCTGATGAAGAAGTGACGGATAGCAGTAAAAGACTGAAAATCAAATATTAGTACAATAATTTTTAACTTTCAGAAAAGAATTATTTACTCAAAGTCAAGAATCGCTCCACTATATATTAATTTATTTTTAAACTTTTAAATAATCAGAATAAAAACATTTACGAGAACGCTGGAAAACAATTAGCGTGACTGGACACAGTAACTTACGATTTTATAATTTGTAGTACATTCAAAACGCGCAATAAAGCAAAGTAAGTATAAAAATCCTTAAAAACTTACAATGTGGAAAGCCGTGAAGACTGTGTCATCTTACACACACACAAGATCTGATACGAATTGGCCACTCCTAGGCTTTTAAATAATTCCCGGCCGCCCCAACACTTATCTTCACGCTGACAAAAAACAATCGGTCACTCTTACAGTTCCGGTCTGTGTTTGCGCTTTAAAGAATTGCTAATCCAAACCTTTTTGTCCTTAAGCCTCTCATAATTTTTCACGGAGTACAAACACGTAACAACAACCATTGCGGTCAGAGAGGTTTAAGATTCAAAATTTATGATGTGGGCTGAAAGTCTTAGGTTACGGAAAGGAAAAAACTTATGTAGGGAACTATGAGATTTTAGAATAACAAAATAACATTTATGAAGTTTATTTTCATTTTTCTACGATAGCAATACTGATATAATTCGAATAATAAGTTTACAGTCGCGTCTGGTATTGGAGCTTTTCATGATCATCAAAATTGGTCGCTTTTTGAATCCAGTGGTCGATACGTTTTTGTTGTTCATGGTCAACGGTGGTCCGAACTTCATCTGTGTTGCCAATGTCTTCCAAGTCACTCATGTCTTCTTCGGTACTGTTGACGGAATCTGTAGAATAAATTGTATTTTTTTGTGGAACTTTGCAAATATACTTGTTCACTATGCTGATTAAAAAATTTTAAATTTAAGCTTTACCTGTAGAAGTTTGAGTGTATTCGGTGCCCGATGAAAAGGTGGTTTCGCTTGCGTCAGTCAGGGAGGAACTTGATTCCCCTTCCACTACGAAATTGGCTAATTTACTGAAATAACATTACGAATATAAGGAAAACCATATTTTTCGATTATATTTTTTTCAATAAATTTTTATTAAGATGGTATAATCGATAATTCAAAAAATTAAACTTACTCAATATAGCTTCTCGGTTTTACTAGTTTATTTGATTCCGCCTGATTGTCGCGACCGAACACTTGTCCCATTATAATATCTTATTGTACGATTGTTTTAGCAAAAAATCACGAAATGAACAAAAACATGAGGAATTACAAATAAGACAGAAATACAAAATTTACATAATTTACAATTGATCCAAACGCAAAAAAAACTAAAGCTCAATTTTATTGTCATTTTTCATATTCTAGTTACCTATGCGGTCGGGAAAGGAAAAAGCGACGAAAGAAGAAAGCAATGTCACGCCAGATGTGACACAAAAATCTGTGACGACGCCTAAAGATGGTTCCATTAGAGAATTCACACCACCTAGTCGATCGAGACGAAGGTATCGATCTCGTAAGTTTTCGTATTTTGCTAAAACTTGAAAATTGATAAAAACACAAAAAAACTTAAGATAAAGCTTAGTTTTTTCTTTAATAGTTAAAATTATATTTTTAAGTAGGTATTTCTCGAATTTAATTTTTGGACTTTCGATAGCTTATTTTTAATACTGTAAACTAAAAACGTTTTAAAAATTTTCAGTGTCATCTATACAAACAATGGAACCGACTACGATGCCTTCGTTACCTATGCAAAAGATGACAAAAGTAATAAATTTAGAGGACTTAATGACCAAACCCAAGTTTCAAGATGAATATACAGCAAAGTCAAGAACTCCGGAACAGATTACTGTAGGACAAGAGTGGGTTATATGCATAAATATTGAATTTTTAGTTTATAATATAACATGCTTTAAAGGACCAGTTCGCCCATTCAAATATCATTGGCATTCTATCGCAAAAATTCGACGTTCATTTATTTTGCGAAAAACCTGAGAAGGTCGGTCCCAAATTAGAAAATTCATTTCGACACCGATCCACTCACGTTTTTTGAGAAAAATGATTTTGATTGAAATTGCCTGATTTTCGACGCTTTTTGCGACAGAATGCCAATGATATTTGAATGGGCGAACTGGTCCTTTAATTGTAATTTTGTGATACTGAATGATATTTTTTATATTTTAGCCCTGTAAAGAAGATAGGAGATGATAAAAAGCGCCTTATACCTGCCGTAATGAATTTAGAAGAATTTGATAAACGTTACGGATTTCGACGCGTCGACTTATCATTGTCATCTAGAATCTACAATTGCCTTGCCGAAGCTAAAAGATGGAGCTTTCTTCAATGGTTATGGTTCATAAAGTGTTTTTTTCCTATTACGCAATGGCTCGTCGATTATGATTGGAAACATGATTTTCTAATGGATTGTATCAGTGGTGTAATGATGGCAGTAATGTGTATTCCACAAGGGTTAGCCTACGGTTTTCTTGTAGGTCTTAAACCTACTCATGGCTTATATACGTGCATTGTGGGACCATTGGTCTATGCGGTACTTGGAACATCAAAACATGCTTCTCCAGGAGCATTTGCCATTATTGCACTAATGGTGGGATCGGTAGTAGAACAGACAACAGGTGGAACTAAGAACGACTTTGATTTAAACGCAACCGCATTATGTTGTCAAGTGGAGAAAACTAGTCAAAGTTCACCAACAGAAGTTATTAATATTGTGGCGGGTCTAACAATTTGTGTGGGCCTCCTACAGGTAGGTAAACCTATAACAAAATTATAGGTTTTTATGGTGTATCAGCATAAAGTGATTGTTTTGCATTATAGATAGCATTTGGAATTCTAAACATGGGTCTATTAGCTGTGTGGATGTCCGATCATTTGGTTCAAGGATTAACTTCAGGGGCTGCAATTCATGTCCTCACGAGTCAGATCAAATCAATGACTGGAGTTGAAGGAGTTCCAAAAACGTCAGATATTAGCGGAATGGCCAAGGTATTCTTTTTGTAGTTTTGTATGTTAAAACGTATTTTTATTTTTCAAAAACTATAAATTGTTTTTTTGTTTTATTTTCAATCCGATATTTTGGCTACTTAAATATTTTTAAAATTCAATTTATATTTTCAGTTCTACATTTGTTTTTTTCGAAACATCTCAACGATAAAAACTGGAACTACTCTAACATCATTAGGAATATGCAGCATTTTGATCTTTTCGAAGGAAGTTTTGGATCCAATTTTTATCAAATGGCTAAAAGTCAAATTTCCTATGGAGTTTTTTGTGGTCTTCTTTTCAGTTTTGATATGCTACTTCAGTGATGGCACAATATACGAAATCAACATTAACATCGTGGGATATGTGGAGCCTGGGATGATGGCACCTTTTTTGCCAGACCTACAGTATGCAGCAAGAGTAGTGCATTCAGCGATAGCAATTGCAGTTGTTAGTTTTGTTATCCACGTTGCATTGGCAAAGTTGATTTCAAAAAAGATGAATTATACAGTAGATGCGAATCAAGAATGGTTTGCATTGGGAATGATGAACATGATTGCCTCGTTTTTTGGATGTTTTGCTGGAGGATCGTCTTTAAGCAGGACTATGACTTCTATGAAGTTGGGTACGAGATCTCAAATGTCAACCATCGTTTGTGCTATTGTGTTGATTATGACTGTGTATTTCGCCACACAGTATTTGTACTATTTACCTCAGGTAAAGTATTTAAACTACGGTAGGGTGAAGAACTGTAAAGTATTTTTTGTCACAATTCCTACTTTAATGTAATGTATTTTAGCCCGTACTTGCTTGTATTGTTGTAGTAGCCTTAAAAGACTTATTTGTCCAAGTTGCTGACTCTGCCAAATTGATAAAGAAGTCTATGTTTGATTTTGTAAGTTTTTTAAATTATACTTTTTTAATAAAGCGAAGTTTTTTTTCTTCGATGATTTTACTTTTTATAACGTTCACTGTCACAGGTAATAAACAATGTTTGTTTTAGCTGATCTGGTTTGTCACATTTGTGGGTGTTATCTTGCTTAACGTGAATTGGGGTCTGTTAGTTGGAGTTTCGTTTGCTCTTCTTACTGTAGTTTTTCGGTCGCAATGGGCAGAAAGCACATGTATGGGTCGGATTCCAGATACGTCTGACTTCAAAGGTCTAGAACATTACAGAGAAGCTAAAGAGGATGAAGGAATTAGAATCTACAGGTTTGACGCTCCTTTGTACTTCGCAAATGCTGAATTGTTCTTAAGACGACTCCACGCGTAAGTTATTTTCAAACGTGCTTTAAGACAATGTGATGTATATCTGGATTTTTTTTTCAGCTGTTTACTTAAAATATTATTTTTAGAGCTTTAGGTGTAGATCCAGTTATGGCGTATTCAAAATTAAAAAAAGGAAAAGGAAAAAAAGAGAAGCCCACAATAAAGAACTCAAAAGTGTCAGAGCATTGCCAAAACGAATGACACCAGTTTCAGACGATTCGCCGACAGTAGAACCACCTATTGAATTGAATGTCAGGACGAGATATGCGAATTCGAAGGAAATTACGTCTATTTCAGATCAAAAAGAAACAAGACCATCGGAAAAAGACCAGAAAGAACCAGCAACAGAAGACGATTTTGTACATTTGAGTCATTTCATTATCGACTGCTCGTCTTTTCCTTATATTGACTTGATGGGGCTGGAAGTTCTTGAGCAAGCTTACACCGACTTGTCCAACATGGGGATCAGGGTGTTTTTTTGTAATTGTAAAGGTGCGATTTAAATAATAATTTAGTAAGAAATGTACTTAGTTAAGGAGATTTTTACGCTAACAATAAGTTTTTATACTCTTGGTTACCTGTCTCCAAAAATTCTTTTGAAAAAGGAACCTTCTTTTCGCTTTTGCTAACTGTGTTTCTTTAGTAGAGTGGTGAAGTGGAAACCTAACGCGCGAAACTCGTCGGGTTCGGCTCCCTCTTGGCGGTAGACAGTTTTATTGTGTTTATCGAATAAAGTGGGGCCGAAACGAACGCCGAGATTTATTCGGCCGACCGGCTGGACTGTGCCCGTCGAGTCCTCTGACCCTCGAACATTTTTTTTTGTTTTTGTGGTACTTTTACTGTAATTTTAACGAATAGTTTTATTAATTTATAATTTTTTCTTTTTATACACGTTTTTAAATCTCGTTAATAATTATTTTCCAGTGGCCGTCCGTCAATTCTTCGAACAAAATGACTTTTACAAACGTGTCCCTAAAGCCAACATGTACTGTTCCATCATACCAGCCGTTCTTCAAGCCACAATTGAACGTGAAAACGATAAGGACAAACAGAAAAAAATAAATTAATCCGAAAAAATTGTTTAATTTAACTTGCATATCAAGAATAAAATTATCGAAATGAGTGAAATCAACGGGTTGTGTAAGCTCGACAAATTGCATAAAAAACCATTACAAGCATATACAGCACCGATTGTCTTGTCTGGATCCGCCAGTCCTCCAATTAGACGTACCTAAACTTTAATCCTTATTATTCTAAAAAATGTAGTTTCAGGAAATAGATTAAGCAAAATATTATTTTATATTAAAAATTGGCAATTCAAGAATGACAACTTACAGGTTTTTCCTGCATAGGTAATAGTTTTAAGGCAGGATCGTTTGAATGTAAAACACGGCTCCAGCAGTCCCTGACAATAACCGGTGCGTTTACTAAAAATTTTGATGATTTTTTATGTTATTTAGAAGGCATTACAATGAAAATAGACTGTAACAATATTTATTCTTGAAAAAAATTTACGAAGCAAAGTGAAAATGAACTGCAATTTTTTAATTTTTACAAAACCATGCTTTTTAAAATAGTAACATATTTTTTAATGTCATAGTATGTTGTTTTGGTAAACCCTATTGTTAGCGATGGTTAATTTCCAAACAATTTTTAGAGAACTCTTACAAAAAGTGTCAAAAATAGTAATTTCAAGTCTACTTCCCTATGTCATCATAAGAACAAGCAAAACACGTCTCTATAATTTTATATTATATTATGGTTTATATAACAAATGTAATTTAAAAACTTACAAGCACTACAAACGGCACGTGTTGCTGAAGATTCGAGTAATACGAATTTTACACAAACACTATTTGGGCAGGGTACCACAGGCAGAGCGGCTTTCATGTTATCGCAACTTTCAACTGCCATTATTGGTTGTTCTGTTATATACAAATAACTATTGTTTTCACGAGGCCATCGACTCGCAAAATTTGCTGATGAACAACTGTAACATTTTTCTAAAATAAGTTCTGTCAAGCTATTTAAACATTGACTTATGTATTAAAATATACTTAACAGTTAAAAAATTTTTAAATTGCACTGAATGATTTATAGGTTTATATTTTAATCAAAAAATAAATTTTTTGCAACAAACTGCATTTGTATTCATTTACACTAACTCTTTCTTTATCATACTGCCCAAACGGTTTTCTGCCCTTAATTAAGTTTCAAAATAAAAAAGCTTTTTTGATAAGAATATTGAAAAAAGACCTACCAACTGCATGAAACTCGTCGGCTAGGCCAACCGAGCAAATCCAGGCTAAAAGAACCACTAGGACCATGTCAGCTCATGGCTATTAAGAATAAATCGTCAGAAGTCGTTGAGATGTCGGCGGGTTTTGTTTGTGGTGGGAGCGTTGAATTGGCACCTCCGGGAAGACGGAAAAAAGCCGGCTCTGGGAGAACGAGGCCCGTGTCGAGAGCCTCGACGCTTTTTCCGCTCCCAAAAAACCCGAAAAAATGTCTTGCGTTCGAAAGTATTTGGTTGTTAATCCTAGAGTCCGCGAGTGTAACTCCGTTACCGGCTACAATTACATTTTCAGTAGAAGCTACGGATTTAAGTATTAGGATGCGGAGCTATGGTTTTAAAACTTACGAGGTCTAAACCATAACTTTTTGAAGTTCAGTTTTAATATTTACGTTTTATGATAAAATACGTTTAAAAAATACTTTACAAATACGTTTTTGTGGTGTGTAAGCTTAAAGACAAGTTTAATTTTAAGTTTTATAAATTTTCTCAAGAAGCTTATTATATGTATTTAAACTATACTTTACATAGTTAAATTTACAACTTTATAACCAAAGCTGAAGTAAAAATAAAAAAAAAACATTAGATGGTATAATTTATAACATTGTACATGCGTAGGTCTTTCCCATGCTTTAAAAGACTACAAATCTCAAATACAGGTCGGTTATATAGTTTTTATAGGAGAAAACCAAAGTGCGATAATGTACGACTTTAAAAAGAAATTGCAAGAGTAAACACAGCTTAAATTTTCTTTAAATATAAGGTTTAAAAAGGTAAATTTGGAAAACTGTAGAAACAAAACAACTAAAATATTAAGAATCCTATTATTAGTAATTTAATTTCGTTTTGAATTATTTAAAGAAACACGAATACAAAATTTTTGAAGAGTGGGCAATAAAACTAAATATTTTTTATAAAAATTCAAAATACGTTTAAATCGTTTAATTTGTAAGTTCATCAACGGGGGTAGCAGTATTTTACCTTTTCATAATATTATCTGAGATAAATGTGATTTCCACAATAAAAATTAAAGAATGACGCATGTGATTTTAAAACGATAACAAAGTTACCATCTTACCATCTTTACTTCCTTTACGACGTACTTAACATTAAAACATTAATTAAAAACGTCTTTGCACTTTTTCAAGATGTTCATTTTTTCAAATTATAACACTAAAAATGGTATATTACATGTTATTATCTTTAATGATATACCGGTCATTTTTAATTGTACTCAACGTGTTACGGATAAATGAAAAATAACAAGTAACAGACAAATTAAATTACAGCTGTAAAATAGCATTAATAGAAGAACTTGACAACAACAAGTATTAAATAGAAATAAAGAAATCAAATGTGTTTGCTATTTGGCAGGAAAGAGTTTAAAACTCGACAGTAGTCTTCTGTTATATTGTTTTGTTACAAAATGATTGCACTTGTTTGTAATTAACAGTACGACATAAATCAGTATTGTAATTAAATTTTTATTACAATATAAGCATCAAAGACCTCTTTATAAAGACGCTTTTTGAAACCACATACAGTTATAAGTACCAATTTATGTGTTATGTAGTACGCCTCTTTTTTCCATCAACTGACAAAATTTTTTTAAATTTAAAATTTATTGTTAAATCTAAACCGTGTAAAATTTGTACTTGAACCCACTTTATTGTTTTTTATTTAGAAATTCCTTTTGTTGGTCTTGAGAGTGTTGAAAGAATGACCAAAACATAAATCCTTTGTTACGTTTTACGCCATAATATAATGTACATATAACACGGAAATCTAGTAACCATTGTGTTAGGTTTTGTGTTGGTAGTCCGTTTGATATGCTGTTTTATTTTTTACTATATCTAAGACCAGGAACAGTTAAGGGACTTAATTAAAAATGAAAAACTTTCTAAATAAAGGGAGTAGGGAATGGTGGAGAGCAGAGTTTTGCCTTTTGGGTCCGGTCCGGACGGTCCGGACTTTTAAATTTATTTTTTCCGCCAAACTAATAACTCGAAAACTACTATAGATAGCAAAAAACTAACAGCATCTAGAAGGGTCAGCATCATTCTAAATAGAGAAGGGGGGGGGGGGGGGGGGGAGAATAGAAAAAGTTTTAGACCGATCCGGGTAGAAAAAAAAACCGCGGGAAAACAAAATTCAAATTCCGGACTCCCATTGGGTACGGTCCGGGAATAACTGTGGTGGAGAGAGAATGGAAGAGGACAGCCCGTCTACTAACATAATTATTTTTAAAGCTCGCTAGCAGGCTTGTAAGGCGAACTTGGCAGTTTTTGAAAACAGATTTCTAGTCAATTTTTTACGCTCTTTCATATGGTACCATTCATTTTTAAAAGCGAATGGGCAGTTTGTAACATTCCCTTGTAAGAGACATTTTGTTATAAAATAGTCTGAACTGATGTTAAGAATATTTAACATCGTACTTTGCTTCAAACCGTTACGCATGCATACGTGGCTAATTTCTATTATATATTTGACATTTAGACATTTAGACATTTTTATTTTGTTTAGAGTTTTGTCGACAGATTTTCAACTGTAGCTTTTTTCCTACTTAAAATTTGGTAATGAATTCTTTTTTCATTGGAAACTACGTTTAAAAAATTTTTAAATACGGTAATCTAATGCTGTGTTAGTCCTTAAAAATTTATATATTTACGAAAGATTTTTATTTTTCTACCTTTTTTGGAAAAAAAAACCGTATTAGGTCAATCGTAACAAAAATGTAAATAGTTTAAAATTTTTTCGTTTTTATAAACTAAATTCTTTTTCTTAAAAATTTACGTTTTGGTCTTTTAAAAATCTTTTAACAATTCAAAGTTCTGTTTACATCCGTCATCATCTGCCAGGAGGTTCATGCCACAACGAGTTACAACAAGCAACCTCACAAAGGTACCGTAACAATGCCATTCTGTGGAAATAGGGAAAGAAATTGGGATTATGTTGTGGGAATTCGGTTGGTTGCCATGGGCCTGCAGGGTTTCTTTTCTCTGATAACGCCCATTTGGGCACTTCCTTTGGCGGTGCTGGCTGAGTACGAGTTATGAGTTTTAATCGCATTATCACCTGTTTTTCGATACAACCAGGTGAAGCGACGTCGTCGTATGTTATGTGTGTAGTAACTAGTTACGGAATTTAGAATTGGACTGTTATTGAGTTGTTGAGAGTAATTTTATAATGTTCTATATATTATATAACCACTATATCTTCTACTTATGATCAATGTGTTTTAATTCTCTTATTTTTCCATTTTTGTGAGGGTAAGGGGTACAATAAGATTAACCATAGCTAAGAAAGTACTTAACATTACGGTAAACTATCGTTACTGGGAATTTATTTTGTAATTACTATAACACATTTGTATTAAATCTGCGCATATTAAGGAATTCACTATAAAAAATCTTTTTGATATCAAACATAAATATAATATACATATTACTTTCCAATATTTAAGATACAATAAATATTTTCTGAGCGTGAGATACTTGTTTTTGACTTTACCAAACATTCAGTTTTACACATCTTCCTTGTGTATTGTAGACAAACCAAAAGATGATTACATGTTGTAGCACCCACCTATTAACTTTATGCACTTCGTTTCGTTTAATATTAGGTTGTTTACCGAAATGACTTATTTTTCTGCTTTCATGACGTTAACTTTTTAATTATTTTACAAGGAATATGTTCAAATACAGTAAAATTACTATGTTCGTTATGGGCTGCATAATGTAGTTATTGATTTTAATTAAAAGTTGAAGTAAAACGAAATAACTTTTTGAAAGCAAAAAAATTGATGACCGTCAAATTTATATATTACATATTTATAGTTATGACAGAAGACAAACGGATTGCTTATCCTGTACACAACAAATTGCACGATCAGGAAAAAACAGCATTAAACAGAACCTATACGATTGGGTCGGCCAGTCGCCAAGCTACAGTGCTTCGAGAACGTTCACAAAGCCAAGATAGAAACAATTTGAATAAAACTTTTACCTCGTTCTCACGTAGTTTCTTGCCTCAAGGAAATCTTCTCAGGTGGTAAGTTTATTTTTTTCGTACTGCGACATTTGGGGAAATTGCAAAATGGGGAAACGACAAATAGGGAAAACGACATAAGGGGAAACGACATAAGGGGAATCTCAAATATATTTTAAAAAAATTATTTTTAGCCCCACCTGACCCCACCCCTGACCTTTCTAGTCCTACCCAGACCCCTCCCTGACCCTTTTGGCCCTACCCACCCCCCTCCCTGACCTTTCTAACCCCACCTGACCCCACCCCTGACCTTTCTAGTCCTACCCACCCCCTCCCTGACCTTTCTAACCCTACCCACCCCCCCCTCCCTGACCCTTTTGGCCCTACCCACCCCCCTCCCTGACCCTTTTGGCCTTACCCACCCCCCTCCCAAAACAGAAAGGTCAGGGAGGGGGGGGGGTGGGTAGGGTTAGAAAGGTCAGGGGGTGGGGTCCGGTGGGGTTAAAAATAATTTTTTAAAAATATATTTGAGATTCCCCTTATGTCGTTTCCCCTTATGTCGTTTCCCCTTATGTCGTTTTCCCCATTTGTCGTTTCCCCATTTTGCAATTTCCCCAAATGTCGTATTGCCATTTTTTTTGCTGCTTTATAAAATTTAAACATAGAAAAATGTCCTAAAATATGTTTGAAATGAAAGCATCTTAGCTTATATACGGCACTAAATGAATGTTAAGGTAAAACATATAAATTTTTACTAATATTCAAAAAGCGGATTAGTTCTTCATGTTTGTCATACCTTTTTGATATTGGCTTTTTTAAAAAATACTTTTTAAATAAAAAAAGTATTTAAATTATACCTTGTGACAAACTTGTAAGGTTGCAGTTGCGATGTTAAGCCTTTGAAAAATTATACTTACTTTATGGTTGCTTTGTAGATTAATTAGCTGTCACAAAATTGTAATCCTTTTTGTTATATAATAGTTAATAAATATTGTTTTAGTAAAACAAACCAATCTCAAAATCTAACCCGTATGTTATCCAACCAATTACCGTCCCTGGATGGCTGTTCACCTGAACGAATTTGCACTCAACGCCCTTGGACACGGACCCAAATTGAGTTGGCCAAATACAAAGAAACCTTAAATCATCTCAATTAACATTTACCACAATATTATTGCAGTAACCTCATTGTACAGTATACTCGCATCGGTCGAAACGGGAAAAGTGGGCAAAAAAAGTTACTGAAGCTTACTGATGTTGCAAGCAAAGTTACTGTTTTTTGGAGGTTGTAAAGACAGCACTTAACATATATAAAATGAGTCAATCTAGACTTTTTTCAAGTATTTTTATAGTAATTTTTGTAAAAGTATAAAAATTACAGTTAGAGCGGGTTCAAAAAAAGTTTTAAAGGATTTTTAGAAAACTTTCTTCACGTAGGTGTAAAACAAAAAAAACTTTTTGATCTTTGATTTTTATTTTTAAACGGGTAAAAGCTAAAATTATTTTTATTTTAAAAAGTAAAAAACCGCTTTAGAAATAATCGCAAAACTTTTGGGCCACTTCATCAATATATATTGGTTCTATATATATGATGTATTAGTAAATAACTTTTTAGCGAAATTTTTATATTTGATTTAAAAAACCCTCATTCCTTACTATGTTGTTGCCGTACGTAGTGAAAAGATACGATAGTAATGCGATAATCCCGAATTAGACACGATGCGAATTGTTCTCGAGAGTTTGTTGTGTTTCTGTAAATAACATAAATCATATCACTAATCTTGTGGCATACAATTACTACTTCTGTTTGTCCAGCCGCAAATAGAACAATTTGGTGTGTTTGTCGCGCGCTTGACGCGTAATATGTTTGTTGTCTGCAACCGGTCATAGGCCAATGGCCATTGTATAAAAGCCAGGGACGTAATAGTGTTGTTATATCATTTGAACGTTTGCTTCGATTAACATGTTTAAAAAGGTTTCAGTTGCCGTGTAAGTTATTTCGAATACGTCTCTTTAACTATTTTTTTTATTTTTTTGGCTTACAAAAATAAAAAATACTTACAATATAAGCTCGGCATCTTCTTATACTTTATTTTTGCGTTTAGCAGTACAAAAATAGCTAAAAAAATTTAAAAAATTGTTTGAACTTGAATAAACACGTGAATTTGAGCTCCTTAAAAACTTTTGATTTTTTTAGTCTCGCCCTGTGCTTAATTGTCCAGTCCTCCGCCCAATCAATAGTTGCCGGTCGATACTATGCAACAGCGCCAGTAGCAGCCGTAGCCCCAGCCGTGCCTAGTCCAATTGCCGCACATCCAGTCGGACCAGCTTTGGCTCCGCCAGCTGTACCAGTAGCTGCTCCTCCAGTTGGCCCACCTCCACCAGTTCCAGCCCCAGCCTTTGCTCCAGTGGCACCCGCATTGTACCCAGCTATTCCAGCAGCCGCGCCAGCTGTTCTACCAGCTGCTCCGGCTTATGCTGCGCCAGCTTTTGCCCCTGGATTTGGTTACGCTGGTTTTGGACCGTTTGGGTCAAACAAAGAAGCCCGCGCTCCAACAGAGAATAATTCTACTGAAGCTGAAGGTACAACTACAAGCACGACATCTGCTCCAGCTCAGGAATAAGAATTTAAGAATTATACGATCATTTATAAAACTGGCACCTCAACAAAACTGTTGGTTATACCTTGCAAATCTACACAAATGTACTACAGCTTAAAAAGACTGTTCTCTTTATGCCTATCAAAAATGTATTGCCTTGAGTTTTAACATTCATTTTTGTACATATGATGACGTTGTTTGCTACAAGTTGTTATTCTTTTGTCTGTGCATAATGAACATAACAATAAACGAGCATTTTTTTAAAATAAGTAAAATTCAATTAAAAATGATTGCGATAAAAAACTTAAAAAAAAACAGTCAAGGAATAAAAAGTAAAATGTCGAAAAAATGTTAGTTAAAAAGTTTTTTTTGCTTATTGAGTACTGTTCAAAAAACCAGTAAACCTCAAAAAATTTTGAAATTTAACTTTGAATATTTATCAAAAATAAATTTTACTTTGTAACGTAAAATCTAATCTCAAGAACACTTCCCACTCAAATTTATTTTAAATTAAATATTTTACGTTATGTAATTGAATCAACATGATATGTATAAAATTATGTTAAAAGGCGTTCTTGGTATTGTCATACGATGCTATTATAATATGTCTACTCTAAATACAATAGTTTTCTGTTCATTTTCTATAATACATAGTAAAGTTATATTTATATCCCGACATTTTAAAATGAAATCCGTATAATATTAATAATTATTCATACGAATCTTTCATCTCCGCGGTTTCTGAATAAAATCATTTTTAAGCAAAATTTATTAATAACAATAAAAAGCAAAGTAACATGACAATATATAATAATAACACCAACACCTGTATATACAGACAAGAAACGAATGTCCGCTGAACAATTTACTGGCCCTTCAACTTCAGAACTTGAGCGGCCGAAACATCGCGTTTCGACTTGGCCGAGCCTAGTAAAACGGCAAGCCTGGTAAATGGACTGACAGCGGGGAACAATGTTGGAGCAGCTAAATATGGGGCTGGTCCGACTGGTGCAAAAGCTGGTACGGCAGCCGGGGCAAAGGCTGGGAGAGGGGCTGGAGCAGGAGCAAACAATGGGGCGGGAGGTGGGACTGGAGCGAACGCTGGAACTGGAGCTGGAGCAAAAGCTGGTACCACTGGAGCTGGTGGCGGAAGCGCTGGAGCAAAAGCTGGAGCGTAGACCGGAGCAGGCGCATAAGCTGGGACTGGAGCTGGTGGGGGAACTGGAGCGAACGCTGGCACTGGAGCTGGAGCGAAAACTGGTGCAGGTGGTGGTACAGGCAACGCTGGAGCAAATGCCGGCACTGGTGCAGGAAGTACAGGAGCTGGTGGTGGAACTGGAGCAAAAGCTGGAACGGCGGCCGGAAGTGGTGGAGCCAAAAGTGATCTAGCCACAGGAACAGGTGGAGCTAACAATGCAGGTGGTGGTGGAGGGGGTGCAAAGGCTGGAATAGCAGCTGGAACGGCTGGAGGATGAGCTAGAAGAGGAGCTGTGGCAAAGTATCGGCCAACAAGCTAAAAAAGTTAAAGTAAGAAGAAAATCTTTAAGTAAATAAAACATCTTTTAAATTAAAATTTCAATAATTCCTGAGTTACATAACACAAGATTATTTCTAAAGATTACGGTACACAATAAAAAACTTACAGCGCCTGGTACTAGTTGAGATTGAACACCGAGAAGAAGAGTGGCAAGGCTGGAATAAATTAAAATTAATCCCTTATGTAAAATCATACCTTAATCAAAATGTTTCAAAATAAAAAATGTAAATGTCTTTAAGTGTAGTGCAAATTTAAAGAAATCTAGTCTCTTACACGTAAATATTGACAAATACCAAGATTTATAATAATAGAGTTAAAAAATAAGGAAAAAAGTAAAAAAAACTCACAAGAGAACGCGGTTCATGTTTGTTGTCCGAGACTCCAGAAGTGATGAATGCCGTGATCAGCACCCTGGCTTTTATATAGATCAGCACGTTTTTCGGGTGTGCAACGCCCCTAAAAACGCGCGCACTCAGCAAATATTGTCTTCCGTGTTGTTCTAGCACCCTAATCCGCCCGTTGTCCACTCCAGCGGCCCCGGCTGTTTTTTGCGTGAACGCGCGTGGGACGAGCGCGGCCCCAATGTTCCGGTTCTTCGCGGCCGACTAGTCGGGGAGCGCAGGGTCCATTGGCCGCGCTAAATCACTTTAACTCACTGCATTAATTGTATGTTTCTGTACCGTCTCTTTCATCTTTTTAACAGCCGTTTATATCCTTTATTTTTCCCTTTCTTCTTTAGTATTGTTTAAAACAGATAACATATTTATCTTTTTATTTCTGTAAGACACTTTCATTTTCTCGGCTTTTTTATTATATTACTTATTTTTTTATTTTTCCTTTTTTGTTAAGTTTTCGAATTATCTTTTAAGACATTTATCACATGTCAATATAAATTGCCTCTTCTACATTCACTTTGGTCCTCTCTTTTCCTTCTCTATGTATCTTGTTTTCTCTATGTACACCCTTTCGTTCATTCCATCATCGCCTGACTAGAAACGCTCCAATCTCTTCAGCCCGAATTGTGTCCAGCCGGCTGATCCGTCGCGCCCGTTAGTCTAGCCAAAAGTCAAATACAACAATAACCCGCATTGTTTCCAGGAGGTCGAGTGTTAACTGTACAACTTATTATCTTGACAAGAGTTAAAAATAAAAAAAAATGACTGTGTGCGGTAAGTTCGCAATTGACTGTTCAGCTATTTCTGTAGCGTGTGTAATACTGTATATATTCCTATATTATAAAGAAGACCCCGCTAAAAAGCATTCATCTAAATAAACCTATACTTAATTATTATAAAAAATTTTGTACCATGATGCGAGCTGTTATAGATCAGCCAAAGTTAATGCTTTTTCAGTAATATTTATAAACAGGTACCTACTTTAATATATAGTTTCGTACTGTAAATTGTATTTTAATAAAAATATAATCGTTTTCTATGACTCATCCTACTGTCCAGAACATTATACTCCACGTTGTTTTGTCCTTTGATTGTTTTGATGACAATTAATCCGGTTACGGCGATCTTCTTCACACAATCTCCTGTAAACACAAGTAAATTGTCAAATATAAATACAAAAAACGGATGGCCAGCTTTTTCATAGTATCGTATGTGACTACCATTCTACATGCTTTTAACACACGATTTTTTTTGTTAATTTCAACTACTGTACTTCGTCAATCATCTTTTCGTAGGTTCTATTGTCTCGGACTATCTTGTAATATCACTCAAATTAACCGATACGGTATTCTGATATTGTTTAGCGTCCTAATCTTTTAAATATAATATTCTGACATGATTAATTATTCGGTTTTGTTATTTTGGACTGTCACTATTTATATTGTTGTAAGTCAGCCGATACCTAACAATATTAATTTAAATTCGTATGCGTTCAACCCATGTGATAATAGTCCTGTCAACGGAAGATATGCCATGTTGATTACCGTGCGGAGTGAGCCATGTTCATTTAATATTAACAATGGTATCGGACAAGGATTTGAGCCGCCTTCACCTAACCCCTTCCTACCTCAACAAAACATAATTTCACCTGAATTGCAACCGCTTACACCAATATTTCATCCGGGTTTAATAAATAGACCAGGTTTAGCTCCGATCACTCCTACACAACAATTTCAACCGCCTTTTCCTCCAATTCCGAATCAACAACAATATCAGCCTTGTGGACAACAACAATTGTATCCGCACCCACAATTTGAACCTCAAATATCTAACCAGCCCCTTCATCCATGCGTTTCTGGACTATCCCCTCTGCAACAAAATTCTCAACCTTGTCTCCCACTTTGTACACCAAGCCTACAAGCTCATTTACAAAATCCTCAACCATGTACGACACCTTGTTCCCCAAGCGTGTTACCCAATCAACTAAATCATCAATCATGCCTCTCACCTCAACAACAGCTTCAACCTCATTTGTACCCACCGAATCTTCCACCTTGTCCTCCACTTCAAAATCAACCAACTCCAGTGCCATATCCAACGCCTTCCCAAGTTCAGCAACTATTACATCCATCTTTACGATATCCTGGGCCGTCCAATCAACCGATAAATCTCCCTGAATCCTTCCATCAACCGCTAAATTACCCAAGAGACATTAATTCGTACAACGGTTTCCTACCGCAACCATATCAAAATCCTTTACTCTTTCAAAACAATCCACGACCATATCCATGCTCTCCTTGTGTTAACCAACTTCAACCTCCAAAGAACCTTCTTCAAACATTCCCTCAATTCAATCCATGTCCTTGTAAAAAAGCGTAAATAAATAATAATAAGTACTTAAATTTAACTTGCAACAATATAAAATGATAAAAATGCAAAAAATTGTATTAAAATTATCAGTAAAAAAGAATAAAAACAATTTCAGATTTTGTGGTAAACATTAGAAAACAAATAAATTTTGTGTCACTTCGCAACAATATTAAAAATACGAAACGCCACAAATAAATTATAGGAATTTCGCAAAAAATTTCTTTACATTTCTGTGTTTTACTAGTTAAATAAGATGACACACCACGTTAAATACGAAGAACACGAAGAAATGGTTGCAGATGAAGTTGGGAGCGGCTCTGATGAGGATTCTGGAGATGAAGATCTCATTGACGACGAAAAAATGGACACAATGGAGAAGTTAAACTTCGATTTTGAAGCATTTCCGCCAGCTCCTGAAGACGCTGATCAGGTCAACAATTTTTTGACACAAGTAAGAAGACACTTATTTTTGTTATGTTATTTTTTTGGTTATGTTAAAAGGAAAAATTAATTTTGTTGGTGTAAAATTGTATGACATTTCCTTTTGCCGAGTTTTTATCAACAAATTGATGTTTTAGATATTTTTGCGAACTGAAATCGATTATGACAATCTTTCAAGGGCTGTTGTCGCTTTAACTCCGTTTGGAAGCGTTATTAGGACTTCAGAGGAGTGTGTTGATGAAGATAATGATGACTGCATGTACGGAGTTGCTTCCGTTTTAGTTTTGAATTCAGACAAGGTATGGATTAGTAAAATGACGGTTTTATTGCTTTAGGGAACAAATATAACATTATTTGTTAATAAAAGTATCAATAAGTGGAAAAATAAGACTGTTTCATTTTTTGTCTTTTCTAATTAATATAAGGAATTTTTCTTTTGTTAACAAATTATATATTGTTTTAAGTAACTTTAAATTAATGCATTACTTTTTATAGAACTATGGAATTGGAGACTTGTTACTGCAAAGGGCTAAGAAACACGCTACTAAAACTGTTGCCGTTCAAATTGAAAAGTTGTTTAAAGCAGAATCTTCTGTGGGCTTTGTTATCAATGAAAGAATGTTAAAGTTTCCTCCACAAATTGCTGGACCAACTTTGAATGCCTTAAAGTATGTTTTAATTTGTTTTTGTATAGAAATTTTTTCAAGAATTTTAAAATAAAAATTTATTTCTAGGCAAGACATTTTGGCCGAAAAATCTTTGGAAAGAGTTGATACTTATTTGTTCATATTGAAAATTCGAATTAGCGATGAAGAATTGAAAAAGAAGGCGGAAGATGCTGAGGTCCAGTATGATAACGAGGAAGAGGCGTTGTTATTTGAGGTAGGTTCTTTTAAGTTATGTTTTGATAACTTAAAATTTAATGCTTTAAAATTGCAATTTAGGCATTCCCAGAGAATATCCCGTTCTTCCAGTACCCTGTTCAATCTGATGTTGAAAGCACAAGCAAGTTTGCCGCTTCCAAAAAGGGAAATGTCACTTTACGACCATACCGGAGGGTTTGTATTCTAACGAAGAGTCAACTATTCCATTATTGCGATACTGTCTCACAAGCTTTTTAATATTTTCTTGTTACTTTTTGTTATTGTTGGTATAAACTTGTTATTTGTTTGGTTTAAAAAATTTTTAAATTATTTTAAAATTTGATTAAAACTTTTTATTGGAAATATTTTGTTTTAAAAGAAAAACCAGAAAAAATATTGGCGATCACTGAGATAAAACCTTACTTTATATGGTAAAAAATATGTAAATTTTTTTGTATTTTATTACTTTGTTCGCGGTACTTAATCTAATAAGCTACCGTAAGAAGTTTATTACTTATTTTTTATATTAAGAGTTCACTAAATCATAGATTCGATAATAAATGTAGAACCGAACAGAAATACATAAAAATTTTAGGAAAATACCGTATTCTAATTTCTTAACCGTTTTACAATTCCTGAAATTAACGATAAGACGTTTATTGTATATCTCGTCTCTTGCAGCCTGCACTACTGAGGACGCAACCCGCGCAAGCCAAAATACGGGACACGCCGCCGACTGCTCTTTACCCGATTTATGCGCATTCGTATTCCCTTCCTCAAATAAACCATCTCAAAGATACCAACTTAGCTCCAAAACATGCGAAAAAGGTAAGCATAATATTGGATAGATTTTTAAATTGGGAAATTGTTGTTTTTGTTAAAAAGTAGACTTTTTATTTGTTCTCTTACCTAAAATTCGATAAACAAGGCGAATTTGAAGGAAATTCTGCTTTTCGGAACATAAACACTGTTTCGTTTTTGTGGAGTTAAGCTAAGGGTTTTATTTTTGGAATTTTGTGAAAGATTCTGCATTATAAATTTGTGCTAATGTTCAGCGGAGTTAAGCGAAGACGTGAGGACGACGACGGAGATACGGTTGATGCTTTTCCTGAAGACGAAGACAGTCGTAGCCGGTTGACTCCAGTCCCAATTCCAAAAGGTCGAGAAAAGGATGCTGAATTTTCGGCTCCAAAAACTCATAAATTGGCGGATTTGGACGAAGAAACTCAGCCACAACAAGTAAAAGACGAAGATGGCCCAGCCGTTATTGACCAAACCCACTATATAATCATACCATCGTATGCTTCGTGGTTTGATTACAATTCCATTCATGACATAGAGAAGAGAGGCGTACCTGACTTCTTTCGTGGGGACAATAAGAGCAGAACTCCTGAAGTGTATGAATTTAGTTTTTTTATTAAAATTTAAGGAGATTTGATGAATAATTCTGGAAAAAATAGCTTTTAATTTTTGAAAATTAAGAAAATATAAAAATTTTTTAAAATATAGTTTTTCAATTTAGTTACTTGACTTATCGCAACTTCATGATCGATACGTACCGTCTTAATCCGTTTGAATATTTGTCATTTACCGCGTGCCGTCGCAACTTGTGTGGAGACATTTGCTCCATTGCTCGGACGCATTCATTCCTAGAGCAATGGGGGTTGATCAACTATCAAGTCGATGCCGAAAATCGCCCAGCACCGGTTGGACCACCAGCTACTTCCCATTTCATGGTTCTTGCTGATGCTCCAAATGGTTTGCAGCCGGTTAATCCATTCCCGCATGGGTTTCAATTAACTGAAAAAGCAGTCAAACCCGAAAAAGACGGTCAGGAGCCTTCGGCTACAGACAAATTTGAAGAAGTTCGTGAAGAAGGCGACGATAGCAGTAAATTGAAAGTTAAAGTTGAGAAGACGGCTGGCACTGGATTTGACGCCGGTTTGAAGACAGACCAATATGCTAAACAGTTGGCTGCCATGAAGTTGAAAGGCGCTGCTCCAGGTCGCGATTGGGACGACCAAGAGACTTTATTGTTGTTGGAGGCTTTGGAGATGTACAAAGATGATTGGAATCGTGTGTCTGATCACGTTGGCTCAAGAACTCAAGACGAATGTATCCTCAGATTGCTACAGCTTCCAATCCAAGATCCGTTTTTAGAAGAGGATGGTGGAGATGTTTTGGGACCTTTGGCTTATCAACCAGCCCCGTTTAGTCAAGCTGGCAATCCTGTCATGAGCACAGTCGCTTTCTTGGCCAGCGTGGTAGAGCCAAGAGTTGCTGCGGCGGCATGTAAGGCTGCTTTGCGTAAGTTATTCTATCTTTGTATTTATTTGTGAGAAATTTTTTAATTTTACTTAAAAATCTGTTTTGTAAAATGTGTCAAGATATTAACCAATAAAAGTCGAATTTCAGAAGAATACTCGAAAATGAAAGATGAAATCCCCCCACTAATTATAGAAGCCCACGCCAAGAATGTTGACGCACATGCTAAAGCCAACAATGGAGATGTAGATCCAGAAGTTGGTCTTAAAGAGTCTGGAATTGCTTCTGATGATAAAGTAATGTTTTACATCAAATAGTGTATTTTTAGGTGGAACTGAACGTAATTGCTATGATTTTCTTTTTAGACAACCGAAGATTCAAATAAAGACGAAGAGTCAATGGAAACCGATGAAAAGTCAGAAGAGACTGAAGTAGTAGCAGAAACGAGAAAAGTGGTGTCAGAAAAGGTTCAGACCGCAGCAGCTTCTGCATTGGCTGCAGCTGCAGTTAAAGCAAGACATTTGGCCAATTTGGAAGAAAGACGAATGAAGAGTTTAGTCGCGCAACTGGTCGAAACCCAAATGAAAAAATTGGAACTTAAGTTAAAACATTTTGACGAAGTACGTTATTTATAATGTGTGTATCAAATTTTAGATAATCGTATTTTTAAATTTACGAAAAGGCTGATAATTGCCTTTATTTCAATTTTTTTACAGTTGGAAGCAATTACGGACAAAGAACGAGAATCTTTTGAATACCAAAGACAACAACTTATCCTGGAAAGACAATTCTTTCATCTCGACCAGCTAAGGTATATGCAACAACGGTCTAAGACAGACGCGTACCATGCACTGATGCAAAAAGGAGAACTGGAACCAGGATTTGAGGTTAGAGGATGTCCACCACAAATGCAACCTCAGCTGGTACCATCACAACCAACTGTAGCAGGCGGAGTAGCTCTTCCACCTCGAGGAGACTCGGGAGATTCTAAACCAGCCGATGTTCCAGCATCTGAAGGCATTTCTGCTATACAACCACCTCAAGCTACTCCTCAACAACCGACTCCACCACAACCCGCACCAGTTGTTCCAACCGAATCAATTAACCAAACACAACCCCAAGTTACACCACAATCAGCATCTGGAGCTCCACCATCCCAACCACCCCCTGCCCAGGCCTACGGCTATCAGCCGCCGTACGGCGCTGCAGCACCACCATCGGGACAATCATACCCACAAGGATACCATCAGGCACCCCCAGCTGGGCATTATCCTCCTCAACAGCCGCCTCCACAACAATATTACGGCCAAGGTGGACCACCGGGTGCTCCACGTCCATACGCTCCACAACAACAATATAACCAGAGGTTTGGGCCGGGCTACGACTACAATTATCCACAAGGACGGCCAGCTGGCTATCCACCAGCCCCACAACAAGGACAATATCAATATCCGCAAGGGTACCAGGGCGGTCAGGTATGTACATTTGCATTTATTTTTGGACTTTATGTATGGATTTCAAGTAAAAAACATAAGTGAAGAAAAAGTTTCGTTTTTATGAAATTTATTTTCAGTATTACCCCCAACAGGGCGGCCAACCACCCCACCCAGCAGCCCAACAACCCGGCGAAAGCCAAGATCAAGCTCCTCCGTCACAACCATAACTCTAATCGGCATCAAAGTGACCAACAATACTCATAAATGATCTTATTTTTCTTCTAAAACTTTTTATAATATTTAACCATAATTATTTGTCTTTTAATTTACCTTAATATTAATTAAAATAAATACTCTTTTTATGATTTTTTCTATATGGATGAAAATGAACTACGTTTAATATATGTATCTTTTACAAGTTTTTATCACTTTTATAAAGGTTGATGAAAATAAGAATGTTAATAAATTTTTTACTTTTGTTTTTTTTTGAAGAACAAAACTAATATTGTTGAATTTCTTACTAGTAACGTTACTATATTAAAAAATCTTAAGACTGGTCATAGGTGATACTTTTGACTTTTTTGCTCTATTCAAGGGAATATCAATTTACCATTTTTTGTAATATAGGCCGCAGTTCAAAACTGAAAAAAGCGCGCGAGCCTTTATATTCAAATAGAAATTATTATTTTTTTTATTTTCTCGCAACAAATAAATTTTACTGATTGTTTTGCAGCTATGAGTGCAGAAGTCTATGATTTTGATGCTTACATTGAACAACAGGATGAAGAAGCTGATGGTTGTACGATTGCAGAGGTGAGTAGTATAATTTTACATACATTTAATGTTTTTACGCGGTTGGAGACAGGACTTGTGTTACAGGTAGTTCGATGTATGAAGGTTGTTTGGCAGAACGAAAGAGTTGCTCCATTGATTTTACCACATAGATTTGAGTATGTTGATGTGTTACAGGCTCAAATTGTAAAAAGAGATCAGGAAATTGAGGAAGGACGAAAGAATGGGGTTGAAGATGAGTTTAGAGGTGCAAAAAAATACGAAGTGGCTCGTGTAAGATACATGGTTAATTCTTATTTAAGGTAATACTTTTTTAAATATTTTTTACGTTTAGACTTTTAGATCAGTCAATGCAAGATGTTTTTCTCAACAATTTATATTTTTCTTGTAGAACTCGACTTCAAAAAATTGAGAGAAACCCAGCTGCTGTGATGGCCAGACACTTGGAGTGTCACAACAAAGGAAAACCGGATCTACTTGATGCTCATGAAGTTACTTACGCAGAGAACATTGTTAGGTCTAATCTCAATTTTTTCAATGAAAGCTTTTTATCTCTTCTACCTCCTGGATTCAATGTTCCTGTTGTCACGAAAGATCGTTCCGAAATGAAGAGATGTTTTGTAAAAGTGAGTCAAAGTGTGAATGTTACTATTGGAAAGATGACGGATCCAAATTTGGATACAATGGTGGCCCTACCTGCTGGGACCTTACATTATGTACCATTTTATTCGATCCAGGATTATATTGATGATGGTAGTGTAACACTCATGTAACTTTGTAGAATATTAAAAATGTACGTTGGATTTTTTAATTTATGTATTGTTTATATTAATATAAATAAGCTGATTTCTTAAAATTATTTGGTTTACGTTGTACGAGTTTTATAATTATACCTGTGGAGTTTATTTGAATTTTTCCTCAAGCGTTTTATTAGGTAAAGTAAATAATTATTTTTATTCATTATATTAAATGTTAGGTAGATAAAAATACAAAGAAGAAGCCACTCCTCTTGCCTTTTATGTTATCTTTGATGAATTGATCTTCGTATCATTAATTTATTGCGTCCGATTTTTGTTTTTTAATTGAACGTAAGTTTACAAAATACATCTGAAGGTCAATATTTGTGGCATTTTTAAAGTATTAAATTTTAAACATTACAGATATTGAACTGGATAATTTTTGCAATCCGCTGATTTTAAGCTTGTTTTTTATTTTTAGCGTACTTCTTAATCAACAGTGTATTTATTACCTGGCCATATTGATATTGTGTATTTAGAAGCTATTTGGAGTGGGAGTACTATCAAAAATATACTTTTCTTAGCTATGCCAACAGTTATAATAGCAGGTGCAGGCCTAGTTGGCTCTTTAAATGCAGTTTTCTTTGCTCGCCGGGGTTGGGATGTTCAAGTCTACGATCAACGAGAGGATATTCGAAAGATGGAGCATGTCCCCGGTCGCTCCATAAATTTGGCTTTATCTTGTCGTGGCAAAGAGGCCTTGGAAGCAGTAGGATTAAAAGACTATATTGCTGACAGAGGAGTGCAAATGCATGCTCGTTTAGTGCACAGTAAGGATGGTAAAGGTTTTGTGCGTCAGCCTTATGGACAGCCAGGAGAAGTGTGTTTTTACTTGAATAATGGATGACTTAAGATTTTTATCGATAAAATACTTTTACAGTGGAACTCCTGTATAACGATCGATCGGGGATTTAAAATTTTAAGGAGTTTTTTAGAGGAGGTTTAAATGCACCGTGTAGTGGTGGACGAGGTTTTAAAAACTGTTCGTTATACAGAAATTTCGTTATAGTGGAGTTCGTTAAGAGGAGTTCTACTGTATTTAGTAACTGTTTTTTACCACGTAATTTTAGCATATCGTATCAATTAATCGCCGCCATTTAAACGAGGTTATGATATCAGAAGCGGAAAAATACGACAATGTTGAGTTCTTTTTTGAACACAAGGTACAAAAAGTTGATATGAGAAACAAAAGGTTAATCGCTTCGCACAAAGGTCAGGAAGTTGTGGTATCTGGAGATATTGTATTGGCTTGTGATGGAGCATATTCTGCTGTTAGAAGAAGTCTGATGACTTACCCGAGGTTTGACTATAGTCAGGTTGGGTGTTTTTTTAAAATTTAACTTTATGTTTGAATTACGATATAAAAGCAACTAACCCACTTTTCATAAATATTATATCATTATTGTATAATATAATTTTTTTTGAAGTTGGGTTTAGATAAATAAAATAGTTTTTAGGAATATATTGAACACGGCTACGTAGAATTAAACATTTTACCAAAAAATGACCAATTTGCCATGGAACCGAATGTTTTTCATTTATGGCCACGAGGAGATTTCACTTTGATAGCTTTGGCCAACACTGATTGCACATTTACTGTGACGTTATTCGCACCATTTGATCTATTCGATAAAGAATTGTTTGACATGGAAAACAGACGGATTCAATTTTTCCGTGACAATTTTCCAGATGCTTTAGAGTTAATGGGAGAAGAACATGTCAATGAGGTACGGTAATTTTACTTCTTTTATGTTTTAATTATTAAAATAATTTTATTTTTTCGAATTTTTTATTTTTGTTTTTAAATTTAGACATTCAATCGAGTAAAGCAAGCTTCTTCATTAGTGTCAATTAAATGTCGACCGTTTACTTTTAACGATTTTGTAGTACTGATGGGCGATGCTGCCCACGCAATGGTACCATTTTATGGTCAAGGAATGAATTGTGCAAGTTTATTTTGAAAAGGTTTTAACTTTTAAAAACAGGGTGGGTGTGGTGAGCTAACGTAAGTAGGAATGTTTTTAATTAAAACCAGTGCCAACGCATAGTGATTTTTTCTCTTATAGGGCTTTGAAGACTGTCTAATTCTTCACGAAATTGTCAATGAGTATAACGGAGATCTTGGTATGTATTTTATTTAAATATTTAATAAATTATGGCCTTATATAATACAAAATAGTTTTCCTAAAGTTTTGGTAATCAATTTCTTTCCAGTAAGAGCGGTCAGAACGTATTCGGATAGGCGTTGGAAAGATGCCCATACTATTAACGACTTGGCCATGTACAATTACAACGAATTGAAAGACTTGGTGAATCAGTTTGGTTACAAACTTAGAAAGAAGTTAGACTTATCTTTGAACAAATATTTGGGCCCAACATGGATTCCTCTTTACTCCATGGTAACTTTTACACGGACTCCATATCACAAAGTGGTGGAGTATAGAAAAAAACAAGATAATGTAAGTTTTCATTTTTACGTGAATATAAAAAATAGGGTATTTACTTTTTAATAAAGTTGGGCAGAATTTTAGGCTTTATTTTAACATAATTGAATATGTCTGATTTAGATATTGAAATGGATTAGATATGGCATAGCAACAAATGTATTAGTGGCAGGGGCAGCTTATATCATCAAAAAGAAATCAGAGTACCAGTAACGTTTCTATCACTACCACTTGTTCTATTGTGATTTTCTAAAAGGTTTTAATTATTTTAAAATTGAAAGTTTACTTAAAATAAAATATTTTAAATCCATTGTGGTTGTCGAGGGTTTTATGTAAATGTCATTAAGACATCAAAATTAATTAAACACGTTGTATAATAAAACACATATAATAGTTTATTTAAAGAGTTTTAGCGCGTTCAGGATAATTTGACTCAGGATCACAGCACACAACACAATCAGAAGTACAGTTTTGTTGTCGGCTTCGGGAAAAGTGACCGTGGGCATGTCGACTTCAATCTCTTCTGATGGCTGTCCTTCATCCGAACCTTTTTTCATGTTCGCATATTCTTCACATTTGTTCCGCAACATTTGATTCTCAATCTTCAGAGCCTTAACCTGAGATTGGTACATAGACATTGTTGTTTCTGTGTCCATGGTTGGTATTCGGGCAGACAGACGCCAATGTGCCAGTTTGAGACGTTCATGTTTTTTTTTCCAAAACTCATTTCGATCTATTTCTTCTAAAATTTCTATGTTTTATTACATTTTGTAATTAAAACCGTTTTCTTTACCAAAACTCACCTTTACATTCGGCTACCGTAACCACAAACCGGTGCTTGGCGTTGACGGATTTGTTAGGCTTAATGAATACAAGTACTTCACTTTTCTGGTCTTTCTCAACGAATCCGGGATTGTGCCTCACCAAGTAGACGTCTTTTGCATTGGTTCGAACTCGATACGCTAACCGACTTGATGAAAGATTTTCAATTTCGATTCGACTGAAGAAACGCGCACAGTTGTTGAAAATCACCTCTTTGAATTCTAACAATTGCGAGGGGTGGACAACGAAAAGCGGGCCGCTCATCCTTCTGTTGAAGTAGAGAAATAATCGTTTTTAAAAAATTTGAATTTTTACTCAAAATTTTTATACGGCTTTCTTGTAGTACCAATAGTAACCATAAAAAATTTTGCCCGCGCTTTTGAGTTTTAAATTTGGAATATTTGAGTTTCCAGCCAATTTGGCAAATTTGGCATTGTGTTTCAAGCCCTTTTTTGGGCTTTTTAAACAAGATACGCTTACAAATTTAAAAATTTAAGTTTATTTAAAGGTTTTCTACTAGTATATCAAAAAAAATTATTAAAAGTCAAAAAATTACAAAATGATAAGCTTGAAACACAAAAAACGTAATTTTTTGATCTCGATTTTTTCGAGATTGACTGGAAAACGCGATTTATACATTCCTTAAAATCTTATATTATATTTACCTGTTTTTTTCTATACAAAAGGTTTGAAGTCAATCAGAGCGGGGCTGGTTGAAAAGATATTAAAAAATTAATAAATTTTGTTGAAAATAAATGGTTTAAAAATTTTATTACAAGAAATGATCGTGGACATGTATAACAAGGTGAAGACTTTATAGAAATTCATAGAACCTTACAGACGCTCGTATTAACATATAATATAAAATTTAATTAAAAACATAAGAAAACAGACTTGTATGAAAGAGATGCATATTTGTTTTTATAAAACAATATGAAATATAGAATAGGACGGTTTTAAATAACTGGGGTTCGGCTAAGCTGTACACAAATTAAGATATACATATTGTCGTGAATATATTCGTTGTTTAATGTTAAATTGTACCACAAGACGAATGAGTACAACTTAGATGACAAAAAGATGTAAGAAGACGAAAATAACACTTTATATGATAATGGTACATAAAACAATGACAATATGTTCAATACAATCCGCAGCCTTGTAAATTTGCTTGAATGATAAGATCGATGCAAGAATCCAGAATCATCTGTACTTGATTCGTGTCCGTAGCACATGTCTGATGCATATAAATGGTCTTATCGGGATTTGCATTCAAACCCTCAAACTTTTCTTCGATGAATTTCACTTGATCATCATATGTGTTCGGCCCTTTATATTCAGGGAAAGCAATTTTAATCGACGTTTTCTGAATTTTGTCCATAAATAAGTCTTTCTTATTCAAGAACAATATCATAGACGTGTTGATAAACCACCGTGAGTTACAGATGGATTCGAAAAGCCTCATGGATTCAATCATTCGGTTCTGAAAAATGTATTTTGTTATTGCTATATTAATAGTATTCACAAAGAAAAGGACTATGGTAGTAAATACAATTTTGTACAAGTACTGACTCAACGAGTAATCTTATAATAGTTTTAGACAAGGATAAGCTGATAATTGCCGTATCATCCAACCCTTTGTCGGACGCTTAGAAAAGCAAGTAAAACTGACACCTTTTAAATTTACTGTCTTACCGTAGTTTCATCTTCAAATAGTACTTGATCGTACTCACTGATTGCAGCGATAAATATAATAGCATTTACATCTTCAAAACAGTGAATCCACTTTTTGCGCTCGGAACGTTGACCTCCTACGTCGAACACTCTGAAAATGGCAACTGTAATACTCTTAAAATCTTAATTTACTTTTTAAACTGGCAGAACATATATCACACTACATTAAAAGCACGGCAAACTTTACATACCATTTTAAAAACGGAACAAAAATAAATCTGTATCATATTACAAAACTAAACAAAATGTAACAAAAAAACCTTAAAGATAGTGAGTGACATACCTGAAATCAACATTTTTCATTTTGAACTTGACTTCAACAATACCGGTCGTTTTTATCCTACTCAGCAAAATATCTTGTTCTGTAGGCACGTAGTTTTCGTCAATGTACCGGTCGATAGATTGCAAAAAACTGTAAAATTAAATGTAATAGATATTATTATACATTTTTTCATCGTTATACTAATGAAAAGTCTGAATTCTGAGTAAATTTTTAATATAAGGGACGAGCTAAATACATCGGATGGAAAGTATCAGACAAAAAATGCGATTTCTTGTCTGATATTTTCGTCTCTCATTTTCCCGCTATCTTTTTTTTCCTCTCGTTGCCGACGGCAGTTAGAGAAAAAAAAGATCGTTGAAAAAAATATCAGACAAGGAATTGCATTTTTTGTCTGATACTTTCCATCCGATGTATTTAGCTCGTCCCTTATATTTTAAAACTTTGGTAGACACGAAATAAAAGGGCTTTTAAGCGGCAAATCAAAAAATGCATTTTAATAGCTATTTAAAAGTTAAGGAACTTATAAATCATAGTCATGATTTTGTCACAACTTACTGAATGGCCGACTCAGGGAGTTGGATTTCGTTTCCTCTTTGCAAAGCTACCATTTGAATCGAAGGATCTGCCCAAAGGGCTTTTAAGGATCGTGTCAATTCTTCGCTGAATGGCTCCGACTCTTCGGCACGTTTTATCACGTCCATTACGATCCGTTCTTCGTTTTCCAACGCCGGATTGTCGAACGTGACATTAAGTTGTTTCAATCCACGAAGAATTGTTGCCATTGATTGGACGGTATTGTTGTAAACAACCGCCTTCTGTTTCTGCATTTCATCGTCGGAAAAACCATGATCGTGCAGAATTCTGAATATTTTATATTAATTAAATAAAAAGTAAAAGTTTCTTATTCTTTTCGCACAATTGTCTTTACTATATATTTTGTCATATGCATTATTATCATTCTGCATTTCCTTACAAGCTTTTTAAAGAGACTAGTAGACGTTTGTCAATCACCGTGGTAACTGCCCACATTTTCAAGTATGCAATTACATGCCATCATTAACAATATTATTTTTGTACGTCCCATGGCAACCGGCATCATTGAACAACAAGTGCAATGTGTTGGCGTCACAAAACCCGTCAACAGATTATACATTTTATACTTATTTTACACAATCTAATAGCTATGGACAAAAAAACTAAATTTTAAAGATTTTTAATTTAAAATTAGTTGAATTATTATATTTGACCGACGAAGCAATCTTCAACTTACACATCCTTTCAAAATCTCAAAACAACCTAACGTGTTGTAAATTTTAACATCTAAACATGATGTTTAACGTTTATTCATATCACTGTAATAACTGAAACATACTATGTTCTCATGGTCGTTCCCACGGTCAAAGTTTATTTATACTTTATGTCAATACTGAAAAACCGGTGAAATCTTTTTTTAACACGTTTTAATTTTCATATAGTGTAAATCATCTTAAAAATAAAGTATGTGAGTCAAACATTCAAGAACTTCGCTATACCTACAAAGATTCCAAAAAAAATTAATTTGCTCCAGGAAATGTAATTTATGGCTATGTGTTGAATGTTCTGTTAAATGTAAAATTCACATTCTTTTTAATATGCGTTTTCTACCCCTTTCTAAATCCTAAATGTTTTTCCAAATACGAACACATTCATACATGTGTCAAGAACAAACCGATAGGTCAGCTTGAGTACGTTTTAAACATCATTAAAACGCTTTTAAGAAGCAAAATGTAATGTTGAACGTTCTGGCTTGCGTATTCGCATTTCTTAATAGATGTTATTCTTTATTTAAAAAAAGTAGATCACAAACCACTTTGATACATGCTTATATCACTTTTTTGTACGTAAATGTATATTATAAGGTATAATATTTCCACAAAGTAAATCTATATTTTAATTTAATTCTTAATAGTTCAACTACCATGGAATGTTTTAAAAACGCTTGTGCTGGTTATAAAACAATAAATTTGACTTTACACCCTCATTAGCACCTTTGAAGTTTATCGACCCACCGGAAGTGTCTCCCCCAACAACAATTATTACTCAAACTAAAGTTGTTATATTCATTGTTAGTTAATTACCCGGAATATATGTAAAATCTCAAGTTAATAGAATAATAAACTTCTTGTCCAATTATTTTTTACTTTTTGGGATTTACAACTGTTTTTTAGAAAAATTTCGACAATAATTTTTCAAAAAAAGCTCCTTCGAATGTTAGTCTTGTCAAAAAGTAAAAATTAAGTTTTATAAAACAGAAGTGCATTCATAACTGTTTTAAAATCTTTTGAGTTTTTTCTTACCTCATTTGTTTGAGCACCGTACTCTTTCCGCATTCACCAGCACCCAACAGTAACAATTTGACCACTTTTTGTTGTGCCAAATGACCTTGCATAAGTTCGCGGTCAATCTGTTTGGTCTTGGATTGAAGTTCTTTCTCCTCTTGGCTCTGGCACAGCCCCATGATGGCTGGCTTCCAGTGAAACTCGTATCCAAAATTTGACTTGTTTGTGGTTTATTCTGCGGATTCGTCTTACAGCGTTGGTTTCTTTCAGTGTAATTTCTCAAAGTGTTTTTGTCTTTATATTTATCGACAGAATGTAGATAACCAGCCGCTTAAGTTTCTGAAGACCCAAGACAATCCGGCTGTCACACCGGCTTGGTCCGGGTCTCGACACGAAAGCCTTGGACAAAAACTGAAAAAAGTAAATTTAAAAAGTGAAATAAATAAAATAATTATAAAAAACAAGTAATATATTAGTAAAGAAATTCAATAATAATTTATACACGCAAACACGATAATTGTTATACGTTGCAGAATAACTATTCTTATTATATGTACCTATAAGCACAATTATCGTCCGTTTTTGAAACAAACTTTTATAAAAAATTTCATACTTGAACTATGAAAAACGTTGTATAATACAATTGTCGTATAATATACAAGAAAAAAAATTCTTCTAACGTATATATCCTATTAGCTTACAAAAACAGCAACATACAACAGCATGCCTTAAAGTGAAACCTAAGCATACCGTGGCGCAAAAACAAAAGCCATTAACATACTTAACATTTTACCGTAGCAACCATGCATAGAAAGTTGTATTAACATGTAATAACGTGCATGTACACACATTTATTGTAAAGTTATCAGATGACTTAGTTTTGTGTGTCGTAACAATATTCGACAATCATGCTTTTGAGAAATGCTTTATGGTTTTATAGCAGTGTCGAAACTAATGCTACGTACAAATTATTGTAGCATCTGTATTGGAGAAGTTGTTTTAGTATTTTACACAATTATGAAAATTACTTAATAAGCTTAACCGACATATAGCCGCTAGGAGCGGTAAGGTTAGATTAAGGGGGAGAGGAAAGATAAGTTTTGTACTTAATGTTAAAGATTGTTGAAAATGCGCCTATTTTTTCAGCACACAAAATTAAAAATTGCTTGCTGACATCGTGTGTACCCTTAACATCACACACTACAATAACAGCTTTTTCAAATGTACTTTCAAAACCGAGTATAAAAACCTCTAATACAATGATTGAGTTTGTACTTACAAAGAATAATTAATGTATAATATTCAAAAAACGTACGCAATTTTATATTATAGTATACTGCCTTTTAAAGAATACGTAAACTAACAAACCAAGCAAAAATTAGACAAAAAAATTGTAGGTTCGCATACCCAGATAATAACAACCTTCAAACACTAAAATACATAGAAAAAGTAATGTTTTTAGTCAATAGATATACCTTCCTAATTAAATGATTTATCAGTTTTATGATACCTTTAAGAAAAACCAAGGCAAAGCGAGGGTAGAGCGAATAGATCGGAGAAAAAAAATTTACTCAAGAGTAGAGAAAGTTTTAAGTTTTTTATACTGAACATATTAGCATCGATTTTTTAAATCAATTAAAAACCCCTGCTTTTTCCCCTTCTTCCTCGCCCAAAACATTTGTGTTAAACGGTGAAAATAAGACAAGTTACTCGAAAAAAAGTGCAGTAATCCATTCGCGTGAACCGACACACCATGCCGTTGTATATATGTAATTACCACAGAAGACAGGTGAGAGATTTTCGGTCGCGTGTTGCTAATTAGCCATCTCTTACAATGCCAAACCTGAGGCGATAATGGCCGAAGAAGATAATGGTACGACCAGACGTGTATTTAAAAAATGCTGTTTGCTTCGTCAGAGTGATTGAAGTAAAGAGGAAATGACAATAATTTTAAGAGCAAGAATCTAACATTTTGATAATTTTCACTTAAATTACCGTTAATGTCAAATAGTTAACAAATTACGCTAATATATTAGAACACTTGAGACTTAATTTTATTAAAATTATCATTTCAAGTTCTCGGTTACAATAATGTGTTGTTCTAAACAAGAAATGTATTAATTTTTGGCATTATTATTATACTAAATAAAAAATAATCAAATACATATCTCACTATCAAGTATATTTATGTGAATACCACTATTAAATTAAAATTTTATTTTAATAATACCTATTTAAACGGCCTTTTTTAATAGTACATTTTAACAAAAAGAAATCATCTAATATAAATGTACTTTAGTTTTATAAAGTTAATCAGCAAATTTTTGTACTTTTGTATTAATCTTCACCAACTTCTTTTGTTATGACATTAAAATATTTGTTCTAAATTTTTCAAAGCGGAAAACAGGCCACCTCAAAAATGTAAAAGGCAGAAAGTAACAGACTTAAAATTATGTAAAAAACAAATTTTCAGTAATAGATTATAAAATATGTGTTGTATAAATGAGTAATGGCAAAAACACTAATTTAGCCTGCGTAATAGCTTATATTTTGCAAAATAGCTTTTCGAAAATAGTTGATAGCATTACATCTTTTAAAATTTAATTTTTACATAGTGCTTAAACCTGACTAGTTATCTAACAAAAAAAGTCACAAGATGTCATGTTAATGATGTAAACAGCTATAACATACAATTTGCACAAATGCTACGTGTCCACCTTAACATAGTGTTTAGTATGAAGACCAATTTTGACACTTAATTACAGCCCACACAGTAATTATGTGCGTATCAGCATCGCGGTGTTACAAGAATCTCTTACTAAAAGGTGCGTTAGGGAATACTACAATATAAACATAATACAATAAATGGTATTAAATAATACTCTTCATAAATAACAAAAAACAGTACGTTAGTTTTAAAAAATCTTGGATTTCCACAACAGAAAATTCATGCGATGGAAGACAAAATTCATGCAATTTCGGCTCCTCAATACATTAATTATATATAATAAAAAAATATAATCAATACACAAGTCCATCAAGATCACAATCCACATATGCCTTAAAAAATATTAATCACAGCAGACAAGTATACTCGAACCCACATTAATATGCTTTCAAAGCGAACTAATATTACTAAGCTCGTGACACTAAGAACTCAAATGTGGACCCAAAAATAAACTCGTTTACAGATTAATTTAACAGTGTGTGAGCAAAAAAGAAAGTTGAGACGACATACATATGACATGTGAACTAACTCCACCACCACATGTCTTATTTTGTCATACGAATTAAAATGTAGTCAACTGGGTATTAAAAACTTTTAAAGCAAAAGCTCATTAAAAAAATTTTAAAAAAAGTATGAAAAATACCATTATAGAGCTCAAAGTACTATTGTAATACAACATATTCTAGGTTTAACTCAAAAACTACTTCAGATAATTGTAATATAACTCAAGCAGCAAAGTAATATGTTTTTATCATTTTACTTTACTTTTTAAACTCGTTAACCAGTCCTTTATTAAACTCGTTAACCAGTCCAATTAACTCTCGGCCGCATAATTACCGTCGCACCCTTGAGAATACAAAATATATACAGCCCAATTTACATTCGCGGTAATTGTAAGTTTTGGCGTTACTGCGGAGGCACTATGTCATTAACGCGGTAATTAGGCCTTGAGCTACACACACTATATATATCTACCAAAAGCGAACATTATGTTTAATAAGTACATGCGGTTACAAAGTTGTAACTTGTCATTTACATTGAGAATTCAAAGTGTACTACGATTTAAATGTTTACATCTACCAAAGCGTTACAGAAGAAAATACAGTAAGCATGAAAAGTGATTAAAGTGTTGAGAGGCAATTTTTTTCGTTTTTTTTCTAAAATCAGTTTCCTCTTATAGTTAATATTAAAAACACAAGATAAATAGTGAAAAGCGGGCACATGTACATATGCTTGTCTATATCAAGAGTTTGCATAAAATAAGTCACAATTATCTTTTGCACTTATCTTACAAGTTATATATATATTTGGTTTTACTTTTTTAAGATGAAAAGAATACAATATAGTATCTTATTGTTTTGACAAAGTAATCCTTTACCTCATTACTCTAAGATTATACTTGCGAATTGTATACAAATCTTAAGACTTTGAAATAAAAAAAGATTACTTAAGTATATTTTGCCAACGTAAGCATTTAAATAAATGTATTTTTCGCAACATTATTATAAAAAATCGTTTACTGTAGGCATATGATACAAAATACCTTATTAAATGTATATGCAGTCAAATTAACAAAAATAAAAAGATAAGGTAATGCCGTTTCAAGAAACTTCAACACAACCTTTAAAATGTTAATTGTAACACATTACTACAAAAAACGATTACTGAGTATACAGTCAAATTAAATTTAACGTCACGTAATGAAATTTTTAAAAACAAAACTCAAAAACATTCTTTATACAAACTCAATAGTCATAAATCGTTTACCGGACATTAATAGGCCTATAAAAACATAAATTTTTTTATCACAAGCAGTTAACCATGTAAGATAACTTGATATAATATAAGTATGTACTAGCAGCCCTAATTTTCTTATCACAAACAACAAACACGAGTTAAGCGCTAAGAGCAAAGTGAATTTACGAATCCCTTAAAAACATCTTAAAAGAGTTCATTTTTTGTTGATATATTCACAAGAACCCCTCCACTCAATCCTTTACAGACTCTTTCACCTACCCAAATCTTCCCTCAGTGATCGATTTTGATCTTACCCATCAACGACTACCCATGTTCATTCCCTCAATCCATTCAACGGTTTTAAGCGCTTCCGCTGAAACTACAGTAACCCTCGCGGATTAAAGGCCAAAAAACGCAGCGAAACAAAAGAAGATGTAAACGAGGGCTGAACAACTACACCGACGAGTGTAGATGCCGTGGCAGAATGTAGGTAAAGGTATAATGGGGCGGTCACCCTGACAACCAGCCTCAAGTCAATTTTTCAGGGTCCTCATTTACACATTTTCTCCACCACATCTCTCAAAAGTTACATTTCAGGTTCAATTTTCACATTCGGTGCGTACAATTATACTCGTTTTATGTACATGTGCAACAAAATGGCTCTCCATAATGATGAGATGTACGTACTTTTGGCTTCGAACCCACAGTGTAAACATAGAAAAAAGATCACAAATAATTAAATAACAAATTTTCAAAAGTTTCTGTTGGATAAAACGTCACAAAAAATCTCTAATAGAAGCAGGCTACCCCCTTATTACCTGTACATCTTAGGTTACTGAAGACGACTGTATTACACGTAACCAAAAGCTTAAACCACTATCTACAGTAACTAATAGGAATTATATTTCAATAAAATCCGGGCCAATATAAAACATTTATACAATACCGCAAGATGACTATTCATGAGCACAAAATTGAAAGTAAAAAAATCAATTTAAGTTAACAAATGAGCAAAGTGTTTGTGAGCAATGTTGTAACAATCTTCGAAAATGTAACGAGCACGACGAATGAACAACGGCCGATACTTTTGTTTTTCCGGTGCTTCGAACAGGAAGGCAATAAAAAACAAACTGAAAATGGTCTAAAAACGCAATAATTAACCACAAACTCTACAATTTCCTACAATAAGCACATGTACAAACAAGGGGGAAGTACGACGAAGAAGTAAGGTTAAGCATGTGTTTGTGATGACAATGAACACGATTAGGAAACGTTATGTGTTAAATCTCAAAATGTCTACTAATACTAAAAAAAGTGCGCTAAGCCTAAAATGTGTGTTAGGCCTAAAATTGTATCCAAGCCTAAAAGTTCTGCTAAGTCTAAAAATGTGTGTTAAGTTTAAAAAACGCGTGTTAAGCCAAACAGCGTAGTCTTTCAATTTAGAATTCAAACTGCAATCACAAAATACGTTAACAAAAAAATTGACACAACCTGCATAAATTTAATAAAATATGTATTAATGCTTAAAATATATAATTACCAAACTTTCAGCTGACAAATTATCAATTTCTAAATTTTACAAGAAAACGTTTAATCAACATCCAATCTTCATAAAAACCATTTGAAGTTGTGCTCTGCTCCTGACATTTGAGCATGGTTCTGAACTTCTACCTATGGAACCCCTAACCTATATTAAAACATTTTAAGTCAACCCATACAAAAAAACATGTTTAACTATAAAATAATATTATTTTATCTTGTAGGCAAGTCTGATTTTAAATAAACTACAAATGTTTAGACTCTATTGTTAATATAACTTTTTGTTAACAGCCTCGTGAGGTACTTAAAAATTTGTACTAATTCATTTAACTTATTTAACTTTCATTATCTATTTTATTCTATGGTAATTATATATCTTCATATAAGTAATTTACCTTAACAAAGGTGGGACAAACATTAAATCAAGCATAATCTTTCTTACAGCCTTAAACCCTATTCATAAGACGAAAACCTTCAAATAACGTATATTCTAACTAGAAAACTGTATAACTTACTTGAGCAACATGTTGTGACTTTGAAGCCAAGAGCAATTTTTCGAAACTAAACGGGGGTTTCCTATTGTACTTTTTCAGATAAAACGTAAGTTTTTCGTAATAAAACTCGAATATCTGTTGCTCATTTGCTCTTCTAACATCTTCATCACAGTTAATCACCAAGATTCGAGTCAAATCTTGTGCTGGATTACCTAACATAATAATATTACCTTATCATTACTATATATGCTTATGACGATCATAATTATAAAAATATATAAAAAATGAAAATTTAGATGTATGAACCTATTATAAATATATGAAAAAATAAATACTATGAAAATTTTTGAGAACATACCAACATTAGCCAACTGGAAATCAATAAAAGCAACAATATCTTTGCTAATCTTTCCATCGTCATCAATATCAAATAACACGTTGTTTGCCCACAAATCACCGTGACACAAAACTGGCTTTATATTGAGATCAAAATGATGTTTTTTAATACAGTATTCAAAAAACTTCTTATTATCCACAATATATTTGCATTTTTTGTAGTTCTCTATTAAAATTTCTAAAATATTATATTTTTCACATTTTAAGTATATCCTCAAAGAAATTTCCCTAATTTCATAATACAAAAAAAAACTATAAGATTTACAAACTAATAACTTACCATCTCCACATTCTTCAACTTTCGTGTTTAATAAAAATCCAAATTTTTCCGCCTCTTCTTCAGAAAATGAGTTATTGTAATCAAAAGGCTTAAAGAGATCTTCATCAATATACACGTCGTTCCCAATAATGTAACTATGCATAAGAGCTATTTGTTCAGCAATTGCTTCTAATTGTCCTTGGTTAAGAGTATCTTTCAAATGAACAGAAGCTGTGTTTGGACAAAAATCCATAAGAATGTGTGGTGATATCGAAAAATCTTCGTCTATGTGCTAAAATTAAAATTTAAAAAAGAATAAAAACCCTAGGATTCAATAAAAAACTAACTTATAATAGAAAAAAAAATTTTAAACAAAAATAAGAAACAGTACCTTAAGTGAATAGACCTTTAAAATCTTAAAGCCTTCAACGTGATGTTCCGTGAATAATCTATAAAAGTTGCACTCATTGTTGTGCATCCCTTTCAGTTTGTGCAATTCGCTGTTTTTCCCATTTTTTTCTTTTTCATCCGTTTCAAATATATTTTTCACTTTACTAAATGTAGGAACTTTCAAGCACAATTCTATGCTTTCGTCATGGTAAAGAAGTTTCACGAGATACACCGTGCTCATATAACCTTGATCTTCACTCAAGACATATGATGTTATCTAAAGTTTTATATCACACTAAACAAGCATGGGATAAACCTAAAATTTGTGCCAAGTTTCTCTACCGTCCCAATTCTCTCGTCCTAGGCTCAACAAAAAAATTTATTCTTACATCCAGAAGCTCCTTCAAACCAGCCAATTTTCTGTAGCGTTCACTTTGGCCTTCTAAAATCTGTAAAAGCCATCGTTTAGAAAACGAATTTTCTTTGTCCAAATACCCTTCCAACATGTTTTCAACTAGCCGAAAGAACCAAATGAGAACATATGACATCGGTCATTTCGAATTTTATTCTTATCAATTGATAAGACCAAAACATGAATTTGAAGCAAAAACTAAGTATGTATGACCAATTTTCAAATAAATTTTAACATGGCAAATGTAGATTCAAAGCTTGTTCGCGAAAAAAAAACTTTCCAGACATAAACTGCTCATAATTGTTACTACCGTACAATGTGCAACATTCCCAGACTAGAAACCACAAAGCACAGTAAATATTTGTGTGTTCAAGTAATAGAAAAAGGTAAAAGGCAAAGGTTTGTTTGAAAAAATTACTGTAACCTTTGCGCCATTTAATTTATTTGATTCAAGTATTCGAATTCGTCAAACACGACGCACTTTCGTTTCGAAAACTCTTCCTTATTTTAAGCGGGTTGTTAGTAGTGACAATTTGGGATTTGGATTATGTTGGGACGATGGAGTTGCTTTATTTTTCCGATTCTGCTTCTGAATATCGACGGCAATGTTTCTGACAATTTGAAAGACAGAATTGAAAGTAAGTTTTTTTTTGAAAAACGGTAAATCACAAGTTTAAAAATATCCCTTAAAATTTTTACTGGCAAAATACCACATTTTTAAAATTTTTTTACTAAACTTAATTTTAAGTAAAAGCGCTTATTTAGAGATAATGGAAATAAAAGCCGAAAACTACACGATCAATTTGTCGGCCGAAGAAAAAGAGTTATTTTTGGGTGAAGCTAACCTAGACTCTCAGAATTCGACCAGAACCAAATTGGTAATGCAAAATGAACAGATGTTTTCAAAGCTATTGCACCTTCTCCAAGATTCATTTTCGGATTCCGGAGAGGTTACCGAAACTGCAAGCAACTTTTTAATCCATGTAAGACTTTAAAATTAAACCCTTCATTTTAAACAAGAGTAAAAGTTTTCAATGTTAAAACCCATTTTTTGATACTAATGATCTATTTTCTAAACATTAGCTGAAAAAATGCATTTTAAAATAAAAAAAAATGTTAAACATTTGTAACATAGGTAATGAAAAATTGGCCAAAAGTTATATCTGATGCCAAGGATACCCAATTATACGATGGTCTTCTGAAAGATTATCAAAAACTGATGCAGTCGGATCAGCAGATTGTCAACGCCATCTACCCGGACATGATCAAGACGCTGAATCTAGCTTATTGGAACTCACTGTTGCTCAAAATACCACCATTGCATTCATAACGTAAAAAAGACTTGAAATTACCACATTAACAATATAATAAAGTACAATCAGCAATATTTGAAAGTTTAGTAAGATACATAAAAAGTCATCAAATTCTAACGCCAATCCGAAAATAATAAATTATTTTATTTCATATTAGACCTGGTGTCACAAACCAAACAAGAATCTTCCAGAATCTCCATGCATTCCGTACAGTAATAAGTTTTGCAATCTTCACAAAAACCCATGCTTGATATACGATGTTTTGTTAAACATAAAACACATTTGAGCTGTTTGAATTGATAGAAAAAGCGTGATATCCGATTTTTTGGTCTAAAAAGGAAAGTTTAAAACGCCCCCTTAGAATGTAGTTAAATATTAAAGTTTTTACGATCTATATTACTTTTAAAACCTACTCTTTAACCACCACAGGATCCAATTCATCCTCCACAACCAAGTATTTGACTCTTGCTATTGCCAGACGCCTGTCATTTAGTCTTCTTGCCAAAACTTTATTATACAAATAAACTGTCCTTTGTTTCGACCGGCTTCTGAATATGAAACCAATGACATAAAACAGTACCAATCTTGTCACAATGTAGTTGAGTAGTACTTGAAGTGCGAACATCACAACTAATGGTAACAAAATGTTGTACACAAACTGACGTTGATCCAATTGTTTTGGAGATACCATACACACTTTATTACTTAGTTCTCGTTGTTGTGTGTCAGTGTAGTTAAATTGTATGATGCTTCTCACCATTTCAGCTATTGAACCGTTTCCGACCACTTGAACATCCACAACATGACGTCCAGTTTGCTCCGCTTCGGCCGTCAAAAATTCGGTTATCTAAAAATTTAAATTTTAAAATAATAAAAATTTTAAAATTGTAGGAGGATTAACAAATATCCCTTACAATTGATAAAATCCTGTACAAGACATGATCAAATGCCACAATGCATCCAACCAAAAACAATAATAAAACAAATTGTAGTAACGCTTTCCAAGTTTTGTAAAGTTCAGCTGATGTTGGCAACCTAAAACCCATGTAAACCTTAAAATAAAACATTCAACTAAAAATGCCCGTCCCTAAATCCATTGACAACAAACAAAAAATATAACAAAAATACCGTACCCAAACATGTGTTTCAAATGATAAACCTTCTTCTCAGACCTTTTGACTTTGCCAAGATATATCTGTCCCATCAACATTCTCTTATAATCAATTCTCCAAAAATATTGTGACAAGAAGATGTTTTTGAAATTGATGTCGGTAAGATATGACCGTATCATGTTGACAGCGCCTTTGAATATCATGTATACCAAAAATATTAAAAACGCCGACAAAAGTTCATTAGTCGACTTTGATATTACTCTTATAAGATCCAGATCTGATCTTAAAGTAGCCATGATTTCAGCCAGCATACGAATACGCTCATCTCGTGGTTGTTCTATAACTTTGAAATGAAGCTGAAATAACAAATTTTAATATTAAATGTAAAATTTACACAAAATTTTAAAAATTAAACCAAAAATTATGCTTCTCATAACAACATCGCCTTACATTAACTTTAAGCTCATTGTCCAACTGTTCTTTCAACTCATTCAAATTCTGCATTTTGTCATTCATATCGGCATCCGTTTTGTTGCTTTTTGTAAATTTTGCACACGTTTTTCTAGCAACTTCCTCCATTTTACTAGGCTGAAACATTGATAATTAATAAACATTTTAAGAATGACAAAAACAATTTACCAAAAACATTGCAATGCATTGCTTTTACAAAATCGAGATCACAACCATGTATAAGGCCCATATCAAAAAAACTTACTTTACAAAAATCATCAGAATTAAACTGCCAACAAACAATCAATCCAATCAACGGTAGTGAGTCATAGCACTTGGCCTAAATTATAAAGTTTTAAAACATAAAAACGATTGCAAAAATTTTTAACAATCGTTAATTCTCCTCCTATCAGTAGCGTTTGTCCTATTTAAATCAAACCTCAATAACATGCCAAAAACCCACTTGTGCATCACTAAACCGATCTTTGCACTGTCGAGCAGCCATAGCATAAGTAGCTTCGCATCGTTGTTCCATTCTGTTTGAATTCAACTTTCCCAAAGACGGTTTCGATTTAAAATTTGATTCGGTTGTAACAGTTGTAGCCGTTTCTTCGGTTGTTGTTGATTCTTCATTGAGAATCCTGTCTCTTTCTGCCATAGCTTTCTGTCCGTCCAAAACATTGGCCAACTCCTTATCTTCGTCGTTTTCTATTCCTAGTTGATCGTTGAAGGGTTCTATTAAACTTTTCAGCATAGCTACGGTCTTCTTTCCTACTGATACTCCGGTACCTTAAATAATTCAAACTAATTTCTTAGTTTTTAAAGCTTCAAAAACCATATGAAAAATTTTTATTAATTTTAAAACATTTTAAGAAGACAATAAAATTACAATTTCGATAAATTTTAATTATAATAAACCGAATATAAATCAAACCAGAAGCCTACCAAAATGTTTTTCAAATAGCGCCTCAACTGGTCCTGTCATTAAACTCATTTTTTGTTTCACCAATTGACCTTGAAGCTCCAAATGACATACTATAATGTTCGCAGTCAGCTCTATGTTGTACAAAATGTTATCCACCGGCCCTTGTTGAATTTGCTCTACCACATATAGGGTCAACAGACCTTGACCGGACTTAGATAAACCGCCCAAACAAACGCAAATTGTAGCACAACGAAATACCTATAATTAAATTTTTACATTAAATTTATACCACAAAAATAATTTTCAATTAAAAAGTTATCAACTTACCGGACTAACAGCAAACGCCAATCCAGAGCCAAAAATGACTGTCCATTGAAAAACAATGGAGTAAAACGCATTAAAGTATCCAAAATCCAGTCGATGCCAAGCTAGATTATAAATAGCCCAGCCAATAAAGAGGCCAATAGGCAGATTGTACATAAGCCGAATTCCGACATAATCATCAACGGAGCTATAAAAAAACAAAATTTTACAAATCAAAATTAAAAAAAAATATTTAAAAATTTAAATGTAACTTTTTAAAATTACAAAGACTGCAAAATTATCTTAATAACATGTACCTATGCAACAATATATCCCCTAAAATAGAGTAATTTCTTCTTTTACGGATTTTTGCCCGACTTTCGGGCAAAAACAACCGTTTCCAATTCATAATAACAGCAAAATTGGCAATATTATCAAATTTATTTAAAAAATACAAAAAGCAATATTTTTTAAATAAGTTTTTAAAAAAGAATAACAAAGAAAATATTAGAAAAACAACAAAATTATGTAATTACAAAGTGTACAAATCAAAAATTGTAATAAAATATAAAAGCCAGGATAAAAGATGTTTGAAGAAAAAATAGATGTTAATCCAAGGTTTGTCTAAAATCGACATCCTCCAATAATTCACCTTCTTCTGATTCATTAATAACTTCTTTGGCCAAATCTTCCGAAAACCTTTCAATTGCCCATTGAACCAACACATGTATTTTACCACCTTTCTTTGTTGCAAAATGCTCAGATGCCCTCAAAAATTCCATTTCATCGTCCGACAACAAGTCCACAAATACATTGTGTAAAAGTGACCCGTCTACCTCTTCCGTGTGTATAATATTCTCCAAAAATTCACTGTTGAAAGTTTCCAAATGTCTCAAAAATTTCTGTAGCTTGCGGTATGCTGGTAGAGGACCAATAGTCCTAGGTAGCATCAAAAGTTGACACAAGTTGTCAGCATTATCCATCCACAAATTTTGAAAATACTTATTGACCGCTTGTAACATGATTCTATACTTCTTAAATCCTGGGTCCACTATATTGGCAACTTTTTGAGCTCCAGGGGACAATCTTTCCCTCAAATACTTGTTCTTTTCTCTCGCCGAAAAACAACAGTTCATACCGACCATTCGATTAAACATAGCCAAAAATTGTTTCCACTCTGCTATAGACTCGTTCTTAATAACATCCATATTGACATCAGCAGATGTATAGGTACCGTCATCATCTTGACAGAAACATTCAACCTGATCGCCTCGAAAAACACTGACATCGCATCTTTCATCAAGATCATCATCCTTGTGTAGTGGAAATAGTGATCGTTGAGGTAGTTTGTTCAAAAGCATGGAACCAATGTTATCTTCATCTTCAGAAGACTTTGAAGATTCTAGAGGCTGTAGTGACGGTACAACAAGAAAAGAAGCATCGTCAGGTTTAAGTTTGCACTCTTTTGATTGAGGTAAAAATGGGTCCTTGATCGCTTCAACTAAAAAAGCAAATATATAATTAAGTAAAGTAACTTAAAAAAAGTATTATTTTTTAAACTTATATTAAAACTAATTTTTAATGAATGCTTACCATTATTTGTTTCCGCTGTCCCGTCAAAATCCTTAGACAAACCAGAAGTTTTTCGAATCATAGAAAGGTATTCATCAGCGTCCAACAATGTAGAATCATTCAAATCAATCTTCTTTCGGTTCTCCTTTCCTTCATCAGCCTGTGTTTCAGCAGGTAATGTAACCGTAAACTGAAGAGCTTCTTGAAATGACAGTACTCTAGCTTGTACATCTTCAACTTTCGACCGCTTGAATTGTGGTGATAAACTTGTGTCCTTATTGGATCCTGTTCGACGACTTTGAGACGAAACACGTTTCACAGCAACTCTTCTTGGTTTATCTTGCTGAGTCGATGCGGAATCCTGTTGAATTAGCGATGCATCCGACGGTAAAGAAGTATCATCATCCGAGAAGGCAGGGTCTGAACTATCTTTCATATTATCAATGGCCTTTAAACCTAAAACAATATATTTTCATAATACTCTCGTTTCAGCCTTATTTAACGCAAAATATTCTTATACTTTTAAATTAATTAAAATAAAAAACAAAACCATCATAAACAATATGTGAAACAACTTTTGATAATTGCACCCCGACGACGGCATATTATTGTTCACCAACAATTGAAAAAAAGCCAGAAAAGTCCAAAACAAAAAAATTTGAAAGTTACTTTCTTGAGATAATAAATGAACAATTAATTATTTTAAAGAAGAATAAGGAGTTAAAAACTTAAAGAAAGGACACCAGAAAAAACTTCTCAAGAAAAACTAGAGATGACGGGTTTTTTGGACGAATTACGGACTTTTTGAACGTTTTATGTTTTTCTTCGACGTTTGGGTAGCTTGGCCAAGGAAATGATATTTTATTTAGGTAATAAAGTTTTAAAACAGTTAAAAATATAATTTTTCTTAATATTGGCTGTTTAATTTTGTTTATCATTCGAGGAATTTAGAATATTGATGAGCAAATCCATTCCTAAGGGTTTCTATGTTTGGAAATAAATCTACGATGACGTTCCTTTCGTATTTCTTGAGCTTATCATATTCTTCAAAGAATTTTAAGATTTGAACTTTGGTTTCGGTTCTTTCCGATCGTAGAACAAGGTCTGGGATGACGAGGAACAACTAAAATATATAGCTTTATGTTTACTTTTTATAATGTTACGTGCTTCTCATTTTATATTACATTTTATTGTTTTTGTGTATAAAAATTTGTCAACAAAGGTATCACAATGATCAACATTAAAATTTTTAAAAACGTTACAGGTATGACATCGTAAGATTGTATGCAACCAGGACGTCTTTTGGGGATCCGAAAAAAAAATCCACAGGTAGGAGGTACCTGTACGTGAAAAAACGAAAAAAAAATTTTTCGAAAAAATCGGTCCACGGGTACCTGCGAAAAATCGGTCCACAGGTACCCCAGAGAAAAACCGTAGCGACGTCCCTGTACGCAACTTACTTGTGAATTTCGTGTTACATGACGCTTTTAGTGAATTATAGTAGACACGTGTGAATAGAGTAATTTTAAAGATTCTATTTTTACTAAAACGTTTTAAAAATATACTTTATACCTATGATTCTAGTATAATATTTTACGGAAACTAAAACTTATTCGAAGTTCATAATTTGTGTCTTTTTTCTGAGAACACGGTGCACATTTTACATAAACTCATATTAAAATGCATAACTTACTATTTCTAGAACCTTTCTAGTATTTTTACTGACGATTCTGATTTTTGCCACGCATTCCACGGCATACAGAACAACCTTCTTGTATAACGTGGGGTATCTAGACAAGATGCGAAGCCGTTGTGCATCTGTGCCTACGTGGATAAGCTTTAGTAGTTGACGAATTTCTATTTTGTTTAGATTTGCAATGAGTTCAGGGACATTCGATTTAATTGAAACTAAAAAATTTAAGTACAAAAGTTAACATAGGGCATACACGTTATTTGTATTTAAATAAAGGTTCATAAATATCTTACGTACATCTGTTGTAAAAAGTTTTATGTAAATATGTTTAGATATACACAACTGACAAAAGGCAAATTATAGTAATACTTTTTAGTCTTTAAAAGTAATTCTAAGTCCTATAATAAGTGCTTCTATAATTTTAATCCAGTTTTATTGAGAACTATGACTCACTTTGAACGTCTTCTGGAAAGGTTTCAAAAAACGAATGCCTTATTCTGTCCTGGTTGCCAAGTCGATCAGAATTGATGTGCAACACACAAATAAGCATAACCATGTAGCATAGCAAATTCATCGAATAAAAAGTGAAAAGGCGAAGCGATATCGAATATGACAAATGTTCGTAAACAAATATCCTTGTCTTAAACGAACAGGTTCTGCCGTCCCTTCAGTATAAATCCACCGGCTGAATAATCGTAATCGTTTTTACGCATAAGATATTATTATATTAAGCTCATCATAATCTAAATGTTGTTTGTGAAAGATATTCATAAAGTTTTTGATTTACTGATTTAAAAGTTAATAGTTTCAAAACTTTTTTAATTATGTTAAAAATTGAAAACAATATCATGAGTTCGGCATGAAATTTTAAAGCTAGTGCAAACACTCAGTTAGTCACAGTGAAAAAAATATATCGGTCCTATATTACGGAAATGTTTAACGGAAATATTACGGGCTGTACATTATAGTCTTTTATTTATAAATAAAAAAGTATTTACTCATATATCTATTTCCTGGTTTAGTTTATTTTAGAAAATTTTAATGTCAAAATAACGATGAAAATTTATATGTCATTGTATCTTGAATAATATTATGATTGAAATTAAAAAATTATGTTAAATTGGAAGTAAAATACTTAAAATTATTACGTACTCATAGTTAGGTTAGTTAATTGACAGAAAACACAGGATAAAATTAAAGGCAACCAAAATAAAAAAAATTTAAATCTAAAACAATTTTAAAAAGTAATATACAATTTTGACGATGCTATTATATATATTTTTTGAGATTTTAAGACATACCAGTATACAAACGTTACTATATTGCAGTAAAGGTAACTGAACAATTAAGCGAATGGCAATAAGATCGGGTAGTTTAAAAAAAATAAATCTTAAAATATTATATTTGCTCTAAAATGTAACAATTTAGCTAATGGAACGTGTGTAATGTTTGTCAATACGTAAATTGACATATATCAAACACATTTGCTTCCTAAAGAAACAATGACTAATCGTGTTGGAAATGCTACTACTGTAGGATTCCATTACACAGATTACATTTTTTGTAATTATCGGTGACGTTGTCGCAACAAAAACTGTGATACCGTCCTTCCGCGATTACAATGATCATAGTTGCATACGCAACGGGTAATGTACGTTACAGGTTCACTTCCAAGAATCGTATCTTCGGCTTCTTCTCTTGTTAAACCGGCTGTTTGAGAGACAAATTTACTGAAGTCGTACTTCTGAAATTGAAAATAAATACTTACTAAAATTATCAATAGTAAACTAAGTTCAATATATTAAAATTTAAAAAAGCGATGTACAGAGTTCCGCCATTAAATATCACATATAAATAAATGGCATTTCGCATTGTCAATCTCTCAAAACCAGGCATCTATATTAATATACTGTTTTAGAGCGCTTACTGTATCATACGGATGTTTATGAATCATTGCAATAAAGTAAGGCTTCCTTTTAATCTGTGCAATAATTAATACTCGAAATGATGTAGAAAGAGTACTCAGAGTTAACGAAAACACAATTCATATGTTATAATTATGTTTCAAAGCTTGAGAAACAGTAAATTACCTCTGTAAAGCAATAAGCTGCTAAATGATATGATGAATTTGAAAAATGCTGTTCTGTTGAGCTAACTTCATCTTTTTTGATACCGTATTTTTGTGGTTTACTGCTGTATGGGTCACCAGGAACAAGAGGAATTAAAACACAGTATTCATAGTCATTGTCAAGTATCCTTTTTAGGCCCTAAAAATATAGCAATAAAGATAGTTGCAAAACAAAACATGCTAATTGGTAGTAATTTATGTTAGAATAAAGTATTACTTCCATTGAAAACACAATAATTTGTGATTATGCTTTCTTTATATGATTAAATTCAAACAATACGTATATGTAATTTGTTTTTTTTTGGCAAAAAGTATAGAAAGCAAAATATATAAATAAAAAGTATGTTATGTTCAGCATCGTAATGAACAACGGTATCTCCGGCCACATTTTTTTATTTTCTAAACTGTTTTTTTTGTCTGGGTTTGCTACAGTATTGACTAAAAATATATCAAAATATATATCAGTTTCAAAGATATTACTAAAAATCAAGAACGAACCTACTTGTTCATTGGAATAACACCGTAAAGCCGACAGCATTTTGTAATTAAAGAAAATATTAGCAATTACAACAAAGCCAAGGGTTTGATTCAGTCTTGGAATCATAGCTCTAAATCTCTTCAGTATTGAAAAACCAAATGAACACGTCGTTACACGAACATAAAAAAGTATTATTTTTATTGAGGGCGGAGTTTTACTTGTACTGCAGCTGAAATGTTATTTTTGCATCAATAAAAAGTTAGTATACTGTAATAGTATCCTACAGTTTTTAGCTCATGTATGTTTTCAAACTGACATTTTAAACCTTTATACGTATTAGATGGCATTTTCACCTTATTTGATGACATTTTGTTGAACCCGCAACAATAAAATTGTACCGTATTTAAGGATATTACATGTATGGTTTCACGTCGGTTTCACTATGACTATTACCGTTTAATAAGTTAATACCTTGTGCCTTTGGTTGTTACAACGAAAACACCATAATTATAAACAAGAATATTACAGTACACGTAAAAATAGAAAATAGTAGAATCAGGACCGGGCGGGGACTTTTGGTCTGGGGGCGGGGGTCCAAAAAATCGGCACAGGTAGCAGCTACCTGTGCCGATTTTTTTTGCAAAATTTTTTTTTCCGAAAATCAAAACCACGCTCAATTTTTTTCAAAATTTTTTTCTGGAGGGGGGTACCCCCCCCGTCCCCCCCCTCGCGCCCAACCCTGAGTAGAATTTAAAATAAATTTTAAGAAAGCATACTTTAAAAAGTTAACGAATATGTGTATAAAGTAGATGTTAAAAAACGATATTTTAGTGTGATTTTTTATACATGTTCCACTGTAGTTTTATGTTTTTGTTTAAAACCTAAAAAAGGTTTATTTTATAAATGTCATTTTTGTTTACTAAATGACACATTATACTGTCTGCATATATATTTATAAAATTTTACAAGCATATCAAATAACTAACGGATAAGTTTACTACAGTATATAACAGCAGGTGTTTATACTAAATAGATCAAACAAACCCATATTTTTTTGAAATACATAAACTCACAAGGAAAGTACCCTACCTGCCCCGCTCAGAATCAGCTCAAAATTTTTATATGAATTCTTTGTACCACCAATAGTACCCATAAAAAATTTTAGCTCGCGCTTTTGAGTTTTAAATTTAAATTATTTGGGTTTTCCGCCGATTTGGCAACTTTGGCATTGTGTTTCAACCACTTTTTTCGCCTTTCTAGACAAGCTAGGCTTACAAATTTAAAAATGTAGGTTCATTAAGAGGTTTTCTATTAGTATATCAAAGAAAAATTATTAAAAATCAAAAAATGACAAAGTTACAAGCTTGAAACACAATGCCAAGTTGGCGGGAAATTCAAACTGTCATTTTTCAATCTCGATTTTCTCGAGATTTCCTGGAAAGCGCGATTTAGTAATTTGCTGAAGATCTTATATTTACATAATCTTTCTTTATAAAAAGTTTGAAGTGAATCAGAGCGGGGCAGGTCGGGCACTTTCCTTGTCAGTATAACGAATCGTATAACGAATCGCACAAAAAATATGAAAGTTGTTTTTATGAAAAATTTTTATTATACAGTAGTTTTAAAACCTCGATGTAATGTTAGCCGAGTATTTTAAAGTTGTTTGTTATACAAAACTATTGTTATACAGGAGTTTACTATACAGGAATTGTATTGTACGTTTTTTACAAAAAGTTTAATTTTTAAATTTTTAATTTAATCTTTCGCCCCTCTTCGTATTTTTTGCAACCCCTTTTATAGTTGGTTACACTTAGAAATTTCATTATTTGTGTTACTGTATGTATGATACATATGTTATGTATTGTAGTCAAATTTCAATGAAATTTTAATTCAAATTCGCTACTTTCTTCCAGCATAAAAGTTTTAATCTGCATTTTAAGATTAGTTGCTATTCATATTGCACTTAGCCTAAGTAATTTCAAAACTTTTTGAATGTCAAAATGTAAGATCCACAATAAAGTAAACATCAAAACCCATCGTATTTAAAGCCACTACGTGCAATATCAAACGATGAATATCGAAATTTTCAGCTGGTTTGTAGTGATAGAAAATAAAAATGTTAATGGCATTTTATGATGGCTGTTTTACAATTACATGTTTATTTTGATCTTTTATTTCAAACCCTATATCGTCCGCCCGGCCCTGATCATACGAGAAAAATCTGTACAAGAAAATTTTTGAAATTTTAAAACTACATACAAACTAAATCAAGCTCCCTTTTAAACTAATATCTAACATCAAAAGTAACAAAACTGATCAAAATTAATGTCATTGCTAAGTTCAATCAAAAACCAATTACAGAACCAAGCTTTCCTATTTTAAAAAATTCAATCATGAAAGTAATATAACAACAAAAAAGTAAAACAGTTTTTCGTCTTCAAGTCAAGCGAAAAGTAACAAATCCGGGTTTAAAATTTAACACTTATTAGCAACGTGTGTACCCTAATAAGCTAAAGTGAAACAAATCGCAAACTTTTAAAATGTATTAAAATCTACCGTACCATCAACATCATTTGCAACTATACATTGAATTTATGCATTGTTCAGCGATTTGTATAAAGGTAACATTAAAACTTTTGGTTTTTTCTTGACGTGTGGTAAGTGACATTAAGTGTTGTAGGTCATACTACTAATTATCTTCATCTAAAAATTTTAATCGTAAAAATTTTAATTGATTTTTTTTCTATTTAACTTTATCAAAATTAATTAAAATTTTGAAATATAGTTTTATAGTTTTACACGTTGTACATAATTAATCTTCTTTTCATTGCGGCTCGTTTATTAACGGTTTCGTAAAAGGAAAACGATTATCGTAATAAATTTGCTTTAGTAACACCATATATGGCTTTTCGTGAGTAATCTATAAGCACGATAAAGCCATGCAAACCAAAGAGCTAGGAAGTTTGAAGGGAATTTGAATTAAACATACAGGGTAGCTCCAACTAAAGGCTCGGAGATTTGCAAGGTATTCGTTATAAACAAATTTCTGTGACTAAGCGTTTTCCCTGTGTTATGTTAGCCGAGGATTCAAAAGTTGCTTGTTGCCCAAGTTTTTCGTTGTACAGGAGTTTTTTTTACAAAGGAATTCTACTGTATTTGTTAATTTATGTACTTATTATCTTTCTTTTCCAGAAACTCGATAAAATATATCAAACTACATAATTCATATTAAACTATGGTACTAAATCGCGTTTATTAGGCACCATGTCACGCTACCAAAAAGCTTGTTCCAAATAACTTGATAAGTAAGTAACTTTCCGAGCTGTAAATACCGTGACAACCGTCACCCTCACGGTTTATGTGTAATATATGCCATACATACGACGAATTGAGTCAAAGTTTGGATGGTGTGCAAGAGGTATACCTATTTTAGTTATTACAACAAACGTTAAACTGTAAATTTTTAAACATAATACATGAGAAATGTCTGTCTTCTCCCAAACCAAAATCACCCAGCCCTGTTAATAAATATTAAACTATATATACACAAATCACCGTACAATTGTTGTTTCCATTTAAAATTAATTAATATATGTGACATTTAAACAGATTATCAGCTTTCTTTTAAACTTTGACTAATTCGAAGCTAATCTCAAGTTCAATACCTCTTTCATGGGCTAAAAAGGCACAAAGATCATCCGTTAAGAATCATATTGACATACTATTACTTCAATTATGTAGTTTTAAGTTTAGCTCAGTAACTGCAAATTGTTGTTGGTGGTTTTATAAATGTCACATAAATAATTCCTCATTTAGTCTGACAATGTAAAAATCTTTAAAAATGTCTTGAATATGTCACGTTCTATAATGTATTACTCCTTCCTGTATTTTTTGGTCAGCTGAACCGTCTGTAAACTTTACAATTGAGTTACCTCTTAAATATTAAATTTTGAAAACATTGTGATATTATAAATATCTTCCTTTTATCAGCAAAAAATACAATAAATGTATACGTTCTTCTTATTTATACATGTACTAACTTTATTATCCAAAATCAAGAATTTATCTCAAAATTAGGGTTCAATCGCGGCTAATCTGAAGTAATTTGCATCCCAGTACTTTGTGAAAGCTCAAACCACATACAACCCTTTATAATATGTAGTATACTAGAAAAATGCAGTCAAAACTTGAAGAAAAGTATTTGTAGGACAATTAAGTGATTAATCACTTGTTAAGGTGGCATTAACGTATTATTCGTATTTAAACAATTGGACATTCTGTTTCGCAACATTTCCAAAACATTTTTTTACAAATTTAACAAATAATACGGTTTAAAATAACTGACAAACGTTTAATCTAAAAATAAACCTTAGTATTTACCCAAGTTTATTCACAGGCAACCAACTTTTTGCTCAAAATAAAATAGTCGTGTTCTTTCTCCACATCCGGATAGTTTTCATCATTTTCAAATTTGTGCTTTCGGAAGAATGCCAATGAGTTTGTGTTGTAAGTGAAGACAGTCGCAAACACCTTCTTCATGCCAGCCCTAAAATAATATCATCAAAAACTTGCTATTTATAAAAAAACTAATTTAAAAAACGGGGGGGGGGAGAGAATATATTTTTAGTTAAGATCAGATAAAATTCAGTACAAAAAATAAACAAAATTATTGCAGCAAACCTAAAATTCCATCAAAAATCGTGTTGACTACAATAAAATTAAAAGCTTTTTGACTAACATAACGTATTAAGTAAAACTTAGACTCACTTCAAAGCGACTTGCTGAGCAATATTCAACAACAATGATCCGACTCCTTTGTTCTGATAGCTTTGATCAACTTGAAGTTCGTACACATATAACACTGGCTCTTCAACCTCAATAACGAAACGATAATGCATGTAAGCAATGTGTTTTCCTGCGGCAGACTTTACAATAATATATCTGGATGTTGTGGCAAATAGCTCGGCCTTTTTCGAGTTTTCTTCATAGCCCCATTCAGATTTTCTGTACATTTCCTCCATGTTCTTGTCGAACAACTCAAAGATCCAAGTGCATTGAGCTTCGTTCAAATGTGTGGCCCAGTAAAATTCAAGGTTTAGGTTTTCACTAAAATTAAACAATTACTGTTACAATGACAAACCAAAATCTCTATCAAAACGACCTTTGTTCAAAATATCAAGCAATCAGTGCTGTCTAAATGAAAAAAAATCATAAATATTAACTTACCCATCGGCAGTTTTTAAACTTGAAGGAATGCATTTGTAATGTTCAACAGGTGAGGTAACTTTTGAAGCCTTTTTCACCACCTTCTTAGCCAAATCTCCTTGTTTCACCATGATTCTAAAAAAATATTAGTACAATTATAACAAGCATTATATTACTTTATTTAAAAATCCCATTAAAAATAAACCAAAAAAATATCAATTAAATAAAAAAACATAAAATCAATTTTAAAGGAGAAAATAAAAAATAAAATTAACAAATAAAGAAGGTAGTATAACAGTAAAATCAGGCGCAAAACCGATAAAATTTCCAAGAGACACACTTTTATTCATTTCTTGAGTTTATTAACAAAAACAATCTAGTCGAACATAGCAGTATATACATAAAATATGCCTAAATTCTAAATACTAAAACTCTCTCCACATCCGCATGTCCCAGATATGTTAGGATTTTTAAACACAAATTCGGAAGAAAGCCTGTTGTCAATGTAATCCATTTCTGAACCCAATAAACTGAGTTGAGCTTTAGAATCAATCCAAACTCTCACTCCATCTTGTTCAACTTCTTCGTCAAACCTTGCCCTCTCTGTGGCATAATCTAATGTGTAAGTTAAACCATTACAACCTCTTTGCTGGACTCCAATCTAAATTAATAACTTTAGGTATGTCCATGAATATGTAACCTTCCCAAAACCTCTTATTAACGACTACATGGATGCGCCCAGCTTCGCCCCTAAACGTTAAAAAATGGCGCCAAAACGCCGCAAAAAAATAAAACCCACTTTTAGCGCCTTGACATCAGGTCGATCTTTCATCAAGTCCTTGATTCTGTTAACAGCTTCCGGAGTTATTGTCAAAGCTGCTTTTCGGCCCACCAACCCAGGTCGCTGGACTCCTTTGACCACACGAGCAGAAACACTCAAGATTCTACCCAATCTCATCAACAATATAAAGTTACCAACCTAAAAAAATCGGTTAAAAATAAAAACTATTAAAATGATTCAGAAAAAGGGTTCTTTGCTAAGTAGAGTTAAAAACAGCCATTAACAAAGCAAAAACTATCGAACAAAGTATAGTCACAATACAAAAATGTGTTTTACTTGGATAAACAAGACGTTAAAATGCGCCAAACCCATAATTTTTAATTAAAAAAATCTAAATTATTCAAAAAATTTTTATTTCAATAGCTTGCATACTGATTGAATATATTGATAAAAATTTGAGAAAATAAATTTAACAAATTCATGAAAATGTCAAGTTTCTTCATACTTATGCCAAGTCTTCTTTTATTGCGTCAAGTCTTCCTTTTAAACTTGAGCCAACAGTTTCGTTCAAAAACGTTTTGTTTACGAAATGCCTTGTACAGTTGGTTTTGTCCAAATATCGGATTTTCATATCAGTTTTACTAACGTGCTTTACAATTTTGCTTTGATTAACATATTATTAATTTAATGTACACGAATTCACTAAGCTATTATTCATCCAACTGCAAATATGACCTAAGACGGCTTACAAAAGCAATTCGGTTAAATTCATACGTCTTCGATTTGTTTGAATTTTATTTTATCAATCGAGAAGTTGCTTTGGAGGAAGGGCTTAATTATTACTACGATGTTAAAAGATTGGTCAGACTTATGGTGAGCTTCTTTATAATTGATGTTGGTTGGCTTTGAGATGTGTGACACTGTTTTTTTTAGCTTTTGTAGTTTTGAAAAATTAGGCAATACCTTAATTTTTGTTAGTCTACTTATCACAAAGTTTTAAATGTTATTATTGGTGCTGACTACTGTTTCAATATTTATTTCAGCGTGCCGTTCATTGCGCTCGAACACTGATTACTAGCCGATTTTTGGAATGTAAAGTCGAGAGAATAAACGAAAAATATGTTTTTAACATTCAAACTACAGAATTCAACGGTGAACAATGTCGTTTATCTTTTTTGGCGCATCCACTTGATTTGTTGTTCTTAAAGTTTAAAATAACGCATGTTGATTTACCTGGCAGATTCCGTCATTACGGTTTGAAAAAGAGAAAGAAACATGGTATGTTTTTAATTTGTTAGAGTTTGTTTAATCTTGAGTTTTTATTCGTAGAGTCAGTCAGTATTGCTATTTTTTATGCTTTTGCATTTTTTTAATTTAATAATTTAGGATTTAAGAAACTTAGAGAAACGTTAAGTTGATCTATTTTGGCAAAATAAGTCACGTTGCTCTATTCTGGGAGCTAGTAATAATATTTTGGCGTAAAATTATTTGGTACACGTTTTAGATTTGTCGTCAGCTGAAGGAAGAATGTTATTCTGCATTGACGCTCTGTTTCTTGCAACCAGTTTGGTTTCCGTTAGTTGTAAGTACGATGTGTACAACGTCAACTACAAGTGTATTAACGGGTCGTCTGTTACTAATTTATTTTTAGAAATGAATGATATAAAGAGTTATACTGGCTACAACAACTTTTTGTAAGTTGTTCCACTTTTTGAAAATTACATTATTTATATATTTTTAAATTTAAGAAGTTAGTGTTATTTTTTAAAATTAATATCACAAAATTGCCATTATCGAATTTTTTAGGGTGAATACCAACATTACAGAGCTGGGGTTTAACGTATACGTCGAAGATGTTCTTGAAAACTTATGGTTTTTCGACCGGCTGATCAAAATGTTTCCAGCTGTCACTACTGTAACTACGAAGCTGGAGATTCGAGACCTTTTTATCGACAACGCAACACAGAAATGGTTTGACATATTTGTAGCGTTGTCAAAATTCAATGGAATTCAGTTTTTTGTTAAAGTCAAAACGCCTACTGTTTTGCCATTGATGAGACTTTTTCGCCATCTGGATTATGGTAAGTTTATTTAAGACATTGTAATAGTGTTTTTTTGCAATATGCGTATAAGGTTAGTAAAATAGTCGAGAAAATCGTCAAGTGTTAGGTACATGTTTTTAGATGACAAATATTATCAATACTATCAGAAACACAACATTATCGTACTTTTTAACCATGAATCTATCGTCAAACCACCTTCTTATGGTCTTTTTTACTACATCTGATGTTAACTTGATGGCGATTAAATATTCACAAGGATTTATATTTGTTTTATGTCATATTATAAAACCACTAACGTTACGTTGTTTTCCTATTTTGTCAATCTTGGTAGCGTTCTCAAAATAAATCGTTAATAATATTTTTTTGTTTAAGTTTATTATTTATACTACAATATTGATATTTACGGAATGTATACCAATATTTTATATTAGAAATAATTCTAAAATTCCAAAGTTTCGCTTAATTTGTTTATTTCTTTAATTAAAACCTCTGGTTGATTACATAAAATAATATTTTCAACTAAAATACAATTCTCTACAATATAATGGGACGAAAAAATATACGTGTCAGGGGGTGGTTTAAGAAGACGAACAATAATAAGTTACTAGTCCAGTCCAAAAACTTTAAATTCATACAATGTGATTAAATTAAGATATAATTCCGAGATTTAGGGGTGTTGCAAAGGTTCTTCATGTAAACAGGTATTTTTACCAAATTGCAAAAAATAACCCACAATAAAGTTTGGCGTGCTCAACAACGCTATGCAACACCTTCCAAATCTCACGAAAATGCCAAGACTTTTGCAACAAAACTTGGAGGTTAGCGTGGGGTTATATGAAATCTAAAACAAGCCTAATGTACAAAGCTACCAATATACATGTGTTCGACAGGAATCTAATGAGACTATGAGGATTCTAGCATGGTTAGATCTACACGGGGTTATGATAGTTTCACAGAGAAGTTTTTTAGTGAAAACATGGATTTTGAAGGAATTCCGGCATTTTACTTTTTTGATATGTTTTAAAGAGCTAAAACATACAAAAAATACCGTAGCTTTATTCCGAAAAATTACCATTATTTCCATAAAAAACTTGCTCCAAAAACCACAGAAAACTAACGAAATCTCCTTAAGAAGTAGTCAAAAAGCTGACTGCAGCAGCTTTTCAAAACCGCCCACATTAAGGAACAACAAACTTGAGCCAAAACAGTTATTATTACTATTAGACCCTAAACTAATTTTTTGAATAAAATACGTTGAGCCGAATAATAGAAAAGACGAATATAGAGGGTTTTCACTGGTCGCAAAAGTCACCGGGAAAAATATTACAAATTGGTCAAATTTTTAGATTACAGAATCATAACAGGGGCAGTATTAGGGATAGACGTGACATGGGTTTTGGAGTTTATCGTACTATAGCCGAGTTTTTTAGTATAGTAGACGCATTAGAGTACCCAATTATCAGCTACAGTAGTATAGTTATACAGAAGATAGATTACTGTATAACTTCATTTCAGATTACAGTAGCTTCATTTAATAACTACAGTAACTATAAATCTCAACCGACCCAGTCACTATAAAAAGTTGTTTTCAAAGCCTTCCGCCATTTTTTCAAACGAAAAATTGAACAGAAACTTTTTCCACAACCGGGACTTATTGTTATATAAAAAACATGAGGATTTTAGATAACATTTACCGGAAAATGCATTTAGTTATTTGCTTGAAATAGAAATTTGACCAAGAATTAAATTAATAATATTATAAATAAGGGGGCCGATTTAATTAGCGGGTGAAAGGCATTTTCGAGTGGGGAAACCTGACTTGTGAGGACGTTTACAATACAATATTACCAACAAAAAATATAAAACATGAAATTAAAAAAAAAATTAAAATTGAAGATTCGAACCGAGTTTGAAACGATTTTGAAGCATTGGGATAAAGTTAAATAATAGTAAAAATACAAATTATTAATTCGGGTAGACTTATTTTAGGCCCTTTCCCTTACGGTTTGTATTTTGAATACAGTGCCAGGGTGGAGGCCAAAAAAGGCTTCTTCCGGTTAATATTAAAATTAAAAAATATGAAATAAGAAAATTATTATATGCAAAAAGGTCAGTTTGCGGTAAGATGATGTGTTTTTGTGAAAAATTGGGTGTAAAAAAGTAGATGACCAAAAAAATTGAGTTTCAAAGTCTTGATTTTTCAAAAACACAACAATCAACCTCAAAAACGACTGAAAACACGATACAAACAATATAAGATTAGGAAAATACGAAAATGTGTTAGTTTTTGTTGAGTATTCCGATGCGGGGAGAGATGACGGGGATGTGTGAGTTGAGAGCGATAGGGGGCGGACACTATACATCTAATGTTTGCTGTACAAAAACTACAATCGTCAAGGGTAATGGTAGGCATTAAGTTGATGTTAATTATTCTGAATCATCGTGAAGACCGTGTAGGCTTATGAAGAATCGTGCAAGATTGTAGGGATTTCTGCATTAAAGTCAGAATCATCTTTCTTTTCCAAAAAATCCACATAAACGGCTCAAAAATCCTCAGAATCCATCAATTCATGGCCTTCCAAACCATCTTAAGGCCCATTGGATAGCCGTTCAAACACTGGCAGACGAACGCCCTGAGTTGGCGTAGTACCAGTGGACCAGGTGGAAGCCAACGGTGTGGTTCCGGTCGGTGGTGAGCTTGGTGACGTCGACTTGTTCGAAGAAATCGATGATGCCGACGACAAGAATCCACTTTCAACGTCGCTACTCAAAGAGGTTGGCAACAAATTCAGTGGGCTCAAATCGTGGGGATGTAGGCCTGGGGGTGGTGCAATTGGATTATTGTATTTTGCTCCATATGGGCTCAACTCGCTAAAGTCCTGAGCCAACGACCACTCCACTTGAGCCTGGCTCATTTGTGTGTAGTAAGGGTTGTGTTGTTGATGTTTCTGCTCCTTGCGACCGTAGAATGGATCTTCGGCTTCAAAACCGGGCGAAAACGAGCCTAATGGGGATTCGGTGCCAGAGTCATTTGATGAAGGAATTGGCGAATCCCCGGTGGAGCCGAGTACGTCCGATTTCTGGGCTGGTTTTGGGGTAGTCGAGCCTTCGCTGAACATCTGTAAAAAGAAAAAAGATTAAAAAAGCAGTCGTGATACTATTATAAAAAACATATTCACATTCTGAAATAAAAGAATATTATCTTATCCAAAGCCTTTCACATTGAAAAATTAGCTAACAAACCTGTAGCTGATTCTGGAACTGTCTGCTGAACAATTGCGGTTGTTGGCTAAAGGCAGCAGCGGCCATGGCGGCGGCCGTTGCAATAGCATTGGCATTGGTTCCTGTACGACCAGTCGAACTGGTACGACTCAAACCTATCAATGAGTTTGGACGCTGAATTGAAGCCTGAGCTCGTGCGTCCAAAATCTGTTGTTGTTGAGCTTTTGAAGCGGCGGCAGCGGCCGCATTTTGAGCTACAAGTTGGGCCAAGACATGAGGTTCCTCGTTATGGATAAAATGACACCTAGGACCGTACGGACAGTAGCCGGATTGATGGTAGGATTGACAGGCCTCAGTTTTGTACTTGGGATGACGGGGAATTGGCCGTTTTTCGGTGTCACCGTGAGCGTATTGGCATCTGGAATAGAAATAGTTAATTTTAAATGTCTCAAAACAAAATTATAAAAATACATATTAACGTTTTCCAAACGTAAAAAATAAAAATTTTATAAAACCAAAAACGTACCTTTCTCCATAATTGCATCGTCCGCTTTCCATCCATGAGCGACATAGTTCGGTTTTGTAAAGCTTGGGGTTCTTGGCCGACGGGTTATTCTGCTGATTCATTTGCTGGGCCATAAACGCCTGTTGCTGTTGAATGCCCATGGTCTCAGGCTGAGCGCCGTACGTTTGTCTCAGTGTTTCTGCCAGGGTTGGAGCTGAAATGACAAAACTATAATAATTTTTTTGGAGACTTTCTACATCTGTCAATATAATGTACATTAACCAGATGCAAAAAGCTTGAAAAACCAATGTTGTTACAGCACAAACCACGAAAAATGAACAAAATTAGCACGATAGTGGGGAATGGTTAAGGATTTGAGGGCTCGAAGGTTAAAATTTCGAAACTTAAAATGTCAGAAAATTTACATAAATTTAGCAAAATCGCTCTAAAATACCAAAATTCCACACCTCAAATCTTTAACCTAAAAGAAAAAAAATAATAAAATACGAAGCACGATGTGAAAAAACCACACACGGAAACAGGAGCAACGTCAAAGTGGAATGTGTTATTAAGAATGTCTAGTCCCAAGACTAATCCCCTCGAGTATCATCTAATAGTGGAGTGGGTGTGAAACTTTGTTGACCTGCCTAAACAATACAATTAAGCTGTCAACTATGGATGGTATTTGAGCTTATTTTGCTACATAATGTAAGCATGATATCTAGGTTTTGTTTTTTTTTGTTTAATATATTTTCAAAATCTTTAAAAAAAATTCCCAGTTACAAAAAACAATAAGTTGTTACCTAAAATCTTTGGTCTTTCGAAAAAAAGATATAATTCTTTATTAGTTACTATAATATACTCAACCCTTTTCTATAAAATTTTAGTAAACATCGAAAAAAGTTCATAAAATTTTGCAGCAATTAGTAAATTCAAATAAGATAGGTAAAACAACGCAAAAATTTAGGTAACAAACATTATCTTTACATTCTTGAAGAAGACTTGGCTTCTTAGGTAAAAGTCGCCCCAAAATTAAATATTACACTACGTTTTCGTGTTCTTACATATGTTGCCAAAGGGTCCCAAACAATTTTTTTCGAAAAACAAAAAACTCCTCACGAGGTGTAAAAATCCCTTAAACTGTAAAATTACGATGAATTAACACGCGTTAAAAGCAAGAACCTGATAAAAGGAGACTTAATTACATTTACGCCCCCATAATATTAAAAGCCAAAGTAATATAATATTATCGCCACAAACAACACATTATCCTTGGTTATCGGTGTGTTGCCGGTTTTTACAAAATTTCAACAAAACTTATCGGCAAATTGAAAAGGATAACATCAGACGAGTTGTAAAAGGACAATCAATAACACTTTTAGATAAATGAACCCTAAAATATTGCTAAAAATAGGCTAATTTTGCAAGAATTTAATGAAAAAAATTATTTTATTTTATTCTTTCTGGCATTCCGCCTCACCTTGCCAAAATCCCGGCAAAAGAAGAAGCAGCAAAAAATTCTTGAGAAAAAGAAATATGAAAAAAAATTAATTTATCTGTAATATTTAATACTTTTTTTACTTAAATTACTTATAAATGTATTTATAAAGCTTGTAAAACAAAGTTGCTTTAGTTTACATTACTACTTCGCAATAAACTTTAAAGTAATAACACTTGTGAACACTTTATCAACCTCTGCCCATCTTTTCAACTCCAAAAAACACAAAAACTTCACAAAATTTACTGTTTCCACTAGAAATCGCGTTACGGGCATCCAAAAAACGTTTTTACTTTAAAATTTTCAAGGTTTACTATGTTTTTGCGACGTGAAAAACATTCGCAATACCTTTGGAAGAGTTTTGGACAGGATATGACGGCTTCAACAATTACTATTTACTACTTTTTGGGCTACACGAACTGGTAAGTTTGGAAAAATATGAATATTTTTTAAATAAAAAAAGTGATATAAAATAAAAAGAAAGTAAAAAGTTTTAAGCACGCCATTCTGGACCCTTTAAGACAATCTTTAGTGGGTATTGATAACATACCCGATGTTTAATCAGCAAAGAAAAAAAGATGGAAAACAAAAAGGTCAAAGTGAATAGAAGCAATATACAACAGTGTAAAACCGGGTGTTATTACCAGCTGTTTTCAATCAGATAACGTGTTTATATTTGGAGCAAAACTGAGCTTTAGGTATCCAAAGTTTTGAAAAAATTAACTTGTAATTACAAGTTATTTTAAAATCAGAAGTTTTAAATAACATAAAAAATTAGTTCATTATTTTAACCTCAAGATCGGGCAAGATTAAAGATTCTTAACACATAGCAAGTTAACCCTCCATCTTCAGCCAATGTCACCTAATCCACCAATTTTCGCAATAATGAAAAATCCGTTGGGAAAATTAAAGAGCTTAACCGTAATCACACTTGTATCTATTATAAAATTCTTGTACTACACTCAAGTCACAATTGAAAAACAAATTCGCAATTCCAACGCTTTGGAATTTTAATCTTAAATCTCGTAAACTTTGCGAAAAGCAGTTTGGCAAATTCCACCAAAGCTTTATGAGTTATTATTCAGAAAAAAAGTAGTTTTAATATAAAGTAGTATTTTTAAACATGCAAAATCTCCCGCCTACATTAAGTAATTTGCCACCCCTCCCTCCCCCCCCCCCTGCTCTACCTCAATGTATTTAAAAAAACAAAACAAACTAGTGATAAAACACTTTTCTACCACAACAAAAAAAATAACTGGTGCAAAAATACCACACAGTACAACGTTTGGCCGAGCAACCAACCTTGCATCCGACCAGTAGAACGGCGTGGCATTGGGGACCTAAAAATAGTTTTTTTATTTTTAGTTTTACTGCTAAAAGTTTTTATTTTTCGAATGTTGATTATAATAAAATACTCAGTAGGCATAAAAGCTATAAACCTAAATCGAAAGCTCACATAAGGCTAACTTTGTAGAGGTTCCTTCCCGGTTCCACTGTATTTTTAAAACGAAAAATTTGTAAAACGCGATTTATTCGATTATAAACCTTTACATTAATTTTATAATGGCATATAAGCAGCTTTACAAATAGCTCTTTAAAGTGCAAAAAGTAATGTTAGTACTATATTATAATACTTTACGTGACACTAAGCATAATTGTCGTTAATTTGCTCCCTCAGGGGTATTTACAAAGCAGGTTCCCCATGTTTTATGAACTTGTAAAAAGTTTCACTATTTTAACCTAATTTGCATAATACTTAGCAATAAATAAAGAATTGCTTACTTTCTGTCACCATCAAATCCCTCAAACTGCCCCATCGTACGGTTGTTGGCCATTAAACTGGTGTTCAAAGCCGGCCACTCTTCGTTAGTGTTCAACAAGTCGTTGAACTGGTCCTGATGGTCTCTAGTCGAGACCATCGTCAATTATTGCTATGGAAAAAAAGCAAAAAAAAACCTAAAAAATTTAAAACATACGTCATCTTATTATAAAATACTAAAAGTTTTAACTAAAAAATTGAAAAATTTTTAGTTTCATAACGCTAAACAGTCTTTTAAAAACCAAAAATTACTTTTTACAACAAGTTTAAAACTGAAAAAAGCAATCAAGTTTACAGTAATTTTTTAAGGACTCACGGTTAGGCTAGCAAGTTTTTTTTGCAATTACTACGTGAAGCAAGGAGTCTTCAGGATTCGTGAAGATTCTGAAAAAAATATTTTGTTTAGTAAAGTTCATTTTTAAACTGTTTACAACTAAAAAATTTTGTAATTCATACACGGTAAATTTATACGGGGTAAAAAATTGGCCGATGATAATAATTTAATATCTAATGACAGAGTTTAAACAAAAATATATAAAAATTAAATTAAAAGTATTGAACATGTTTTAAATACTGAAACCATTCAATATTTAAAATTCAAATAATAAGATGATTTATAAATTTAAAAAATAATTTTAACAGTAAATTCAAACGCTTCTTCCGTAAACAAACAAAAATTATTTAACTGTACACGATTGTATTGTAACACAGAATGATAGTATAAAACTTTACTTTTCTAATTTTAACTAAGCTTTTATGCAGTAAACCAATACCCTTTTAGCTAAAAAAGTTAAAACTCTGTAAAAATCGTTTCCAGGAAGATTTGACCCGACAGCTCCATCCTGTGGATTTGCATCTCATTAAGTGTTATTAACAAAGGGAAAAGTGGTTGTCCTTTTAGAGAAAAAAGAGAGCCAACCAGCCGACTGACCGTCGAATGGACATTAACCAAATTAGAATTTTATTTTACACGAGCTTTAAGACACGTTTTTTGGGTAGAAAGATCCTAGACAAATAATTAAAATTGTACTACTTTACACTACATGAGCATAACAGTAAAACATTGATAAACAAACGCCAAATCTACAGTACCCCATACTTCCTTTTTCTACTACTTACTTTAATGTGATCTTTAACTACCAAAACCATTCCCTTAACCTCAGTCTACATACTTGATCTTCCCTTTACCCCATCTCCGACGACGTTCACCCCTCAAACTTTGAAGCACTATGATCGGACGTCACGTCGGAAGCGTAGCGTTCACCTCTAACGTTATCTTCACGTAGAAATGACTTCACCTTCGCGCATCCATCACTCTTATTTTTTGGTTTTTTTCGGGTGAAAGTTGCGACGAAAAGACAAGTTTTCACTATATCCCTTACAAATTCTTTCATCCTCAGGCTTCACCATCGACTACCTGAGAGAGGATTTTTTGGAAAACGTAAAAATTAAAGATCTTATACTTGAGCAAAGGTTTTAGAAGAAAGTGAATAATAAGGAGAAAAACAGTAGTACAAAATAAAAACGTAACTAAACAAAAAATTTTTTCAATTGTAAAATTAATAAAAATAACAAAAATTTAAAAGTTCGATGTTATATAACCCCAATATATTAAAATTTGTTGCCCAGATTATGTTTATAGGTGTAAAGTAATATTGAGTAAGCACGGAGAAAAATAGTACAAATACCTTTAATCCGGCGAAAAAATGTATTAAAGATTACTGGTATTTACTAGTGCTGTAAATATTTGGTAAAAAACGGAAACAACTACGCAAGATGGCGGTATCTTAATATTTTTAAAACACCCTGCTCCAATTATTTTTAAACCAAAAAATTTTTAATTAAATCACCTGCCACCACCCCCCCCCCCTTTCTTACTTTTTAGAGTAAAAATTTTAAAAAAAGCATTTAAAAATTAGCCAAGTTGACGTATAAAGCAAGAACAATGAAGAGTAATATTACGCCTGAATACCTTTGAACATTTCACCTTGGGTTTCCCGTTATCGCCCCTGAGGCTAAAATGACATATCCGGGTAATCGCGACTCCTCGCTAATTGTATAATGGATAGGTTGTTGTAGTGTTTCAAGACAAGAAATTAATGAGTTGAGTGTAAATTTTGAACTTTTAATAAGCTTATATGACTTTCACCTTACACATTTTGTAACTGTCATAAATGGCCAATGAGTATAACCAAAATGCGCGTATAAGCAAGCTAAAAACTATCTTTTTTTTTTAAAAATGTCCAAAGACGTACTGTAATGTCATTCGGTATAATATATTTCAATACAATATGTACTGAACGTACATATAAAGCTTCTAATTACAGAAAAATGCCGTAAACGTGCAAAACTACATTAGAAAACGCTAACAAGTACGAAAAGCATATTACACATAAACGCTAATCTCCTTTATAAAATCCGTTAAAATTTGCAAATTTTCGAAATATAAAAGGACAGAAACAATTTAAGCCTATTTTTACAAAATCGACAAAATTTTACTTTTAAAAACTTAGAAATTTATAAAATGACAAGAAGGCAAACTAAAGTGTAACCCACTAAAAGTAATACTAAGTTTCCTAACTAATGACAACTATTCATGAATTCAAAAATTTACTTTTTGAATTTTTCTAACTTCCGCTCGCTTAGGTAACTTTTCGCGTTACTTTTTAACGTTTTACTACGTTCTTTACGTAGTAATTTGCACAAAAAACACGTTACTTTTTTACAAAATTCAAAAACGAAAAAACTACACGGAATGATCGGTCTAGACGTAATTTAGAAACCGGGTTGGACTTTTTGGTAATTACTGTATAACTTGCAACTTTCAAAAATATAAATTATTTTTAATCAAATCATGTCATAACTGTTGAGCACTGCCAAGCCTCAGTCTTTTAACCTATAGTCCAATCTTAAAAACGCTATTTTTATAGTATACAATCTTTTTTCAAATTAGTGCGGTGTTACCTAACATGAAAATATAATAAAATAGCCTAAGAGAAATTGCAAGACATTTTGTTGCGCAATGTTTCTTATGTAACATTAATGGTTTTATATAATATTTACCTCGAAGTAAGACGACCCATCAAAATTACTACCAGTGCCTTCACTTCATTTTTGTGCGGAATTTTTTTTCTCTGCCATATGACATGAGTATATAAACCCAAACTCTGCCGTTATATAGGGTCATTTGCAAAAAGCCGAAGCCTAAGCCTAACTCTAAGCCTAAGCCTAAGCCTAAGCCTAAGCCTAAGCCTAAGCCTAAGCCTAAGCCTAAGCCTAAGCCTAAGCCTAAGCCTAAGCCTAAGCCTAAGCCTAAGCCTAAGCCTAACCCTAACCCTAAGCCTAAGCCTAAGCCTAAACGAAGGTTCACTTTTACCTGCCGTATTGCGTCAGTGCGTAATCTCAAAGTCGCCTGTTTAATGGCGTAATCATTATGTATGCACCTAATAATAAACGTAACCACAATTTTAAAGCCTGCTAAAACAAAGTTGCATAATAATAACAAAAATATAACTTAATAATGTTACAACCAATTGGAAAAGAAATGTAAAAATTTCTCGGAAACACTTAAAGCCGCTCGTATAAAACATTGTCAGTGTACTTTTTTGCTCATTTCGTTTTTCTTGGCCACTTCTTTTTATAACCGAATTCCCACACTTCCCGCTTTTCAGCAATCAAATGCATTAAAAAGGCAACAAAGTAGGTCTACATTGTGGTCAAGTGCAATTTTGTTATATTCTGGGTTTATGGAAATAATAAAAAGTGTAGTTTTTTGAAAATTGACTTTTTTGAATTTTTTAAAAAAACTATGAACAATCATTTTTAAAATTTTTTAAAATGTAAAAAGCAGCCAAATTGGTTACGACCTTGTACTAGATGACATTTTGAACCCTCTTCAAAAAAATAATTTGTCGCGCAAATTCACCACAAAATTTGCATATGTTTGATCAAAAACGTGAAGCCGTCATAAAAGTGCGATTTTCCTTTATTTTGGCCAATTTTTTGAGAAATTCGAACAAAGCGCGATCGTATGCTAATTACAGTCGGAAGTTCGGAATCAACAAATTTGAGAAAAAAATTTTGTGACACGTTATTTAAATCAAAAACAGTAGTTGAAAAAAAAAAATTTTAAAGTCAGAGAAGAAATAAAATTTTCTTTATAAAGATGTTCCGACGTTAGTAAGTGCTTTTACTGAGAATTTTACATAATAAAAATAAAAATTTTGATATTGTTTAATAAGAATTTTAAAATGATAAAAACTTGGAAAAAGCAAAACAGTTACAGTAAAAGCACGGTAAGCCCTTCAGCCACGACAAGGCCTTGGAACGGTGAAGAGAAGTAAACGACAAATGTTGTTACTATTAGGTTTAAAATGCAAATAAAGAATCCAGACAAAACATAAAAATTTGCCCTCTCACCTGACTGTGTTGCCATATTATCGCTCGCCATCTATTATAATACACCCTTCTCTCATTGTTTCAAAAATGTCTGGTACATCAGAAAAAAGATAATATTATAGCTGTTTTTAAAAAATTAAAAAACTATTCTGATATTTTACATTTATATTTAAAAATTACCCACGTAAGTTTACCGTGTCACTTTCTAGTATTATATAAGTCTCTCCAATAATACACATTAAGAGATACCAAATAACACATATTAAGTTCCAGACAAAAATATCGAAAATTTCAGGAAAAGAAGCCTCCTTCTGTTACTTTTTTACGACAAGAAACAAAAGTAATGAGGGCCTGCCCTCCGGGCAAGATAACAGCTGATTTGAGATCGTAAAAGCGCCGCAAAATATTCTTCTCCAAGTTGTGGGATCAGATTTGTACGGATTTTGAAATTTAAAATTGATTTTTAACTATATTTAAAAAAATTGCCTTCGGGCATAAAACGAAAAAATTGGAAAAAAAATTGAAAAAGCCAATTAATGATCAAGAATATTCAATCAAAAAAATTCCATTTTTAAAAAGCAAAAAGAACAAAGTTTTTGATTGAAAAGTAAAAATAAAGTTCAAAAGTACCATAAACAAAAACTGGTAAAGCTCGTTAAACAGTTTATCGACACAAAAACGCAAAGAGCCACAGACTTGTTG